ATAAAAAATAAGTTTTTTTAACGTAAAGTATAATTTTATTCATAGGTGAGTCTTTAAATTGACATAACTTTGTTATTTATGAACTGATTGAAATAAAATAAACACTAAATGTTAAGAGAGCTAACTAAAATACATGCAAGATATTTCAAACAGCTATTTTAAGTTTAGTTCGAATACGAATTTCCGCCTGCTTCCATTGTGAACATTTTTTTTCAGCTTCTTTGAAATAAGTTCCTAGTTGTTATGCATTGTAGGAGAGCTAAGAAAACTGTCATGTTTTTAAAATAATCTGCAAGCCAAGTTTCATGTGTTTTTTGTTTTTAAGGCATTTTAGTCAATAAGAATCTCAAAAAAATATTGAAATAATATGGTTTTTCGTCTCACATTTTTAAATTTGGACCGATAATTGTTGTTTTAATATTAATAAATAACCAATTTTTAATCGTTTTTATAAATATACTTTACTTGATACTTTTTTTTATAAATTTTTAATGTTGCATTTTTGACTTATTTTGAAAAAAAGCTAAAAAACATGATAACTCAAAAATATATAGTTCACTTTACATAATACGTATGGGGAGTTAAAATTATCGCAAATATTCACCCCTATCACCTCCTACCGGAAATACGTCGAATTACCAATAACCCTTTTTTTTTTATGTCGGGAAATGCATTTACGCATACCACCTGATCCCCCAGGTGGTGATGTGGGGCTCACCGGCTAGAAGAGCCGGTACTACCCACTAAAACCCGACATTCCCCTTCCCTCCGCCTTAATGGGACGCCGCAGGATCGCTTGCGCATAACTACTACGGCGCCCCGGGAATTACCAATAACCCTGTATAAATAGACAAAGACAAAATATTCAATCTGTTTCTCCTCTGTTTGTCGATCATTTTCTTTTTTTTCGTTTAGTAGCTTATTGACGAGTATTAGCGCTATCATTAAAAAATGATTATACAGATAAATAAAATTGAAGTGTCTATTGGTAATGTCAAAATAACAGCTTTTTACAAAATTCATAATAAATTGTAACAAAAAAACCGAATTTGTAAAATTTTTGTCTGTCCGTCTGACGTTTGTTCCGGCTAATCATAGAGTATATTGCTACATATATAAATAGAGGTACAACTCGTCGTCGAAGCTGGTAATGTTTAAAAAGCGCCATCTCTATTGTAAAGTGTGAAACTTTCTATATAGGTATATACGTAGCTATATATATATATATATATATATATATATATATATATATATATTCATATTATTGTTCATTAATATTTTTACTTAGGCGCAAAGGGTAAAAATAAAAAAATATATGATGTGTTATAATTTATTTGAACATTAATAATTCTTATAACAATAAAATTTAAATATATACATCGTCCTTCAACTAACTTAACTTAGTAGTAGACTTTACAAAGTTGGAAATGCTTTACCATCATTTAATTTTAATTTGCGGCTAATCTACGAAACGGCTTGACTGATTTTGACGGGACTTTCACTGATAAATAGCTGATGTTATAAGGAGTAACTTAGGCTACTTTTATAGCAAAATAATTAGCTGTTCCGCTTAAAATAATTAAAACGTCTTTGATATAAGCTTAGAACGTTTACAGATTAATTCTCATAATACAATATCATGGTTACAATTTCATTTAGTTCACTTAGCTCGGCTAATTAACATTTACGAACAAAGCAAGTATTACAGGCAATTTTTTAGATAACTGAACAGGTATTACGCATAGAGAAGTGTAATTCCCACGCAATACAAACTTGGCTTAATAATCTTTATATATATAATTCTTCTGTGAGTGTGTATGTCACTGAACTTCTCTCAAACGACTAAACCGATTTTGATGAAATTTTTTGTGTGTGTTCAAGGGGATCTGGGAATGGTTTAGATTCACAATTTGAATAATAATTTTCATCAAAAAAATTATTAAAAAAAGTTTGAAATTTTCAAATTAAAGACGTGTAGACAGGACAACGTCTGTCGGGTCCGCTAGTTACATATATAATATTTTATATTATATACATTTGTCTTGTATATATAATTAAGTATATTTGTAATTTTCCTTATTGTAAATAAAAAAAAATTCCTACTCTCCCCGCCGTGCTTCTTCTTCAGCCGTCAGCCCTATGAACTATCGATTTTTTAAATTATAAATATAAAATCAGACCAGATTTCGTAATATTTTTAAAACAGTAAACATTTCACACAGGAAATAAAAAAATAAACATTTTTATAAAATTGCGTCTGTTCTAAGAAGAAGAAGAAGAAATTAGAAAATGTTTGATATATGTTTTTTTGAGTTAATTGTGGATATTGAAGATATGTGTACATTTAGTATATCATCTACTGTATTCAGCCCTTTTTAACGTCCCACAGCTGGGCACGGGCCTGTCTTCAATACGAGGGGGATCAGGCCATAGTCCACCACGCTGGCCAAGTGCGGGTTGGTGGATTTACATGTGTTTCGAAAAACTTTTCAAGTTCTCTCAGACATGCAGATTTCCTCACAATGTTTTCCTTCACCGTAAGACAAGTGGTGATCATGTTGGAAATGATTCGCACATGAAAATATCAGAGGTGCGAAACCGGGGATTTGTACGTGCTTAACTGGGTTACCCAAGCGAGTGCGTTACCACTGGGCTACCACTGCCTATACCTACCATATACTCCATAGGAAAATATAATAGAACAGAGAACCAATTAACCAGAAACAAGTCTGGATTATTCCTTAAGTCTCAGGCTTAAACCGAATTGAATTAATATTAAAGGTAAAACTGATCAGCTGAATTAATTCTCTCTATTTGGGTCAGCATTGTTTAGCTTTGTAAATGTATCGTTACATATTCCATCGCATTTAGGTCACGCGCCCTTTAAGCTCTTGCTTTAAGTCCTGATGAGGAAATCCTTATACACTCTAAGCACATTCGTCTTTTGAGCTTTTCACATCTACTAAATGAAAGTAAACTAGTGTAGGTAACTGTAATTGAATTCACTTTAAAGCCACAGCTCGCTTTTTGGAGTCAAGAGGAATAGAAAATGTGGGGAATTTGCAAAAAGAAAAAAACAAATTGACTTCAAAATAAGTATTGAAAGACGGAAAATTGCTTGAAATTATTATTTATTAGCAAGTCACCCTTGCTCCGCTAGGGTTCATCCCTGCGTTTGGATATTTAGTATAGATTTCTCCGAGATGAGATATTTTCCCGTAGTAAAAAGTGTCCTATATGTTGACCCGGATAACCATACCATATATCACCAAAATCCCTCCGATGGTCTTTCCGTGATGCGGTCACATACAGACAGACAGACAAAAATTCTAAAAACTATAGATTCCAAAAAATATTTAATGTACAGATTCAGCTTGCATTCATGAGAAGCAAGGCAAGTTGCTAGCAACAAAAAACAAAATGCAAAAAAAAAAATAAGGAAAGATGGACATTAATTAAATAGTATATAGAGAAATAAAATGAACAATTGAACAAGTTGTTTGAACAAGATATTTGTGTAAAACTGAAAACTGAAATGATTAAACGCGTCCATTGAAGGAAATTATGCGTCAACACGCTTGATTTAATGTGTAGAAGCATTATGGATGGTCAGGTCGATTGCAATCAATTACACTTTTGGTAACAAAGCACTATGTATTAAAGTCTCGGACTGAATATTATAGACGGAGCCCACCAAAAAAATGTCAAAGTCAAAAATGGTAGCGTGATTTGCTGTTTATGCTACTATTCTCGATTTTTCCATACAGGTTGTTTCCTTTTTTTTAATAACAATAGAATTTTTGTATAGATAGTCGTTATTTTACAATTTTTGAGAATAAAATATGGATAACTAGCGGCTCACCCTCGCTTCGCTCAGGTTCGCCTCTAGGAAAAAAAAACAAATCTATCCCACGGAAACCGTACATTTTTCCGGGATAAAAAGTAATCTATATGTTATTCTGATATATGAGCTATATTATTGTAAAGTTTCATCAAAATTCATTCAGTAGTTTTTGCGTGAAAGAGTAACAAACATACATCCATACTCACAAACTTTCACATTTATAATATTAGTATAGATTAGTATAGATAGGTGAGTAATAAATAATAGTATATTTTTGTTCATTTTAATAAATCCTTAGTTCTTCTTCTCTTGAAAGTGGTAGCATAATAGTAGCTTCCTTAATTATTTTCTTCATTATAATAAAATTCCTTAGCTATTTCTATGTATTAACATTTGTTTACTTATCACAGTATTGAGTATTCTGTTAATATTTGTATACTATTTTAAATTATTGTTTGTCTTCATGTTTTGTTGCATCACACTATGTCTATATCATTTCAATTTATCTTGAGATTAAAGTAATAAATTATCATAATCGACATCTAGAATAGTAGGTTCTAGTCATATTGATAGAAAGAGTATATTTTAAACTAAACTTAGGTTATTTGAAGTGTCCCCCCAATGTGCGGTCACCTTGTCGTGGTGCCTTATAAGCGTCCGGCAATCCAGCCGGGCGCGAAGCCAAGAAACGCACCGGAAGATGCCGGTTGCTCCTGGTACTTCTCTGATAGCAGAGTGGACTGTGGAGCAAAGCCATGGTCGTTGTGGTCTGCTCGGTAGATCAGCCATCGGGGCGTCGTGGTTAAGTGCGTAAGCGATCCGGCGACACCCCATTATGTACACATATGTATACAGTGGTATGCGTTAATGCATTTGCCAACACAAAAAAGGTTATTGTAAGAGTTATTGTTATAATTTTGTCCTGAGAACTACTTTTTTATTTCAAATATTTTCTTCTATTTCTGTCCTTACCGGACTATTACTATAAATAATACACTTTGTGTGTCTGTATGTATGTTAGTTTTTCACGTCAAAACGGCTGGACTGATTGGGATGACATTTAGTAGGTGAACTATGACGTGGAATAACCAGTAGCTTAAATTGCATCTAAAATAAAACAAACACGTTATATTAAAAAATCTTTATTATAACACTAATAATCCAATGCACAAAACAGAGCAACACCACGCTTGATCCAGTGGGCCTGGGGCTTGTGGGTGGCGAGCTCGACGGTCATGACGTAGTTGGTGGAGTGTCCGGTGGTGGCGAGCGTGCCGGCGCGCGCTAGCGTCTTGTACGCGGGACACTCGTATAGCCCCGACGCGAGGCGGTGGTTTTGCTCGGGTTTCATATAGATTATTGCCATTTCTATTTATTATGTTGTGTTAATTTCTTAGAATTACGCAAATATTTGATAGTTTAAATAAAATTATCTTTTCGGAATTTTTCGCGGATTTTTGTGTTTACCGTGACCATGATTGCTGTAAAGTACTCGAAACGGCGCGTCGGGAATCAAAAGTTAAAATAAATCCGCGAAAAAATCCGAAAAGATAGTCTTATTAATATGTTCATTAGAAATTCGAATTTTTATAGCTATTAGATATAAAATTGAATATATTTTTATAGTAGGGGAGCCCAAGAGGGGATTTTCTGTAGTTACTCGAGCGCGGCAGATTAATATACGGGGGGATACCTTGTACCCGGTTCAGTACCTCCACAAAACATGAGGCCCATATATAAGGCCGCCCGTGAAGGATAGAGGATCAGATTAGTAAAAAAAAATTGACCACCAGAAATTCTCGAGCGCGTCAGATTAAGGTAGGGTGAGTTAATTACATCCTAAAAAGTGTATATTCCACTAATCTGACAATTTGAGAGTGACGTAAAAAAAGGGGAGGGCAACAAAGTTGTAAAAAAAAAACGTCATCTCGACATTCTCGAGCGTAGCTAATTTTTTTTTTTTTTTGAAGGAAATAATGCAAGAATAATGAAAAATATATAATCTGACGATTTCCGCAAGCCGAAATAACAAAAATTCGTCGATAAAGTTAAATGCGTGCAGTTGCGTGATGCCTACATTTCCTTCTCCGCGTTTCTATTCCTCTCTCACTCTTTCTCTATCTATTACTCTCTCACTCCGTCCCCACTCTGGTTTCTGCCGCCATGACACCATCACAGCTGATCATAAAGAGTATAGGGGTGTGCGAACATCGTTCGCAAATTCGAAAAAATTCGAATAATTCGTAAAAATTTCGAATAATTCGAAAGTTTTCGAATAATTCGCGAATTAATGAAATATCTCTGGATCTTCAATTCGAGAGATATCGTGAACGAAAGAAAACCGGAAAAAAGTGTTTTTTCGGGATTACTCCGAAATTTTTGGTTCGATCAATTAAAACCTGAAAATAACTTATGAGGATAATAAAACTGCGTCGAATGCCGTCAACCGCGTGAAAATTTCTTGATCTATTCAAAAGTTATTGCGGTTTGAAAATTCCAAAAATAGTGTTCTATGAAACTTCTACAGACTTTCGAGCTGGGAGAGCTCAAATGCATAGAAATATTATTTCTTTAAACTCTGCGAGCTCAAAATATCACATAAATTATATTTTGAGCTCAAAAATGCCATAAGTACAATTTTAAGCGCACAAGAATGGAATTAGCGGGAAGTTGCAGGTATGGCCTTTAAGGTGAACCGTTTTTCTAATTTTTTTTTGTCAGATCAGGCGAATCCCTCTAGATAATCGTCAGATTATGAGACAGTACGTTTAGAACATAAAGATGAACCATATATATCTTAATCTGACGCGCTTGAGTATTTCAAAATGGCGATTTTTTTTTGCACATTATGAAAATGGCCGCGAGTTTGCGTCCCATCGAAATCGTCAGATTAGTGAATGAGAGCCTTTTTTTGGTGCAATTAACACTCCCTTAGAAAATCTGACGCGCTCGATTACATTTTTTTTTTTCATTTTCAACCCTTAAATACAACCACCCGCATCATGCAAACGATCAGATTAACATACGTACATTATTAAAAATACGTAGGGCATTTATGCTATCAATATCTGACGCGCTCGAGGATGTCTATGCAACAGTTTTTTTTTACATATTTAAAAATCTATAGCCGCTTCCCCCACTGATGTAAAGGTATATATCATATAACATTTTTTTCTTCTTATCATCTAAGCTTTGCATCCCAATAGGTCTCTACGACGCTCGAGTAAATCCCCATTTAGCTTCTTGGGCTCCCCTACCATTATTTTTTATTTTATATTGTTTAAAGGAGAAAATTCCATTGAGACCATTTAAATTTGGGAGGTTCTGATATGAATATAAAGTCAAAAATGTGAATCAAGTAATTAGCAAAATGAGAATTTCTACTAATTTTCTGTTACATGATAAAGCATATATTTATTTTTACAACAATAATGCCTAATGAGTTCCATAGCATTTTCACTGCTAAGACTAGATTCAGACTTCATGGATCATGTATATAAGATACTTTTCATTGCCATTCGCTTTTCATCCAAGCAAACATGCTGGCTAAAACTAATTAAGGCTAAAAAGGCTAGACAACCATGCTTTTATCCTTACTAAATTATATAAAATCACTAGCGGCTCAGCCTCGCTTCGCTTGGGTTCGTCGCTAGTCACGTTTTAAATAGATATAAATAGTTATTAGCCAGCGTTAGCCATATAAATTTTAATTTTTTTTTTTTAATTTTTCAATTTTTTCTTTCATAAGAACCTTTTCCTGACAATAACAAACACAACAAAAATAAAATAGTTAAATCGGTCCAGCCGTTCACGCGTGATGGCGTGACCAAGGGAAATAGGGATTCATTTTTATATATATATAGATACCAGTATGCAACTCCTTGGGCCTACTCTCTTCCAGTGCCATATCGGTGACGTTCCATCGAGCGCCTTCTAGGAACAGTCCACTCACACAACACCCGTCGTCTGGCTTTTTTGCTGGAGGCCCAGGGAGAGCCTGAGGGGATAGGTTAATAATATATAAATATTTAGATGTATGTCTGTATGTGTGGATGGTTACAGGTTCGATTTTCATCCGAAACAATTACTATTTAAAAGTATCTATGAATGTACTAAAGAAGAGAAACCTAAGAAATGCGGCTATAAAAATTATTATTAAAAACTAAAATGATTTAACCACAAATACATTTGAATGCAAAAAAAGCATTTTTAAATGTGTAGATTAGTACATTATACTAAAGACATTTTATTAATTACGGCATTTTTTTTATATACAGATAAAAGTTATCCAAAAAGATAAATATATAATTTAAAAGTGTACAGTAAAAATAGGTTATATATTATGTATGTACCTCAAACGCATAAGCAACAGTGTCAATAGCAATCACGTGCTTCCTCGCGTAGTTCTGAAGAGCTCCGGTCAGAAACGCTTGGGGGAAATAGAAACCCGATATCCAAAACACTTTGGGTATCCCCCCATCCGCCCAACTCTGCATGAACTGTACTCGAAGACACAGATCCTTTACCCACGCCGCTAATAGAAAAAAAAAAGAATTAAAAATGATTAAATATAAATATGTTGGGACATTAACACACAGCACCATACAGTTCCATGGTAAGCTACGAGACCTGAGTTATGGATACCAGATAGTTGATACATTACACATATATAACTTTAAATACATACATATTATAAATATAAACACCCATGACTGGAGTCAAAAATTCGCGCTCATCACGTAAATGAATGTCCCCAGCGGGACTCGAGCCCGCGACCGCTGGCACAGCAAATGGGGTCACTACAAACTGAGCCAAACGTGTTGTCAAAATAGAAATATCTTAATGAGATCTTAAATTCACAGTAAAGGAAAGCTAATATAAAATAAAAAATACGATGCGATGGGAATTGCTTCTACCCAAATTTCTTGAGCAAAATACTTGGTCTATTTCTGAAGGAAGCAATTTTAAACTGAGTTCATACAAGGAATACATGCTGCTTATTCAATTCGGCTCAATATATGTATTATGTAGTAATTTTTTTATGGGAACCGATGGTGAGGGTCCTTTATTAATAATCAATTTAAGCCTAAAATATTAAAATTTCTAGAAAAAAGTCCTCCTCCTTCTAGACCTCTAAATTGGTTTTATTTATTTTAAGCCGGTGTATCACTCTACTTAGTTTATTCGCTGAAAGCCTGACTTATGATTTAACATTGGATAAAAAAATATAAATTATGCCCACTATCCCTACATACAAATATATAATTAAAACCATGTTTGTATGGACAATACAAGTAATATTTTTATGATGTATAACGCGTTTTTTACTATATTTTGCTTACTTTTATGAATTCTTGATATTTCGGCACCGTTGCAAGCGCCATAGTCACGGGTGTAGTGAAATGTATAATATATGTATGTATGTATATGTATAAGTAAATAAGAAAATGCTAAATATCATGTTTTACATCATAAAAATATTGTCAGTGACCATGATGAAAATTTGATGATAATTAAATCTAACCGAGCGGTTTCAGCGAAGGATAAGCGCGAGAACTCCACATGTCGGGCACGGCGTTGCGAGCCAGGCTGCCGGACATGCTCTCTAACGCTTCCGACATCACTACAAGTCCTTTTAGAGCTTTTTGTAAATCTCTATAAATAAACAGAAATACGTCATATTATATAATACTAGCGTAGGTACGTTTTAACGCTTATTATGGAAAAGGTAGGTATGATGAGTTTTATATATATATATATATATATATATATATATATATATATATTATAGGAAAATTAGGAATGAATACTTCTCCTAAAAAATTTATAATTTAACTCAATATCTTATATTAATGCATGTTCTGCTAACATAATTCTAGTGTTATTGTTTTGTCAAATCTCTACTCTTTTACTGTATGAATTGTTTGTTTGTGGAAACTTTATTGGTGTATGTACTATTTTTATTGTTATATGTTGTTTGTGTTGTAACACTGTATGTTTCCCTAATAATAAATAAAATAAAAAAATAAAATAAAATAAATATCCCTTACTTGAGAAATGATTGATTCCCTATACAAACCTCCACCCCGTTTTCAATCCCTCAAGGGATGATTTTCTAGATATATAAAATTAAAAAAAAATATATAATGTCCTCAATTATTTATATCAATTAAATATAAATATGTAGGGACATTAACACACAGCACCATCTAGTTCCATGGTAAGCTACGAGGCTTGTGTTGTGGATACCATATAGTTGATACACTACACTTATATAACACAACAGAAACTATACTCAGCCTGGCCCGGGACTCGAACCCAGAACCTCCGGATCGACAGCTGCACATGCTAGCACTAGACCACCGAGGCAGTATAAACTTACTTTAACGAATTGTTGATGACTGTCAGCAGTTTGTTGTATCTTATAGCCTCCTGTATCAACACCGTGTTCAGGGACTCTTTGTAAGACACTGGGTATCTGTAAACGATTATATAATCGATTAAAACTTCGATGTCACTTAGAAATAATATATTAGAAATAATATAACATCATAATATGGTAAGTACATATATTGTTAGATTTTCAAAACATTTGCAAATATTGTACATTCAAAATTACGTTATCTGCGCGAAACCTAATAACTATCGGGTAGCAGGTTCTTAAAATTGAAATCTTAATGTTATTCAAATAAATGTTTAGAAACATTTTTTTATCAAAAACTAAATATAATAAGTTTTTGATTAAAAATGTGATATTTAAAAAAAGTCAATCTTGTCAGATGAAGCTACCACCTGCTCGAAATGCAGCATCTACGACTGAAAAGAGTCGGCAAAAAATTCATTAGTTGTTCTTTTAACAATAATGTTATTATTTAACAATCTATAATAATATTGTAATAATTTTCCACATATATTTAGCCCTTTTGAACGTTCCACTGCTGGGAGTGGGCCTCCCTTCAGTACTCGGGGGATCAGGCCATAGTCCACCACGCTGGCCGAGTGCGGGCAGAATGAGCATAATTCATAAAATTGCTAGGTTCTCTCAGACATGCAGGTTTAACGATGTTTCCCTTCACTGTAAGATAAGTGGTAATCATGTTGGAAATGATTTCGAACATAAGAATATCAAAGGTGCAAGACTCGGGATTTGAACCCGTTTCACTTGGTTTCGTGTTACCACTGGGCTACCACTGCCTCAATTTTTATACATATAAGTATTTTTACTAACGTAGTGGCAATGTATTTTTGATCGAGCAATGTCGGTAGCACGCCTAGTATCTCTTTGGAAACGAGTTCCGTCTTCTCCTCGGCAGTGATGCCGCCCTCGCCCGACACTTCTTTAGGTTGTAAATTACTTAGAGTATCTGTTGGAATGTTTGTTTGAACTTATTTTCTTTATTTTTGAAGTTATACTTCTTTTGGCACGTTAAAATAAATATGAGAGTAAAGTTTTTAAGATGCGCGCGCTCACCGACAGCCAAAAAACGACATGATGAAGTTAGCTGCCTAGTTCCTTTTACAAACAGAGAGTTGTGACATACGGGATGAAATCTTTAGCTATCTTTGTTCTGTTACACCAAAGAAGTATAACTTCTTACGTGCGTAAATAAATACACACACACGTTTTTTTTAGTACTTTGCTTATTTTCTTTCTTAACATTCAAGATGTGTATTACATACCTAGTTGAAAACTGAATGAATATGATTGATGTACAAATTATCTCCAATAATTATAAAAAAGTCGTTACATTACAAATATTTGATAACTGTCTTGAGTAGTTTGGTCTGAGTATCTATAGTATATTTCAGGAGTAGCGGATTCGAGTCCTGTTCCGACAATTTTGTGACAAATTTATGTATCTCGGCCTACTTATTATAAATGGGAGTGTTTATATAGGTATATGCGTGTGTGTTTGTTATTACTTTACGTTGGAACGGCTGGACGGATTTGGATGAAATTTAGAACACTAACTATAACCTAAACCTGCCTGAAAAGGCAGCCATGCACTCGAGTGAAGTGCGGCTATATCGATAGTTGACTATATGGATATTTGAACCGTCTGGGTGTATGTCTGTGTATTCCACGTAACCCTCGACATAACTTACTTATACAAGAGCTAGTCTCCGACATTGCGTAGCTGATATTCGCATTGCTATGCAGACCGAAGAGAGAAGGATCATCATTTAGCGGTAGAGTTCGTATATAATTTGTGTAATCATCGATTGTAAACCACGACGGTTGCTGAAATGTTTATTATTTAATAAAAAAAATTAAATAGTTATTAAAGTAAAAAAATAAATAAATTTAACAATAATAATTAATTGTCAAAAATATAAAGCATTTTTTAGGTTTATACATACATATATTTGAATCTTATTAAGCAGAAACTTAATAGAAACTAAATATTCAATATATGTCAAAAACTCATGTTTTTTAATTAATCACACTGAATAAAGATAATAGAATAAGTTGTACATAGTTGTAATATAACTAAGAAGTTTCATTTCAATCGGTTCACAAAGGAGTTCACAAATAGGCAAAACGCAGCAAACCTTAGTAAATTTCCTGGTAAAAATTAAAAAAAAAATATCATCATTAATCCACCTGTTTATACGCTCCGCTTTCATCAAAAACACATCTATCGTTAAGAACGGCTGTAGTGTAGTAATCTGATAGAAGATACAACAAGCATCGACGGTCCCAATCGTCGGTGACTCTACCGCCGTAATTTATATGACCAGCTGTGTATGTTAGCATCTAAAGGAAAAAAGTTTTGCTAATATTATAAATGCGAGTTAGTTATTAAGTGTCTCAGTCAGTTCTGCACGCAGTAAAGGCTCAAAATTTTAAGTAAAATTTGGTTTCAGTTTAAGGTTTCGGTTACGTTCTTTAACCGGTTAAATCTGGCAGAACGGTTTTTGACGAATTTAGGTTCCATGAACAAAATTAACCAGTAAAAATGAGTTTTTGTTAGTGGTGAATGGTTTAGTAGCAGGATGCATGCTCGTTTCTTACTTATGATGCCGGTTTATTTCGGTATCAAAACCAAAATCCAACCTTTGTTTAAGATTAACCATTATTATTTCGGTTTATTACACCGTTCGTTTTCATTATCCGGTTAAAGAACAAGCGATGAATAAACCATTACATTACCGAAATAAACCGGTTCCGAGCCCTGATTATTACATATCACTAGGTATGTAATAATGCGATCTTAATATTAAATAAAGGTTATAATTAAAACTCATTCATATCTCGCGATTTTGAGTGAAAACCTTACCATGTTGCTGTGAACAATTTTATTGGAATCGATAAGCTACTCTTCATAATATCCACTTGTTTAGAGGACTACTTACTCTAGAATACAAACAATAAAATCAGCTCAGTAATTTGATAAGATACAGATTTTTAAAATTATTCCTAACATTATGTCTAATATCAAAGGAAATCAAAATTGTTAATCAAATAATATATAACTAACACGCAATGGAACTTCGTGGTATTCCGTGAGAAACATGTGCAGCTGAGATATGCAAATGCGGAGATCTCCGTCAGTGAATTCGTACGGGATGTTGAAACCGAGCGGTCCAAACTTCCGACGCTCCAATACAACACCGTGGAATAGACACAGCGAGAAAAGTAACCACTAAAATATTGTTTATACTAAATATTATAAACCGCACTAAATTAAATTATTTTCTCACTTGTGAAGGGTTTCTGGATGAAATCTCTTAAAGAGATAAGTTATCCTTTGTCGAAATTTTGTTACTTTATTTTGTATAACATATTTGTTGGCTGACTATTACAAGGTTCTATGTTACAATTTTAGTACTTATTTAGTTATTAATGCTACAAGGTTCTATGTGCTATTAGCTACAGTTTTGCAAAAACAAATAACTAGGTAGCGGCACTATAACTACAAAATATTCAATTATACATAGTTCTATGTTGTTTTTTTTACGATAACAAAATAACGAAGTTCTATGTAAAAATCACAAAACTTCATTAAAATTAACATAGAACCTTGTAATAGTAAGCCAACGATTATTATATCGTATGGTACATAAATAAATTAAAAAAAAAAACGAAAATAATATTCTTAAAACGTAAAAGTTTTATTCAAATTAGCCGCAATTATAGCCATTCTACTTTCAAACTTTTAAATACAACGAAAACAAACCTTAAAGTTGGGAACTTTGTTGTCTGCAGAATTGAAATAATCTAGAAAATCTGGAACTTGGTTCATGTAAGCTTTGAGTAAGTTCGCCTTTATGCCTCTGGGTGGTTCCACCGTCATTTTATATCCTAAAATACGTTTAACGAAATGTTACATAATATTATACGATTATTGAAATCTTTATTCGTACATGTAAGTTTATTTTCTATTTTGTGAACAAGTTGTGTTTTATTATCTGTAAAGATTTGGGAATAACAAAGCTTCAATATAATTAAATAATTAACGATTCAGCTGATTCAATTGATATTTTACCAGTTTATTAATCAAGTTAATTAATAAATAAAGTTTTATTAAATTTATTAATAATAAAGTTTATTAAATTAATTTTTCAAGACCTGTAAAGTATACGTTATTATTTGTGATTTCTCACTGAAATATTTTTTCTTTTAAAAAAATCTATTCCTAGAAGTAATATTATATAATTTCCTTAAATAAGTATATGTTCGTTGTATGTAGGTAATTCAAAATTTGTCTAAATTTAATATAACATATTGAACTTTTAAAATTAACTAATAGACATGTTCTTATTTATAATTATTTTTAAAGGCGTGCGATCTTTAATTAGATTCATTTGTTGACCACTAATACGGTTTCAAATATTGCCCCCCATGAGGTGGTATTTATACCTCAATTCAGTCATCTGCTATCATATAGCTAATAAAGACATTAGCTTACCATTTTGCAACAATGCAACAGGAAAGAATGGTGACGGAGTGGACGTGAGCCATAACCTGAAATCCTTATGAACCTGTTCCGGTACTATTTGCTCTACATTCAGTTCCAATGTTGGCATCCATGATGGAGAAAGATGGCAGTTCTTAAAAATATTATTTAATCAGTAGATTAAAAAAGTCTATAAAATTTACTCTAAATATATCATGTGTACGTATTTAAACTCGCACAGACAGTCAAACTCTTACTGTCATATGTCTATATGATAAAATTGTTAAATTTGTCTGAAAAAATAGTATAATCTTTGGAAGTCCTGAACAGATATTTAGTTTATTTAACAACTAGCGGCTCACGCTTGCTTCGATCGGGTTCGACATTTTAACAGTTAGTATGGGATAGACAGACTATATTCCGTTAACTTGGGCAGTAGCATGATGATATATAGCTTATAGCCTTCCTCAATAAACGGGCTATCTAATGCAAAAATAATGTTTCAAATCGGTTTAGTAGTTCCTGAGATTAGCGCGTTCAAACAAACAAGCTAACTACCTCTTTATAGTATTATAATATATAAGTATACATTATAGAAAGCCACAATTTCTCATAGACAAAGAAAATTGCGCTTAAATGACACATCGTTTAAAAATTACACACATACATTAACATTATACACGTAAAATTCACGTAGAATATATCTAATAAAATAACACACGTTACAACATCATCTCATTTTGCCAATTAAACCAATCAGTAAAAATTTTATTGATAAGACAAATAAAAGAGGAACAAAAGACAAAAAATATTTACCTGGAAAAACACCCAATTACCAAAATCACAGCCAACTTTCATCATAGCCTCGGCTAGCGGCCCTTGACCTTGACCTAAAGAAATACTCTCGAAACGTTTCCCCATCTTCATTTTATCAGCAAACTTCAGGAGATCTATAGATTTCATTGAACAAAATATTGTGACATTTTATGGTTTTTGGAGTTTATTTAATGTCCAAAACAAGAGTTTGCTTTTAAGGCGACGTCTCCATTTTGTAAGTATTTTTTGCCTTCGATTTCTTAAAGATATATAAAGATATATACTATGAATTTAATTTAACATAAAATAAGAATTATTTAATACTTTAAATATTTTAAGATATGAATATCTAATAGGTAAATATGTATTTTACGTATCGAAATATATTAGATTTGCTTTGCATCGGCTGGCACCGACTTCGAAAATATCTGATTAGATATCTATTCTAAATGAAAACCCCCGTTTAGTTATTTTTTACATTTTAGCGCCTCGAAGTCGGTTTTTTTTATTTAGATGAATGAAATGAAATGATGATGGAAAACTATACATAATCCTACTAAAATAGAATACCATTATACTGTCAAAAATATATAATTTGTTGATATAACTCATACCCGCAGCAGGATCAGTGCCAGTGGAGAGAACAAATATGATAGGCGCGAGCGGGTCGGACTCCGCGTACAGCGCCGCCAGATCGGCCGGCTGAGGCTCTACGAAGCGCGCGCCGAGACCCGTCACCACATAATCCTAAGACAATGGGAAAATTTTATTTTTCTATTGGCACAAGTTTAGTATATGGGACGCGGCCCCTGGAGGAGTGGGTGGTATTTTTGGATAGGGGAGGTGATATGGCGTACAAATATATAGAAATTATTTTTAGGAAACAAAGGAGTCAAAAGTTATGGAGACTTAAAGTTAGAACATTCATATCTTTTCAAATTCCATATTTTTTTACTACAAAATTCCAATTATTAACTATATAATAACAAATGTATATTATTGAAAGTTATTACTTGAAGTCCAGGAATAAGCTTGTCGGGTCTCAAACATTTCAAAACAAGTAATCTCTGGAATGGATCCAGCTGTGTGTCCAGTGGCTTTGGATACGGTAATCTGCAATTTTATCATACTAATATTATAAATGCCAATGCTTGTGACCAAAAGCAGATTGAATGAGTGAATGAGTGAGTGAGCTATTTGAGGGAAACTCCAAATAGAAGTTCAGAGAAGATGAGAGAGAAGAAGGGTGCTTGCTTTGGGTGATTATTTTAGTATTGGCTTCTATAGAGCTTAACGACAATGAAAAAAAACCCTAATATTATGCTATCTGCCATTCGAGAGGAAGAGAACTAATGCTTAATAAATACAAGAGAATTTCTCAAAATATGTAAATAAATGACTAATACATATCTAAAATTTTCCTTATTCGTTAAAGAAAGTAAACAATCTGATACTATTTTTAACTATGATATATATTTTTATTATTTACTTCTTCAGTTTGAGATTTTACTTTGCGTAAAAAGTTACACAAGCTTTAAGGCAGTGATGTTCTGAGCCAGAGTATTTTAAGATGTTGGTTTTACACCTCACCTCTCACCGCGTGTGTCGAAATATCGTCCCACGAGAGATTGAGAGTGAAAGAAATAGAGTGTACACTTGTGTTTTCCCAACAATTTAAGTACTATGATATCTCCTACAGAGTTAGCTTGTCTCAGTGAGTTTGGTCGACGTGGCCGAATCGGAAATTGTTTGCCACTTGGCCTACGACCAGACACTTGGACTACGGCCAGATCTACTTAGTAGTAACCGGAGGCCCGTGCCTGCGGGGCAACGTTAAAAAAAAGGGCTGAATGCAGTATATGTAATTATAAGAATCAATAACTTACTTATGAGGGTTCCAAGCGTCATAATAAGTCTTAAAGAACTTCGTCTGTTGCGGGAAATCTATCACAAATTGATGCATAGTCGGCAACGATGCCAGCTGCATCATATCGAGCCACATGCGTGGCGAGATCCACTTTGGCTCTGGATTTTCAAATTCCTGATTCGTAATAATATTTTATTTAAATGTTTTGTTTTTGTTTAGCACCATTAAAACCTAAGTAATTAATTAATTATAATAGAAAAAAACGGTAATATTAGTTTTACCCGCGGTTCCGTACGCGTAGTTTAACTAAGAGCAAGATCTCAATCAAAATCTATCTCTATTGACAATTTCACTAAAATCAATTAAGTCGTTACAAACTGAAGTAACTAATGAGTGAATGAGTGACTCACTTAATTAAGTTTTGAATTTATAAAATTAATGATGGACGTGAATTTTAATAATGTATTTAATTCAAGCATTTTATTATATCTATATAACTTGTTAAGTTTTCATTCGATTACATCAAAGTCTAGACTTTTTAATTAATTATATAATTGGACAATGTAGGTACTAATTTATTACAAGGCAAGATTCGAGAATGATCAGTTTAAGTTTGTGATACAAAAAATAATTCGACATACACTATCTCTTTCTCTCAAGTGCTGCCAACCTAAAAATCCTAAACAAATACAATATTTAAATAAAGTATGTATACATACATTGTACTTTAACATAACTAAACTCTAACGTTAATCCTTGACTAATATGGTAATAGGTTATAATTAAATATTTTTAAAGATAATAAAAACGTTTTAATGAAATTATATCATAAAATGCAAAACTAATTAGCCGAGTTTAGCATTAAAAGTGCCAATTGAATCCGTAGAAATAACGGTTTCATTTAACATTTACCAACTACTCGAGACATTTAAAACAGCATTAAACAGCTAACTATGGAAAGAAATTAAAATGAATAATATATTTCACTAGCACTGACCGCGGCTCAACCGCGGCGACCAAAAACCAAATTCTTAGGTTTTACATATTAGTATACTCTTACAATGCAGTTTTTGTGTTTTTGTATTTTTTCTCAGAAATTAGATATTTTCCCGCGGTAAAAAGTGTTCTATATGTTGACACGGATAACCAGCTATCATCATTCCAAATTTCATCAAAATCTGTCCAGTGGTTTTCTTGTGATGCAGTAACAGACAGACAGACAAAAATTCTAAAAACTATAGATTCGGACTCTGTATTGATAATAATGTCTATTTCAATTAGATTTTTCAAAAAATATTTGATGTACAGATTCGACTTGGTTAGAATTTTATTATATGTATACTCGTAGATGAGTAAAATCTAAAAAATATATAAGATGTTAAATAAGAAAGGTCGGTTTAAGTTACATACTTCCTCGATTTTAGCTCCATTCAATAGAAAGTTAAACTCTTGATGTCTAATCGTCCCTTTATCGAGTAAAATCCGGGCACAAAGTAGGAAAGCAAATAAAAGCTTATGTCTTTCGAAGAGACTTCTACATACGTTTTGATATAAGAGGAATGTGAAATGTTCAATAATAATCTCAACCCTTTCTATAATATCCTCTGTGAAAATAGAAATTAAAAATATAGACGTAAATTTTTCAAAGTCCGTTTTAGCTAGAATTGACGACACGTTTGGCTCAGTTGGTAGTGAGCCTACTTGCTGCGCCAGCGGTCGCGGGTTCGAGTCCCGCTGGGGGCATTCATTTGTGTGATGAGCACGAATGTTGTACTCCAGTCATGGGTGTTTATATTTATAATATGTATGTATTTAAAAGTTATATATGTGTAGTGTATCAACTATCTGGTATCCATAACACAAGCCTCGTAGCTCACCATGGAACTAGATGGCGCTGTGTGTTAATGTCCCAACATTTATTTATTTATTATTATTTATTTATAATACCAAGAACTATTGAAAAGCGTTTTTGCGGGGAGCGTCCCTGGGTACGTTTTAATATTTTTGAGCGGACCCTTAATTCCTTTGCTACAATAAAATTAGCATAAGTTACTCCTTATAACATCAGCTATCTGCCAGTGAAAGTCCCGTCAAAATCAGTCCAGCCGTTTCGGTTTCGATTAGCCGGAACAAACAGACAGACAAAAAATTTAAAGTTGTTTTTTTTTCTTATAAGTACCGTATTAAATTTCATATACAATAATAAAAAGTTGTAATTTTGAGATTACAAACAGACACTTTAATTTATTATAATCTGTATAGATAATGATCTTTATGTGTAATTAAAAATTAAGAAATATAATAAAATTTGGTAATGTCACGTGATCAGAATATGGTGTTCATAAAAATAATTATAATTCGCTATTAACGATGTCAACTGTAGAATAGTATTCTCGTGTGATATGTACTACAAAAAATAATTAAATAAACATGATAGTATCGTTCTTATTGAATAGCAAAAAAAAAAATACAAAACCTATCTAAATATGAATATATAAACCAACTTAAAAATAATTCAATAAATAAATACTATACGAAATAAAAAAAAAATTGACCATTTCGTCATTAACTGTGAATTGTAAACGTAAAATATTTAATTGTAATTTTCTGAATGATATGAGCAGTTTGAACCTCTTTGTTAACCGACTTCCAAAAAGGAGGAGGTTCTCAATTCTACAATATTTTAAGATATGAATATGATCTAAAAGGTAAATAATTAAGTATATATTTTACGTATAATATATTAGATTTGTTTTGCATCCTCCAATTTCACTATCCACCATTTGCGTTTATCATCAACTGACAACAAATTATTATAACATCACATAGACATCACAGACAGACATTCAAACCGATACCACAAAAAAGAAGACGGAGTTCTGAGGTAACAAACATAAAAAAAAATCCTTTTTGAAAATAAATCAACATCTCAAATAACAAAAAGGAAAGCACAGTGTTAAATATTAACCATTCGGTTCAGTTTCCGCCATGCTCCTTATGAAGAGTCTCACAAACCACTCCAACGAGTATTGGTACATGGGGTCGACGTCGGCCATCGCGGACAGGCAAAAGAACAATATCTGCCCGCGGCCGGCGACCGGCACGTAGCCGAGACGGGCCTCGTCTATTTCGGCCGATGTACGCTCTATATCTTCCACTTTTATCTGTGAAGATTAATGTTTTTGACCGATTTTGACAAATGAGGTTCAATTTAAATAAAAGTATCTTTTCCGATTTTTCGCTTTATTTAATTATTATTAGTTACAACATACCTTTGAGACGTCTAACAACTTAGTCTCTCCCGTGACCATGATTGCTGTAAAGCATTCGAAACGTCGGAAACCAAAAATCTAAATCTAAATCCGCGAAAAGGTAGTTTTATTTGAAATGTCAAATATTCGCGTAAATCTAAGAAAGTATTAAATGAGGTTCAATTTGGATGTTTTTAGTGTGTGTGTGTGTATGTAGGTTAGGAGATTTTAATGATTTGTTTTTTATTATTACTTCCACTTTATTCGAATTTTAAGATCAAGACACACACACTTATAAAAGTCAAATAATTGCTTTTACATATAATAATAGTAAAAAACTGAGTCATTTGGTAAAAAAAAACTATTTTAGTTTTATCCTAGAACTTTGTTTTTAACTATAAGTACTTTTTGGATATACTAACGAAATAATTGTTAAATTAAAATAAACAACATCGTTAATTTGAAAAGTTGTTAAAAAATTTAATATTTGTAACTTTATGTTTTATTATAATAATTATTTGGAAACTCGAAAACGAAAACCTGCTTAAATATTATACCGTAGTAAATGTTACTGTTGATTGTTAAATAACATTCCGAATAAAAAAAATCATTTACAGGTACCTACCTTTTTTTAAATTTAGTTCTAACTAAAATAAATATATTAAAGTATATATATTTATATATATTTTTTTTAACAGAAAGAGCCTTCCAAAAAGATTATATATATATATAAAGATAATATAAATAACAATCCACTTACCAGAATTTCAGCACTTTTAATCTTTATTGCTTCTAATGTCAATATCAGAGGTAGATCGTCTACGGGCGACCCCTCACTGTTGGACAAGCCATACAATATATCAGATTGCATTTTAGCTAACTGAGTTGATAGCTGTGCTCTTGATACTATGAGCTGACCCCTTAGTTCTTCCAAATCTGGTCGTTCTTGTGCTACCACTATTGACAATAGTTGTTCCGCTAGACCACTAAAAAAATATAGAGAGAATTATTATAATTTCATTTGATCTTAAAAATATTAAATAAACAATTTTTGTGTATTTAAATATAAACTAGACTCGCTCCGCTCGGGTTCGTCCCTTGGTACGTTTTAACGGTTAGTATAAATTTCTCAGAGATGAGATATTCTCCCGCAGTAAAAAGTATCCTATATGTTGACCCGGATAACCAGCTATCATCGTACCAAATATTATCAAAATCTGTCCAGTGGTTTTCTCGTGATGCGTTCCCAGACAGACAGACATAAATCCTAAAAACTATAGATTCGGCTTGTTTATTGATAATAATGAATATTTCAATAACATTTTCCAAAAAATATTAATCTGATTCGACTCTGTTAGTATATTTTATTATATGTATAGATTTATTTCGTTAGTCTCGAAAACGGCTTAAACGATTTGGATCAAATTTTGTATTTAGATAAGGTTTTGCTTTTTAAGTTTAAATATAGGTGTCTTTTCTGAAAAACACAATTTTTCAATACAATTCAATTCAACTCTGCCGTTGAACAAAGATTACTTAACATAATTGTTATATAAAAAAAAGTAATTAATACAAATTTATAACTAAAAATGTAATTAGAAAGAAATTAAAAGTTCTTTGAAGAAAAAATAACTATTGAATGTAAATTTGTAACTCAATTCGACGTAACTGGTTTCCTTATTTGCAATAATGGAACGTATCGAAACTTTCCTAGTAATTGAAATTGGCTTCGCACGCGTATTTTAATTAGTTAGCAACATGTTTTCAGTATTACAGGAGACCACATACAAGGGAAAATTCAAGCAAGTATATATTCACTCGAATTACATAAAATTTGGCAATATTAGTAGCATAAATAATACTTTCTTCGATTTACGCGAATATTTGACATCTGTACATACATATAATAAAACAGTAACCAAGCCGAATCTGTACATTAAAGATATTTTTTGGAAAATCTTATTGAAATAAACATTATTATCGATACAGAGGCCGAATCTATAGTTTTTAGATTTTTTGTCTGTCTGTCTGTTTGTTTGTTACCGCATCACAGAAAAACCACTGAAAGTATTTTGATGAAATTTTGTATGGTGATAGCTGGTTAATCGGGTCAACATATACGATACTTTTTACCGCGGGAAAATATCTCATTTTTGAGAAAAAATACAAAAACTGCATTGTAAGAGTACACTCATATGTAAAACCTAAGAATTTGGTTTTTGGTTTTTGGTCGCGGGCAATGCTAGTCTTTTATAAATCTATTAACAGAACCAAATTAATATTTACTCTTGACCGTAAATGATCGCATTAACATTTATTGTGTAATTTAAAGGTATGAAACGTACAAACAGTTATAGCATTTTTGTGTTACACTATTTAAAGCTTTAAAACATGAATACACATATTATAAGTCGGGAAAGACACTGCATATATTCTACTTTTTAAATTTACCTATAGTATAAGTGTCTTTTCTGGAAAAAACCCACAATTTTCATAATATCTTTTGCGAAAAACGACCTTAGCTAGCTAAGCTCGGTCGCCCAAGTACTACATAATTATGTCTATAAAGAATTTATAACTTAAGTATTTAGCTATAGGAATATCTTACTAACCTTGGCACGAGAGCAAAATTAACAATTTGAACTTTCACAGACGTTTCAGGGGTGTATCGAGGGTTCGGTAGCTTGGTTGTTATGTAAAGTCTAAAACCAGCCGTGTAAGGAATCAACGAATCGCCGAGTTTCAGTACGAGCTGACCAGCTTGACGGAAATATTGGCGCTAAAATAAAAAAAAAATGAGCTGTCACTTAATAAATAGGTATCATTTTTTATAATAATACCACTTTTAAGGGTTTTATGTCTGAAAAAGAAAAAAGAAATGGAACCCTTGTAGAAGCACTTCCTTATTCGCCTGTTCGTCTATCTTTAAAAATCCTTTTCTCAGGAACACATGAAGATAAAGGAATTAATATCAGATATTTAGGTCTACGGTGCCTTGAACCTTTAAAGAAATGAAGTTTCTCAGTCAATACAATAAAATAATGCAGCCATTTATGTATATTTTGATACTAGCATGCAAAAGAATCCATAAAAAAAAATCTTTTTTATGGATGTTGGCTTTTATTCTGAAAAAATAACCTATCAAACATACAATTATATCTACTCTATAAAAACGAAAGATTTACGCAATTTTGTTTACTATATCAAATATGTTATTTTTTTTGCGTGGAACCCAAATTTTTTTTACAAAATAATAATAGCCCAAGTTACTCCTTATAACATCACCTATTTTCCAGTAAATGTCCCGTCAAAATCGGTCCAGCCGTTTCGGAGAATAGCCGGAACAAACGTAGAGACAGACAAAAAATTAAAAAAAGTGTTTTTTTTTTCTTTTAAGTACCATTTATACCTTCATTCATATGCATTTAGTAAAAAGCTGTTATTGAGACATTACAAACAGACATTTCAATTTTATTTATTTGTATAGATATAGGTTTAATTAATAAACATCAAGCAAAAGTTCCGTTATTGAAACAACTGTCTAGTCTCTTGAGTAATAACTTTATTTCAAGAATGATAGATCTGTTACCGATACTAATGAACTAAATCTGATTAAGCTTTCACAAAGTTTCATTAAGATCCTTTCTTGATATAGGATGTACATAATTACTTTATTCAATGTCTTCTACTATGAATACTGCCAAATAATTTTATGGTAGTGTTAATTAGAAACAGTAAGCTTTTTATATAGAAACTAGCATAACTCGCGGCTTCGCTCGTGTGAAAATATACAAAAAAACCCCTCTAAAATGATAGGTTTCATACAAACTTTCATCCGCTATTTTACCCCCTTATGGGATGAATTTCGAAATATGCTAAAATATGTATTGATAATGAATGGTATTGAAGAGCATTTATACCAAGTTTCAAGTAATACAGATCAAAAAATTTTTTTTTGGATTGTATTATAACGCGTTTTCCCGTGGGAAAGAGATAATCTCCCGCGGTAAAATGTAGCCAATGTCAGTCACTCTCCAGCCCTCCAACTATCTCTATACAAAAAATACACCAATCCGCCAAGCCGTTTCGACGTGAAAGACAGACAAACAAACAAACAAACAAACAAACAAACAAACAAACAAACAAACAAACAAACAAACAAACAAACACACTTTCACATTTATAATATTAGTATGGAACTATGGATTCCATTCATATATGTTGTAAAATTTTATAATTATAAAATAAGATCCGAGATATGAATCTCGTATCTATACAAATAAATAAAACTGAAGTGTCTGATTGTAATGTTAAAATAACAGCACTTTTTTTACTAAATGCATATAGGTGTATATACGGTACTTATAAGAAAAAACAATTTTTAATTTTTTTGTCTGTCAGTCTGTTTTTTTGTTCCGGCTAATCTCTGGAACGGCTAGACCGATTTTAAAGAGACTTTTACAGGCGGTTAGCTGATGATATAAGGAGTAACTTAGGCTACTTTTATTTAAGAAAAACAATTAGGTTTCCGCGCAAAAAAAATATTAAACCCATGAAATTGTGAACCAGATCCGCATACCTATAGACACATCCGAGCAAAGTACAAGTAAGTTGCTAGTCATTTTCAAAACTGACATAAAAACTATAATATGAATATTATCAATATTAAATGATTTTACATACGACAGTACCGACTAAATAGCATTCAAAGCGTTAGTGCTATTCTATTTCATATACATCCCCTTAAGGGATGATTTCAGGGATAAAAACTGTCATATGTCATTTCTCAGGGTCTCAAACTATCTTCTTACCAAATTTCATCTAAATCGGTTCAGTAAATCCAGAGATTACCCCCTACAACGTCACAAACTTTACCTCTTTATAATATTAGTATAGATAAGTGCTATTATATACATTACGTTATTATATTATATCTATATATATTATATAAGTGGAATTTAATCAAATCCTTGAGGAATATCAGATACCTTCAGTACAGGATCTAAGGCTGGATCAAGTTCTTGACCTACATTTTCCAATAGTAATGGCTTTCCAAATCTTAGGGCGGTTTCGAAGTTTCTCAATAGATCTCTATCATTCGGCTTACAAACTACAAGCCCCTCTGTTTTACCCTATAAATTATCAAATAATATGATTTAATACTAACGTTATCGTTATGTTATCTGCTGTGTTGTTAACTTATAATCTTTCGATTTTGATAATGACTAAAATGTTACGCCTAAAATTATATTCTCTCGTTGATAAAATCTATGGCTTAGAATCAAGAGAAATAGAGGTTCTGGGTTTGACTCCTGGGTTGGGTCAAATATCTAAAAACACTTGAAACATCGAAACAAATTTATTATACTTACAAAATGATTATTTTTAAATACAAAAACTATATCGGAAACCTAGTCGTTGAACTAATTGCGTATTAAAAAACTCACCATAGCTCTAATCCATTTATTGGCCTGTGTTTGAGGATCAATTATTAGAGGCCATCTCCGTGAATTAGACATTAGTACTGCGGATTCCACTGACAAAGGGTCTCGAGGTAGCCCGTACATTTGCCAATTTCTATTGAAATATATATTTATAGTATATAAAAAATACGGAAAGAATATAATATTATATATTTTTCAGACAATTACAACGGTCACCATGGCAACATGGTATTCTATCTCATTCTCTCGCCGGCTTAATCCTATGTATTTATGTGTTTGTCTGTTTCTAGTGTTTCATTTCTGTTTTATCGAGTTTCAAGGCACAGCGATTCCAAAGAAGTTTCACTTCAAAAAGCCCTGCCGGGCAACTTGTGGTGAGCTTTTGGTGAGACAACACGAATGTGATATCTCCAAATATAATTGTCTTTTACCTTTGGCTTACCTTCATTTAAAGTCCAGAGCAGAGCGCTACAGCTAAAACTTGAAAGGGTGGAAGTACCTAATCTGCATAATAACGGGGGAAATACCCTCATGGGAACATTGGCAAAGGTAAAACCGATGCATACCTCTCGACACCTATAGCTGACCACGCTATTGTTGGGAACTACTCGTACTGAGGTAACATACTAATTCGCCATTTCGTAATTTTGGGGGCCCATACAAAGGTGTGAGGCGATTGAGTGATGAATACCTGTATACCTTTAACATTACGTGGTTTCAGTGCTTTTTTGTCCAAACGAACAATTTACCGAAAGATTTTTTATTACAAAATTATTGACTTTCAAATGTCAATTTTATTGGTAAAAAAAACACATTTTACTTTAAAGGAGAATCTATATGTACTGTACATATATACATATATTTTAGAAATAAAGCTTTATTTTTAACATAGAAGAAAAAATCTCTACTGTAAAGTACAACAAGTATTGGTAGTTAAAACAAATAAGCAAAAAGGCAACGATTAATCGCATTAATATACATACATAAATATCGACACCTGCTAAGAACAACATTGTAATTTAATATTGAGATAATTTGAAAAAAATAATTAATTTCTCTCATTTAAATAAATCCAAATAAAAATAGCTAAAATAGGTTACAGAGTTATGTTGTTCATTGCAGGCGTCAATGGGGAAACGAGCATAAATAGATAACCTTATCACGACAGGATCACCGAGAATAGAGAGTGGAGTGGCACCATCTGTATGTGGCACTGCAACTTCCTAATAACAAAATCCCATAAATATTATAAATGCGAAAATTTGGATGGATGGATATTTGTTACTCAATTACGCCAGAACGGCTGAACGGATCTGAATGAAATTTTGTGTATAAAGTGTGTTCTTCATACTTACAAAAATATGAGCAAAGTACAAGGTCATAAGGTAACTATAAAATTAATGTTTTACTGATACTCTTTATGTATATAATATATTCCATCTGTCTATCGGTCACGTTTTTACAAATAGATCGCTGAACCAATTTCGATGAATTTTGGCATAGATATAAATGGGACCTTGGAGAAGGACATTAGCTACTTTTTGTCGCGAAAATTAAACTTGAAGGGGATGAAATCAAAGTATATACGTAGGTATTATGTTTTTGTTGCTAGAAACATAAACATGTTATAAGTAGGTATAGAATCTGCTATATTATATTTATATAAGACAAAGAGTGATATTTTATAATGAAGACCAAGAAAACGAGTGTGGGAATGTTATATATACAACAGACTCGATGTGAGGGTAAAAGCTACTAATTTAAATAAACTAAACATGAAACATACCACTATATGTTTGATCCACTCTCCCAATAATTCTCTTCGGAATTCATCCGTAAAAGGTGTTACGTAACCCACAGCACCTATTTCAAATAATTACTTACAACATTGCATAAACTTTCTCTTTAAGGCTAATGTCGGGGTTCAATTCCTGTCTTAGACAAATATTTATATTAGCCATTAAATTTCCTATTTTGGTACGGTTTAAACGATCACAAAACAGACTAATAAAATAAATAGAGAGTTCATAAGGTATTTGTAATGTGCCTTATAAGGCGTTCACTGTATCGTGGTGCAGTGGGATCTATAGTTTGATTATTCTATACCAGAGGACACAGGATTATTCCAGAACTAGATCAATCTATCATATCGCAAAAATACTCGTACAAGAATTACCAGATAAAAATATTGTAATATTTTTAATACTATTTAAATACATTTTTAATATAACAATTCATTTAATAATTCTCTCAAATTAGATAAATTAGATGCAGACAGACAGACGCTCGTCCATTTTTTATGTGTACGGATTTATATTTACATCAAATATACCGAATATTAATTAAAAATATTAGCTATATGTTCATCTCCATACAATTATATGTGAAGAAAGAACTCTGTACCCATTTAAAGAATATTGCACGTACGGAGGTGTATGAACCTTTGTCAAAATTAAAGTTTAACTAGAGCATACAGGGTCTATAGAAAGCTAAAATAAATGTATTGTCTTGTTTTAGTTCTTTTATGTCTTTTAAATTACTTTAGTTCTAAAAGCCACAGCGTGAAGTTAGATAGCCTTATATAACCTTCACCTACTTGATGACACGTTTGGCTCAGTTTGTAGTGACTCTACTTGCTGTGCTAGGGGTCGCGGGTTCAAGTCCCGCTGGTGGCATTAATTTGTGTGATGAGCACGAATGCTTGTACTCCAGTCATGGGTGTTATAATATTTATGTATTTAAAGAATTTATTTAAAGTTATATGTGTAGTGTATCAACTATCTGGTATCTATAACACAAGCTTCGTAGCTTACCATGGGACTAGATGGTGCTGTGTGTCAATGTCCCAACAAAAAAAACTTATACTAGGTACGTTTTAACGGTTAGTATGTAATAGATAGAGTATATATTATTTTATGATATATAGCCTATATCCTTAATAAACGGGCTATCTAATGCAAAAAGAATTTTTCAAATCGCATTAGTAGTTTCTGAGTTTATTGCGTTTAAACAAACAAACAAACTCCGCCTCTTTATAACATTAGTATAGATAAAAAGCTGGAAAGTTTCTTTGTTTGTCTGCACGTGCAATCTGCTGGAACTAAGTTTTCAATTAGTAAAAATCTTTTAGCATTTTATAGTCAATTTATTGGGCAGTTTATTCCCTTTAAAAACTATACTAGAATAAAATTAGGTATATCTTACATGCACTCAGCATTATATCTCCTATGAGATTAATTTGGGCAATATCTAGTTCCTTTATCGTGCGAATCCATCTCACTCTTTCACTGGATAAACCATTCAACAACCTAGAACCAATAAATATTGTAAATAAAAACAACTAACAAAAACATTTAACAAACCAACAACAACCTTTAACAAATTACAAAAATTTAAACCTAGTAATGAAAAAAAATATACTTATAATGTATGTATCTACTGATATATCGTGTATTTAGCCTTTTTCAACGTCCTACGACTGAGCACGGACCTCCCTTCAATACGATTGGGCGACTTACATGTCTTTCGAAGACTTGCTAAGTTTAAGACAAGTTGTAATCATGTTGGAAATGATTCACACATGAAAATATCAGAAGTGGGTGATCCGGAATTCGAACCTGCTTCACACAGTTTTCCAAGCGAGTGCGTTACCACTGGGCTACTACTGCCTCTACAGAGACATAAGCCATAGCTATGAAGGATACAAGCTATCCCTTGAGCCGCTACAGCTTGAAGAAGTTATAAGCTTACACATAAAGTTTTGTTTAATTTTATTTTTGATTAAGAAAATAATTATTAAAGAGTGCAAATATAGGTGGGAAATTCAAAGTAGTTGAAACGAACGCCATTGGTCAGACGGAATATGACGTCAAAGTATCATATCATACCAGGGCGATTAGCGCTTTTGTCGATACAAATTGCGTTCTCATTTTTCTGTGTATAACATACTGTGACGTCACGCCAAAAGTGCGAAATGGCGATGGTATCATTTAAAAAAAATGTACTAAATTTCAGTTTTTTGGAGCTGGATATTTTTCCAATCATATAACGATGTAAGCTATTATATAAAAAAAAAATAAAAAAAAATCACGCATATTCCACATTACAATACTAATATAAATGCCAAAGATTACATGTGTGAGCGTGTGTGTGTTTATGTAACAGGTATGATACTTCTTCACACTGAAACGGCTGGACGAGTTTGGATATATTTAGCATACTGATAGATTATGCCCTGGAGTATTATATATAATACATATAGTCAATCTATATACAGGTTGTACGTATTTAGGCACCTAAAAAGGCAACCGTGCGAAGCGAGGACAAATAAATATAAAATAATTGCTTATAAATATCCAAATCGAGTCATTTAATTAATTATTTGAATTAGATAATTAATTAAACAGTGAATTAATTATGTAATCAAATTAATCAAAATTGATATTTATAAGTACATATAAATATCGATTAAGTTACTTAATTATTTTAATTAGTTTATTAATTAAATAGTTAATTAATTTCGTTCAATTGTTTATAACTAATAAATCTCCAAACCTGTTGGCTCGATCCATTCTCGCGAGGCACTGATTGATATCCTCCTCCATTTTGCGTTTTTCCTCTTCCTTCTCTTGAAGATACGCGTTTAGTTTCGCGATACCTTCCAAAAGAGCTTGCATTTTCGCCTTAGCATTCGCTAACATTGCTGTTAGAATCGTTATATCAATTTAATATGTATTTTTATAGTTTTTGCTCTTAGTTTTTTTAATGAAACCAAACTTACATGTATTTTACATTAAAATATACATAACTTTAATCGTTATATCTGTAAGAAGATAGGCTTTTCTTACAAATATTATGATGTCTCGACCAATTTCACTGAAACAAACCAACTACAGGAGATATTATAGTGCATTGCATGTTCGCGCAGATACAAAATGCACTCTATTCCTGTCACTCTCATACTGTATAAGGTACAGGACTATCGGCTTTACGTGCTTTCTAAGCACGGGGGTGAGACACTACCGACTTCGCAATTCCAGGCTAACTCAATAACTAAACTTGGCTCGACCCTTGATTCGAACCTAGGATATCCGGATCTGCAGCTGTTTAATAGCCACTAGACCATCGAATTTTGAATTGAATTTGAATTGCCAACACGAAAAGCTACACACAAAAACCAAATAAAAAACAATATTTCTATTAAAAATGCAATATTTTCATACATAATCAGTTTCTAATCTACCTTCAACAGCTGCCAGTTCTTTGGTGGCACGCTCCAAAGCCTCCTTCTTAGGAGCGACGGCTTTGTTCACGTGGTAGAATTTGTACATAGCGTGAACCCACATACATAGAGACATGCATGCTTTTGATACCTATAAGGCAAATTGCGTGTTACTAGGCATTATACCCGTGACATTGTATATTTAGACAAACGGACTGTTCAGAATGTATATAACGCATAAATCTAACAGGTAAATGAAATTGAACTGTGTGTTTGTAATGTCAAAATAACAGCTTTTTATTAAATTAATAATATGAAAGAATATACGATACTTATAAAAAAAAAACACAATTATAAAATTTTTTGTTTGTGTGTCTGTTTGTTCCGGCTAATCTCTGAAACGGCTGGACCGATTTTGGCGATATGAATTATAGATACGTACTAAGTAGTAGTACTTTTTATATTGCCGATAGGTTTTCCGATCGAACTCACTGTTGTTAAGGATAATTTTGAAACTACATAGGTATATATTATTGAGGAAAATGTTGAAACGACAGAAAAATCTTATCTAAGTGTAGCTTGAGGGCAATCTGTGAAAACATTCCAAATATTTCTTAGATATCATTTTATACATCATATTTTACTTTTATTTGCGAAATAGATTACTCACAAAACAAACATAGTGACTTTGCTTTCGTTCTTCTTGTTCATTAGTCAAAAACAAACTTTTAAATACGAATAAGCTATTCTAAAACAGTAATTTTTGGTTACATTTCTTAAAGCTTCAACTTGACAACACATTTTTGAGTATCATTATACGAGTTTTTAATTTAACTTTTAGCCGACTTCAAATAATAGAGTGTATGTTTTTTGTGTGTTTGCTACGCGATATCTATGCCACATACGCGATGTCTGAACAGATTTTAAAAATAAGTTATAATAAATGTATGTAATTATTTATAATAATAGCCAACTTTCAAGACAAAATTGCACCATTGAAACAACTCAAGCAATTTCCAAGTCTTAAATAAACAAAAAAAAACCTTAGAAATTTTCATGGGTTCGTAATTAGGATCAGTCACATATTTCTTTAGTTTCTTAATCATGTCTTCAGTGATGGATTCTTTATCATATTTCATGAGGGAATCAAGAAAAGCGGTCGGATCTGCTAACATTTGTGAGCCTGGCTTCCAATAGTTGAGTACTTTCTGACCGAAAGATGCACCAGGTTCCTGCATTACAAATATTATTTGAAAATATCAGTCTATGAAAGATACTTACCTAGAAGACTGCCTTTTAATATTATTTATTTTATAAAGCTACTAGCACTGCCCGTGGCTCCGCCCGCGTTAAAATGACCAAAAACCAAATTCTTAGGTTTTACATATTAGTATACTCTTACATTGCAGTGTTTGTATTTTTTCTCAGAAATGAGATATTTTTCCGCGGTGAAAAGTATCCTATATGTTGACCCGAATAACCAGCTATCATCATACTAAATTTCATCAAAATCTGTCCAGTGGTTTTCTCGTGATGCGGTAACAGACAGACAGACAGATAAAAATTCTAAAAACTGTAGATTCGGACTCTGTATCGATAATAATGTCTATTTGAATTAGATTTTCCAAAAAATATTTAATGTACAGATTCGACTTAGTTACAATTTTATTATATGTATAGATTTATCTAGCAATTACGGGAGTTATGCAAGTTTCTAGAAAGCCCTATTCCAACTATAAGGTATATTATAGAAGCTTTCAGACTTATAATGTTTATTTATAATAAAAATCATTATTCAGAAGGAATGTATACAAATAATACATTCCTTCTGAATAATGAACTTAGCCATTTTTCAATTTAATTACAACTAAATTGTTAAATTTTGCTACAAAACTTGCCTACGCAGTTTATTTAAAATAAACACTTTTATTTACACTAATTACGTTTTTACGTTTATTTATACAATATTATAAGCTGAACAGTTATTAATATATATTTTGTTTGTTTGTTTGTTTGTTTGTTTGTTTGTTTGTTTGTTTGTTTGTTTGTTTGTTTGTTTGTTTGTTTGTTTGTTTGTTAGTATACACTTATCTATAGAACTAACAATAAAAACAAGTCTATTCCATTGTATTTTCCAGCCCATTTACAAAGAAGACTATCAGCTAATATAACGCTATGACACTTAGAAGAGAAGCAAAACCGCGTGCAAAACCTAGTAATAAATATTTCCATACTAAACATTAATAATACAGCCCCTTACCTTTATAGGTTTTATATCGAAAACCACACACAGCGATTCTATGACTAGTACAACGCCGGCTGGCGGTTTTTTCATAGCTTTCACTTCAACCACGTCGTTACGATTCAGTTCTTGTAAAGCTTTTTCTGCTGCCCTAAGAGCGGGCATTGCTTCATCTATTTTGATTAAATAAAGTATTTTAAATAAAACTATCTTTTGTATTTTTCGCGAATTTATTTTGATTTTTGGTTCCTGACGTTTCGAATGCTTTACACCAATCATATCATGGTCACGGGAGAGACTAAGATTTAAAATGTCTCAAAAGCATTATATAGTTGTTACAACATGTAATAACTATAGGTATAATGCTTATGAGATCTTTGTTTAAATAAAGTATATTAAATTATGATGAAAATTTTGTTTATAAGCCGCTACGAAAAAACAATAATAACTGATTTAGAATAAATTCCAAACTAGATATGTGGTAGCAAAATAAAAACCGACTTCAAACAAAAGCACTAAAAAGTAAAAAATAACTGATTGGTAGTTTTCATTTACTATATATACCTAATCAAACATTTTCGAAGTCGGTGTGCTTTGCTTTGTATGGGCTGGCACCGATTTCGAAAATATTTGATTAGGTATGTATTTAATAGGTAGGCTTTAATTACTTAGCCAAAGCACACCGACTTCGAAAATATTTGATTAGGTATGTATAGTAAATGAAAACTACCAATCAGTTATTTTTTACTTTTTAGTGCTTTTGTTTGAAGTCGGTTTTTATTTTTTGTTAAAAAGTTATTATTATGGTATTTTTTTTTGAAATTTAAATGGGACCAATTTGGAAGTATACCCTTTCAAATAAAACAAAAATTGTCCAAATCGGTTAATAAATGACGGAGTTCTGAGGTAACAAACATAAAAAAAAACATACAGTCGAATTGAGAACCTCCTCCTTTTTGAAGTTGGTTGAAAAGCTTATGTCGCCCGGTGATCCGGATAATTAGAATGAATCAATTGACACCTCGCCACTCAAAATCGGTTGAGCACAGTGGTAACAAGCTAGCTTGAAAAATCAAGTGAAGCGAGTTCAAATCCCAGGTCCGTACACCTCTAATATTTTCATATGCGAATAATTTTCAAAATGATTGCCATGTGTGAGAAAACGTAAACGAAAAAAAGGAGTGTATGTCTGAGAGCATGTAGCTAGCTTTCGAAAGACATGTTCAGTCCGCCCGTACTCGGCCAGCGTGGTGGACTATGTTCTGACCTCCCTCGTGTTGAAGGGAGGCCCACGCCCAGCAGTGGGGCGTTAAAAAAAGGGCTAAAAGTTTAGGCGCTACGGTGGAACAAACTTCAGTATAAAGATACATACATAAACTATTACAAATATAAAGCTAACCTAGTATGGCCGTAATCGGGTGAAAAAGTAATATATAGCAAAAAGTTATAACCTAAATCTCTTTGAGCGTCCTCAGCCATGGCGGATGTTTCTTTGGCCATTAGCTCAGCTATGGCTTGTTCTTTCTCCACTTTAATTCTTGCGTCTTCGGCAATTTCCTACAGTACAAATATTATGTATTATCATGGACACAATATTTATTAACAATGAACTGCTTCAATCACAATCCAGGACCTAGGTATATGCCTTCTCTATTCATTCATTCATAATAAAATTCTCTATTGTACACCAAAAATAAAATAAAATACACAAAGAAGAGATGCTCAGCAGGAGACGTTATCTTATTAAATATTAAAAAAAAACATTAAAATCGGTCGAGCCGTTTCGGAGGAGTGCGACCACGAACACCGTGACACGAGATTTTTATATATATTAGATAACTTATATAAGCAAATAATAAATTAAAATATACACCCCATAATAATATTAAATATAGAAAACACTTCGAGTACCGTATCAATAGCTATCTGTTCGATAACTTTTCTCGTTTCCTCCGCGGCCTTTTCCATTAACGGTTTTAATTCCGCCAATTCTATCTGCAGTTGCTTCACTTCAACTTCGGTCTGATTTAATTTATTAAGACCTTTCAATAATATTATGTTGTGAGGAATTTATAAAATATTTTTTTTAAATAAAACTAAAAATTCATTGGTTAGCTTGAATTTTTTTTTCTATAAATTGATTTATAAAAAAACTTGTGGAGAGGAAAATAGTAATTATATGGAATTAATATTTTAATCATTGGTGAAAATTTCCTAGTTTAATCAAAATTAATGATTTTTAATCAAATTTTAAATGTTATAGATAGATATCTTATATATTATTTGCATTAAATTATTTGACTTGTATTATCCATTAAATTAATCTAGATTTATTAAAGTATTTAAATTATTTAAAATCAGTAAGAAATTCAGTAATAATATAATTACTAGGACAAAAAACCTTACAACTTTCTAGCTCAGTGTGAGACTTGAACCTAAAAATTTCATTAATATAAAAGTTAAAATTTCTAAACAGCTATCTATGGATTACGAACAGACCAAAATAATGGAAGACGGAAATTTTTATAGAATTAAAATGATAGCCATAGACGAGATGAGCTGACGATATCACAAGCATTGTGGGTCGAAGCTGGATGAAAACAACAATTTATTTCGACGAAATTATAATGATGAATGTTGAAAACATTTATGATGATGATGATGAAAATACTTATTTAAGATGATGAAAATGTATAAAAATTGTTACCTGTTTTCAGGGCATTAGATTCGACAAGAATAGCCTTTTGCTTCTTCTTGAACATTTCGGCGTAAGCCCCGAGCATTTCCATGTAAGACATCGGCGTAACGTAATTTAGTCGATTTAGTTGCGCTAGGAATTTACCACTCGCGTCTACCACACTTTGGTGAGCGAAACAACAGACAGACTAAAAGAGATTTAATAATTTATTCTACATACACATAGTTGTTATTATATTATTTATTTATTTACATCTAAAAATATAAATGTATATTTACAAAAACCTGTACCTACAAATAACATTTTTTATGCATTTTTTAACATCTCTTTTAAATGTACATTATGCGATATCCTACCCAATTGTAAAACATTTTTTTACAAAATATTCCCTCAACGACCGCGGACACGCCGGCGTTATGGACTAAGATCCCGCTGCAAGATTGCTACGTTCATATCGTATTTAATCGAAACCAATTTTTTATATACAATAATAAAAGGGACAATAAGTTTTGACCGGGGTGCCTATTCAAATGTGCCCGCTAGTATGTTTAATTAACTAAATAATAGTCGACTTTTTGGAACAAAAACGATGCATTTGTTATTATAATGAATTATACTCCACTTCACAGAACTACACGTGGAGATTTTGAAAAATTATAGCTGCCGTTGCGCATTTGGCCGCAACCTCTTCGCAGCCAGGTGTAAACGGGTCATATTTTGGGACGTTTATACGTTCATCGCGTATGTTCATCATTTATATATCAAATTAATACAATTTTTTTCTGTACCTGATAAATTACGTCTGCCATTTAAAGTGATATTGAAGTCGGTTCTGAGCTTAAAATTAATTATTTATTAAAGCTAACAGTATAGGGATTCTGTTCAAATACTATGGGATATATCTACATTACCTCGTAATATGAGATTTTACATAAACTGTTATATGGAAATGGGTTTCCCATAAGACTTACTACTAAAGATTCAATAACTTCATCAGTTGTTTGCAATTCAGGCATGTTGGTAAAGAAATGCCTCGCGACCGACTCCAGAGCCGACTTCGGCCATTCACTGAACCAATCGATGGTGCAACAATTCACTAAAGACGGAAACTGGCGGAGACGAGCTCTGAAGATCTAATAAACGTTAGAGTGTTTATATCATCCTTTAGTTATTATAGCTTATGCTTATTCACAATTTGGATCGCCATTTTGGGTTAAAGTGTTAAATATATCATTAATTTTACAAAGTATCCTAATGACTTTAAATGTTAAGTTACCAAATACTCGTAGTACAATTGACGATACGTTTGGCTCAGTTTGTAGTGATCCTACTTGCTGTGCCAGCGGTCGCGGGTTCGAGTCCCGCTGGGGGCATTCATTTGTGTGATGAGCACGAATGTTTGCACTCCAGTCATGGGTGTTTATATTTATAATATGTATGTATTTAAAGTTATATATGTGTAGTGTATCAACTATCTGGTATCCATAACACAAGCCTCGTAGCTTACCATGGAACTAGATGGCGCTGTGTGTTAATGTCCCCACATATTTATTTATTTAATTGGTAAAAGATATAGATATTCAATCAAATTAGAACTTTTTGTGCAAGTGACTCTAAATATAATATAAAGATCGCGCTTTATTGCTGACAGGTTAAAAAATTATATCTATTAACTTTTAAAACTAATTTTATCAATAAAAAAAATATTTTTAAGAACCTTTCGTAGCGCCACCTTCTGACAAAAATTTATTACTAACAGTAGATCTTTGTGTTTTTTCAGAACATTGCCTACCTATGTATTAAATTTCATCAAAATCAGCTCAACCGTTTTAGAGTGGAAAAATAACAAACACAAAGACAAACAAACTTTCGCATTCACAATACTAATGTAATATAAGATCGTTAAAACTAACGTTATGCCTATAAATGAATATTTAAAAACTTTTATAATATTTCTCAAGTCGTTAGATAAAGCCATCCTTAAACATAATTTCATCTCAAAGTGCAGCATCTTTATCAAATTGCCATCTTAACAGACCTAATATACAACAAACATTTAAATTAATTCATTTACATAAATTCACACAACTAACCTCCCCAACCGGACTCATAACAACGACTATGTGCAAATTACTCCTAACCCGACGCTGATAGCAAGCAAACAAATTAGTTTTAGTCGCAGCCAAATTCATTTCCATAACAGCGTGACGGACAGACATATATATTGAGTCTAAATCCTCAGCTTCATATATATTCGGGACGTCCCCGGAACTTAGTATGTTGTTTAGGTCTTCTAGAAACGATTCCATTTTGATCTAGAATTATTGATATGATGGGGTTTAAAAATATAGCTGAAGCTTAAAAGTAACTTTTTCAATTATCGTACAATATTAATATATACCTATGGGCTTCCCTAATTAATTTTAATTAATTAAATTATATTAAATTAATTTTCCCTACTGTGTTTGGTACTTTTTAATTGATAAAAACAGATATTTGGGGGAAAAGTGCTGCATGCCGTAATACAGGTCTCCTAGTACGGCAACAGAGGCTACCATATATTTTGTGACGACACAGCCTAATTTAAACTGAGCTTAAAAAACTAACATTATTCATTAAAATAATATATGTATGTTTGTTTTTGTATGTAATATTTTTTAGTGTTTTATTGTTCAATAAATATTATTATTACTATTATTTATGATATTATACCTGTGCATCAGAGAACAAGAACACAATGCCGCGGTTGTCAGCGCCCGCGCGCATCATGGTCTGCTTGAGATCGTCGCGCCACTCGGACTGACCGTACGCTTTAGTTATCTCTATTTGCATACATTGTAACTCCGCCATATTGGCCGCGAGTCTGGACAGGGACTGACGACCTTATGGTAGAAGTATATTTATTTTAATTAAAAAAATAACAATAGTACGTAAAATATATTTAAAATATATATGTATTTAAAGTTTATATATGTGTAGTGTATCAACTATCTGGTATCCATAACACAAGCCTCGTAGCTTACTATGGAACTAGATAGTGATGTGCGTTAATTTCCCAACATATTATCTGTTGCAAATATTCATCTATACATATAATAAAATTATAACTAAGCCGAATCTGTACATTAAGTATTTTTTGGAAAATCTTATTGAAATAGACATTATTATCGATATAGTGGCTGAATCTATAGTTTTTAGAATTTTTGTCTGTCTGTCTGTTACCGCATCACGGAAAAACCACAGGATGGAATTTGATGAAATTTGGTATAATAATAGTTGTTTATATTATATAGGAGAATGTCTACATATAGGATACTTTTTACTGCGGGAAAATATCTCATCTCTGAGAAATCTATACTTTCATCATTAACATATGTAGAAACGAACCCGAGCGACGCGAGGGTGAGTCGCTAGTTTAATATATAATAATATTTGTGATACATACATATTTATGTAGGTACATACTAGCACATTATATATGTTAGATTATAACGATGGTGTCAGTGTCAATATATGATAAAAATATTTTTTCACCCTTCAGGCAAATAACATATTTCTTAGACAATAAACGTACACTCTATTTCAAATGAAAAGGACCAACTTTACTGTCGTGTGATTGAGTTATTTTTACTTCTGCAACTTTTAAATACATATAATATGCTTTAAAACATTTGAAAGTCTTCATTACTAATTTGTCTTCTGTAAAGATAAAGAGTAGATTTATAAAAAAAATTTATATGCCTCAAGCGGGAGTCGAACCAACAACTTTTTATTATAACAATATACATACAAAAACATGAAATTACTATCATAATATTATCTATAAATTAATATTATTGATCATTTTGTCAATCGTGTGTTTATTTATTAGCTTTGTTCACATCGTATTATTATAATAATATTTAAATAACCTTAATTAGTATACTTATAGTACAACTAGCGACTCACCCTCACTCCGCTCGGGTTCGTGCCTAGTTACGATTTAACGTTTAGTATACATTTCTCAGAGATAAGAAAACTATTCTTAACTTTTGAGAAAACTATTCTTTACTTTAACTCGGATAAACAGCTATCGTGATACCAGATTTCGTCAAAATCTGTCAAGTGGTTTTCTCGTGATGCGTTGAATGCGTGATTTTTATATCTTTTACATACAGCGAATGTGTAAGGTCTTTTGTAAAGTTTATATTGAAATAATTTTATTTTAAATTATTATTTTACTTAAATAATATTTTATTATTAGTTGATCTGTTAAAAGATTAAAACTCAAAGTACTCTTAATTTTAACTCATAATTACTAATAGACTTTTAAGATTAGGTTGTACAAATACCTATGACACACGATATCTTCACCTATTAATTAAGTAGTACCTGGGCGACCGAGCTTCGCTCGGTGTTTTTGGCCAAAAAAAAAGATTTAAAAAAAACAAACAGAAAATTTGAATAAATACAAAAAAAACAAAAGTAAAAACTTTGTATCCTACCGGGATACGAACCCAGACACCTGTGGTAGTCAAGCTTGCGCCTTGACCGCTTGACCACGATGCCTATGTCCTAGTGTGCGAATTAGCGACCATATTTTGCGTGGGATAATGCGAAATAAAACCGCATCAAATCTTGAAACTACGCATTTTCCCTCTATTCAAGATCAATTTATCGCTTCCGAAACCCCACTGTATACTAAATTTCATGAAAATCGTTGGAGCCGTTTCCGAGATTCAGATTATATAAATATTCATTCCTTAAAGCCGGCAGCGCATCTGCAAGCCCTGCGGTGTTGCAGATGTCCATGGGCGGCGGTGATCACTTCTTCAGGTGAGCCTCCTGCCCGTTTGCCCCCTTAGTCCCATACAAGAATTGCTCGTTTAAAGATATAGGATTAGATTATAGATTTCGGAGACTTTCATGATTTTTAAATTAATAGATTAGGTTAGTTAATCTCATAAGGTAAGCTAATTGGGGAATATTTACTTTTTAGTTTAAATAATTAATGGTATTTTATAAATAACTAGCGGACCCGATAGACGTTGTCCTGCTATAAGAATATGGTCTTCATCATATTCGGTATTCACCCCGTAAAATCCTAGAATCCAATTGCAGCGCTTTAAGGGATGATTTCCGGGATAAAAACTATCCTATGTCTATATCAAATTTCATATAAATCGGTTTAGCAGATTAAGAATGAAAAGATAACAGACAGAGTTACTTTCACATTTATAATATTAGTATGGACTATAAACAAAGATTGATTACCAGAACCACCCATTCCAAGCAACAGAGCATTCGCCATCGGCTGTCGCATGATACGAGCGAGCCGACACAAATGGGCCACAGCGTCTTCAAATAACACTAAATCTAATGGCGCGGTCGATGACAAGTTGTATTCATTTAGATAATGTGATAGGACTTCATCCAACTGTAAATAAAAGGGTTAGTGTCATCATAATTTAGAAAAAGGTTAATAAAAAGGTCTTTATCAAAAATGTTAAAGTATTAAAAGGATGTGTGTGTATATTTGTGTGTGTATATTTGTGTGTGTCTACACTATCATTCCGAAATAGCTACCCTTATAGGGATCGTAATAATACATATATCGGTCGCCTTAGTACTTATCTGTTCAAACTACCAAAACTTGTTGTACGATAGAGAGGTTTCAGCTCTTCAAGTAAAATTGGACCCAGTTATGCAAAAAACAGCCATGTGCGTAAAAATACCAACAAAGCTATAAGCTCGTTAAACATATTTTATTATATACTTTTAAATTCAACGATGAAGTTAATAAGGTGAATTTAGTTCAATTTTACTTTCATTTACCTCTACTTTGTTGGTAATTTCTATATATTTCTTATCGTCAGCTCCAATGTCCATGAAATCGCCAAACAACATTAACCTCCCGCCGATCACGTCGCTAGATTTTTTATTGAATTCCGTACGAATTTTCTTATTTAGTAAACTGTAAAGGAGCGGAAATAAAATGTATATCTAATATATATTTTATTCAAGAGTATCCAAAATTACTTTTCAATATAAACACAACTTTACAAACTATTCAATACAGTATTTCAATTTATAGCTTTTGATAACCCTTCCATTCGCATTTCGCATACTTTATTAATATCTAGCGACTCACCCTCACTTCGCTCGGGTTTGTCTCCAGCTTGCTACCCAATACAAACTTTCATCCCCATTTACACCCTTAAGGGATGATTTCCGGGATAAAAAGTATCCTATGGTCCTTCCCAGGGTCTCAAACTATCTTCTTAACAAATTTCATCGAAATCAGTTCAGTAGATACAGAGATTATCCCATACAACGTCACAAACTCACAAACTCACAAATTATATCTCTTTGTAATATTAGTATAGTTGCTGCGCTCCTAAGCGTCTTAGAGTAGAATCGTAGTAGCATTGTTAGATAGCCTACATATTACAAACTTCCTTAATAAATAAGAATATACCAAAAGGCGATGATATTGAAAATGCTTCGCAGATAAAATGTCGGTGCTGGCGATGAACAAAAGAAAGATTTTGATATCATCTCAAAGACCTATGTTCGTCTGTTTTAACAGAATTACAATGATTTTTAATGTGTGTAGCGCAAGTGTCGTGCGCAAGAAGTAGCTTGGGGGTTGTTATTTGTGTTATATGATCAACGTAGTGACGAAGTTGTATTAGCGTAGCGCGATTGGTTGAGTGTATGGATCGATATAGTAAAAGATAAAGCGCCTTATGTTACAGGTAATAGAGTCGACAATAGGAAAATCTGGCGTCGACCATCAGAGGTGTGATACCCGCTTCTTTTGGTTTTCTAAGTCAGCGCGTTACCTACACCACTGTCCTTATAATATGTATAGTACAATTTTATTGATCATCGAACCACGTTCTGCTCTATAGGATTTTTCCTCAAACTGTTATACAAAATACGTGTATTCGATAAGAGCCTCTGTGGTCTAGTGGCTAGCATGTACAACTACAAATCCAGAGGTCCTGGGTTCGAGTTTAGAGTGAGGCCAAGTTTAATTATTGAGTTTTTCTGTTAAGATATTCTCAGTAACAGCTCGGAGTTAGGAAGTTGGCGGTGTGTCTCACCCCCATGCCGAGACAGACCTGTTGTCACTTCTGCGCTTTAACTCTCACCGTGAGCGCATACACTTGTGCACTATAATTGTGCACCCTGCAGTTGGCTAGTCTCAGTGAGATTGGCCGCCGTGGCCGAAAGAACTGTTAGGAGGATATTACGTTCAATAAGAAATACTAACTTGACAAACCAAGATCTATCTTCATTGTTAACAAGTCGGTCTTGATACACGCGCTGGTGTTCGTGATACCATAACCTTATAACGTCGTCTTCATCCTTTTTGAAATCAAAATGTATAATTAAATTTTATACTAAAAAATTTTTTATATGTTGGGACATTTACACACATCACCATCTAGTTCCATGGTAAGCTACGAGGCCTGTGTTATGGATACCAGATAGTTGATATACTACACATATATAACTTTTAAATACATACATATTATAAATATATATATATATATATATATATATATATATATATATATATATATATATATATATATATATATATATATATAGAGTACAAACATTCGTGCTCATCACACAAATGAATGCTCCCAGTGGGATTCGAACCCGCACCCACTGGTACAGCAAGTAGGGTCGCTACAAACTGAGCCAAGCGGGTCTTCAAGTCACATAAAATATAAGTAATTGCTTACGATTTCGATTTAATTTACTGATATTCAAAAAATAATCTATAATCTATATCTAAGACAATAATTTCCAAAAAAGTTAGACCTTTTTTAACGGAACTTTCAACAACGTATAAAAGATTTAGGTAAAGACAAACGCTATTTTATATCCCGTATCGTTTTGTTCCTATCCCATTATTCCCAAAGGATGACTCAATAAAAAGCTCGCTACAATACTACTCATAACAATAATCATTTAATTAAAATTGTCAAAATCTATATATCCACATAATATATAAAGAAAATTATAAACAAACCTTTACATTCAAAGGGTCCATCATTAGAATACCTTGGAAAACTTTACTCAGATCTCGAAGATTAAACGTATAATGAGACTTAGTTGGTGTTGGCAAAAGCTCTTCGACTAAGGAATTAAAAACTTCTATGGAGCTTTTGAGGAAAGCGTTCTCCCGTATAGACACATTTTTGAAATTACGCGTCCACGATTTTAAAATTGTATTGAAGATCCCAAACTGTAAAATGTATAATAATAAAAAATGTATATATATTATATTAAATTAAAATTATATTGAATATATTTTTAATTTTACTCTAATATTTAAAGTCCTCCTCTATTTATGGGTTTAAAGGATGAAAAGAACATTGTTTAATAATGTAGTTATTAACAAATATATGTACAACAGATAAGTTGTCCAGCAAAATCCATACTAATAATAAATGTGAAAGTGTGTTTATTTGTTTGTTTGTCTGTCCTTTTTTCACGTCGAAACGAAGTGACGGATTGGCGTGATTTTTTGTGTGGACATAGTCGGAAGGCTGGAGAGTGACATAGGCTACTTTTTACTGCGGGAGATCATCTAATTCCCACGGGAAAACACGTTATAATACAATCCAAAAAAAAAAAAATATGTACAGAATTACTTGGTACTTGGTATTAATGCTCTCCAATAAAATGAAATAAACACTTATTAAAGCATTTTTCGAAATTCATCCTATAAGGATGTAAAATAGGGGATGAAAATTTGTATGAAACTACCTTTTTAGAGATTTTTTTGTAGTTTTAGCGCGAGCGAAGCCGCTGGTTCTGCTAGTATGTAATAATGCGAAGAATTAACTAACGTAAAATTAGTTTCATTCAGTAATAACATAAGTATATTAGGTTCTCACTTCGGATTACATTAAGGAATAGGTTTTTATTACACTGAATGACCGCAAAGTACTTAGTTGGGCTCACGCTATTTACTCAACATTATCAACATGAGTAAAATATAATAATGTACTGTCGATACTAAGAATATAAAATTCTATAATAGCTAGCATTAATATAAAACCAAAAAAAACATAACACATCTAAGCGCTACGTAGTCCAAAAATGTAATATCTATATAGGTATTTTTAATAATCTCTATCAACGATATCGTTTGTAGAAAGCCAATTAACGATCTAACTGCTAACATCTCACTAAGATGACTTGACATAGGATATATTACAAACATAATTAATGGAAATTATATATGGTAGAACAAAACCTTGCTATTATATTCCATTTCAGTGAAGGATATGTAATGAAAATGCCTCATTAGTCTCATTGTGATGGGGTTCCGGCCGCCGCCCGGCGGGCCCATGGCCGCCACCAAACCCACGTCTATTAGAGTTTTGAATTCACCAATGTTCGTGCGATCGTACCAACCTAGTTTAAAATAGATTAATTAAATATCCGAACACTATTAACGCCTTAGTTTTAAATGAAACAATTTTCTTTTTTAAAAACTTTAGCGGTTTTTTTTTTTTTCGTTTCCGGCATTTCAAATGCCTTACACCAAACATGGACATGAGAGTTCTCTGGGAAAATCCGAAATAAATATTTTCATTTAAAATGTCAAATAATCGCGTAAATCTAATAAAATATTGTATAAAGCCATTATTTTTACTTGTGACAACACCACTCTAAAAAGATTTTTTTGTTAACATTACAAAGTATGTAATATGTAAATCGAAGTTATTAAAAACTATAAATCACGATTAAGATGGAAATTAGTATAATCAAGTGAAATAAAATTAAGTATATCTAAAATAGCACTATTATAGGATATTATCGGAAAAACTTTCAAAAAAGTTTAGAAAAGCTTTTAAGTTCTATAAGTTTTGATGAAAAGGGGAAACCTTTTATTTTAAGACTCTTAATACTCAGCTCAAACTTTAAATCAATCAGACTTATAAATGCGAAAGTATGTATATATGTGTCCTTCTGTGTTTGTAAATCCTTCACGCTGGAACGGCTGGACTGATTTGGATTAAACTCTATTTCTGTAATAGCTTGGAATTTTGTAGATTAAATTTAGAACACAGTTATTATTATGTTGGCACATTAACACACAGCACCATCTAGTTCCATTGTAAGCTACGAGACTTGTGTTATAGATACCAGATAGTTAATACACTACACATATACAACTTTAAATACATACATATTATAAATATAACCACCCATGAATGGAGTATAAACATTCGTGCTTATCACAAAAATGAATGCCCCCAGCAGGACTCGAACCCGCGATCGCTGGCACAGCAAGTAGGATCACTACAAACTGAACCAACGTGTCGTCAAAATATACTATGACCTATATGATGTAACATAAATACTAATGTTAGGCATCTAGAGCATTAGTCAATTAAAAAAAAAACTTTGGTTTATTTTTTATATTATTAGTTTTTGATGACTTTTTAATCAAATACGTGCGTAATTCGCCGGTTTTCCGAGGATGGTAAATAAATTACGCGTGCAAATAAATAATGGGATTAGAAATGGCGGCTCATTAGTCTTGTACTGTCAGCATAATAAAGCTCAAGCGTCGACGACTTATTTGGGTAATTACCCACATAACAAAAATCTACTACGCTTATTGTGTTATGAGAGAAAAAAAAACTAGTTTTAGTTGTAATTTGAAAGCATTTTAGATTGTTTAGGATTAAATATGAAATATTCTTAAAAGATAAAATAAAAACTTTGATTAATTTCGAAAATTAACACAAAAATAATATATAAAAAAAACTATAATTTTTTAGGTCTTTATCGACGGGTGTAAATTATACGAGGTATAGTTTTTGAGTAAGAAGCAAATATGAGGATACCATTTATAATACCATCTTTAATTTGTACGAGGGTTATCTTAATTACTATATAATCGTATAAATCAATATTATATATATTGTATGAGAAGATCAATCTCCATGATACCTTTCCCACTTCATGTAACATTGCCCAAGTAAATGGAGCTCAACTGACACGCCCAAAACCCATTAATAAGAGAATTGAACTGAATTAAACATAGATATAGAAAAGGTAGATGATACTTTCTTAGATTTACGCGAATATTTGACATTTTAAATAAAACTATCTTTTCGGATTTTGTCGCGGATTTATTTGCATTTTTGTTTCCCGACGTTTCGAATGCTTTACAGCATCCATGGTCACGGGAGAGACTGAGGTGTTAGATGTCTCTGACAGACCTCGGTCTCTCCCGTGACCATGATTGCTGTAAAGCATTCGAAACGTCGGGAAACAAAAATGCAAATAAATCCGCGACAAAATCCGAAAAGATAGTTTTATTTAAAAGGTAGATGAGTTAAATATTGACATTTCGCTCTGTTCTCTACCCATCACAGTATTTTATTTTTCTTTAAATTTTTAGCCTTTCTACCATTTATAGGTATATATAAAACAAATTCGTGTTAGTAGTACCATTTATAATTGAAGAACGGCTGGACCGATTTTTATGATCTTTGATTAGTTGGATGAATGGGAAAAATTCACTAACAAAAAAATCAGAGTTACTTGGCTAACGCTGGCTATTAACTATTTATAAAGTACCATTATAATTGGTTTTAAATTTATAGGTGGACTTCCATCTTCCATCACTTTCATTGATATATTTTATATCAATAATATACACCAGCAAGAACAACATTGTAAATCAGTGTTACATACTTGTTACTTTAAATATATAAGAAATGAATTTTTATTTAAAAAATATCTACAATACTTTTCATCGATCTCTCGATAAATAATAATTTACCAGAAAAATCCATAAACTGTCTCAACAGCTCTATAGGCGGCTGCGCGCCGTACACTTCCAACGCGGGCATGTTGAGGTCATCTATGAAGAACACCTGCCTCTTGGGTGGCGGCGGCCCGAACACGCCGCGCCGGCGCCGCTCCAACTTACTATCTATTACGTCCTGTTCGAATTGTATTTTAGCTTACAACTTAAAAAAAAAAAACTTTTTAATTAATCTTAATTAAGAAACTTAAGGAAGCAGCAATAATATGATTTACATATTATTATGGTAACAGATGAAGGATTTCAACATGTAATAGGTAGTCGAAGCAAAACTTATGATTAGGAAATACCAAGAATATTTTAATATTAAATATTTCTGTTTTAATTATATATTATTTAATTTGGTAGTATAATCAAACTATATACAACTTATTGAAATGTATTACAACTAAATTAGATATTAATAAATGCTCAAAAAACACACTACACTTGAAAAATATTTTTAGTAGCTTATAAAATGACGATTGAAATTCAACAATCACCAATAGCAAAAAAATAACCATAAATTAATGAAATAATAAAAAGACCCATAAATTAATGAAATAATAAAAAAAAACCATAAACTAATGAACAATAAAAAAACAAAAGCATCAACGATAACAACCATATAATTTACCTGAGTTTGATTAGCCGAAGTTCTCGCGGAAAACACGAGGAATTCGCAAATAAATTTCTTATGCAACCCTCTCGATAGCTTTGACGTTATTGTGACAGTCTTGCCGGTGCCGGTCGGACCGACGCAGATCACGTGGTTGTAATTAGTTATCTTATAACCGAGGAGAGCCGCGGAGCGAACATTGTCTAAAGTCGGGACTTCTATATCTGTACAACAACGAAAAAAGATTTGATTTTATTTTGATATTGATAAAGAATAATATTATTAGATTATAAAATAAGAAAATTATAACAAGAATACTTTGTTAGATTTTCGGATTTTTTCGTTTAGTCTTTTCTGTGACTGCGAATGTTGTAAAACATTCGAACAGTCGAGAACCAAAAATTAAAATAAAATTATCAAAAAAAAAAAACCAAAAAGATAGTTTTATTTAATAATATAATTATTCATTAAATTATTAATGACGCATATTATTTTTTCTCTTCTATTCTATTACCTACTTCTTGACTGCATCATCGGATCAGCTCCATAATATTGAATAATTGTCATATACTTAGAAAGATTTAAATCGATACAACAATTCTAAATAAAACTTATAAAAGTATATTAAAATTCCCAACTATACCAGCAAATTGCCATTCAGGATCAACCTCGTACTCCTCGAGGTTTTCCATCCAATTGTACCAATAGGGATTGGCCGGCTCACCATCCTCCGTGGGGTCGGTGAAACCACCGTCATGTAATCTAAGCGTTAAAATTTGTCTATAAGAATATAGATCATGCATCGTCTCTATTTCTATCTCTTTTTATTTCTTTTCAACAACTCTTTTGCACTTGTGAAGTAATTAGTTGAGCTAATTATAGAGAAAAAGCTAAGCTGATAATTCTTTTTTTTTGTAATTTTATAATTTTTAAATGCAAAACATAAACGAGTTATAATTTTTTTAATTTTTAATTAAAAAAAATATTCTAGAGTATCAGTTGACTACCACATACTTACGTGTAATCGTAAACTCTTCCTTCCTTAGGAAACAAAGGTTTTGCACCATTCTCTACCATTAGTTCTCTCATAAAGTCTGAGAAGATCGCTCTACCGTTGTGATCACATGTAGCGCCTACTGACCATATAACCGACCATATCACCCAACATGGCGCTAATTTCGCTGTTAAAATAATTAAGTTTAGTTTTTATGTAGTTAATAAATTTAGATAAGGAAGGGCTACATCGATTCTAAAACGGATAATTTTTCTTATATCGTTCTGTTTTATTAGGTACTAGCGACTCACCCTCGCTTTGCTCGCGTTCGTCCCTATCTTGATTCCCTATACAAACTTTCATCCCCATTTTCAACCCCTTAAAGGATAATTTCTGAGATAAAAACTATCCTATGTCAGTGTCTCAAACTATCTACATGCAAAATTTCATCTAAATCGGTTCAGCTGATTAAGCGTGAAAAGGCAACATACAGACAAAAAGAGTTACTTTCGCGTTTATAATATTAGTATGGTTCGTACATTATATTATTATATAATATGATATACGATCCATACTAATATTATAATAACTATATATTATACTAACGCATCATAGCCAAGAAAGCTGCCCCCGGCGGCGGTCGATCGTCTTTACCAGTGAGTGGTCTCAATCTATAGTCCATGAGTTCTAGAAATTTCAATACTAAAGCCGAATCTATAGATGCCACTATTTCAGTTAATTTAGAACGTAATAGAGTCAGTGTTGGATAGAGATATGCATTTATCAGATTGGGTAGAATTTTCCGAATATTGTCGGCAATCTGAAAATATTAAATCAATTGAAAGCCTTTTTTAGTTTACGACATTCAGAAATTAGGCAAATAATGATGTAAAAACAACTTTTTTTTTATGGAAACTGGTAAGAAATCAATCAATTTAGTGTAACTGCTATGTTTTATTATTAAACGATAACGCTTTTAATAAATGCAATGAAAAATCGAATTTTTAAAAAGACGCACTCAGCCAGTTTAAATATTGCGAGTGATAACATCTTTTTTTTTTTTTTTATATGGCTTATAGTTGCGTTAACAGACGCAGTCCATTCTGCCAGTGTCACGTTTTGTGAGGAGGACACGAATGAGATTGAGCGGTAATTTTGAAATTGTGATAACATCTTATTTTTGCCTATGTAAAGTAGACAAGGAACATTCTCGACATGTCAATGTCAGTTATATCTTTTATTTTTTTTAACGAATAGAAATACCTACTACTAGATTTTGGGAATATCATGCATAATAAAATATAGGATTTAAAGCACAGTACATGAGAATTAATAATTAAATTAAAAATAAAATTATATTCTCGGAATGTTTTTATTTTTTTACCGAAATTGGGAATGCTTCATAGTACACTAGCTAGCTAGAAAAACAAAAACAAATCTATCCCTCGGAAACCGTATATTTTTCCGGGATAAAAAGTAGCCTATGTGTTATTCCAGACTATAATCTATCTCTGTGCCAAATTTCATCCAGATCCGTTCAGCCGTTCTGGCATGAAAGAGTAACAAACATCTAAACATCTATACTCACAAAATATCACATTTATATATAATATCTATACAGATACATATATAGTTCACGAGAGAGACTATGATCTTTGGTCTCTAAACTCATAATTAATACAGACGCTTATTACCTTTCCAGATTTTTTATCATACAAAATATCCAAAAATTACTAAATATATCCAATACCGATGGCAAGTTGCTCTTCATCCAAGCGTTCACCAACGGCGGCAGACCAACGACCTGCGTGTCCAAGTACACCATCCCGCAGCGCGACACGGTCGCGGGCGACGCTACAGCCAGGTCCGCCACTTCGAATATCATCCTCTGTCTGTCTGTCAGTTTCATTATCTCCCCACTCGATAGGCATAACTTTTTATTATCGTCTAATACCTAAAAATATAATATAAAATATAACTATGTATTTTTTCCTTTATTATTTTTAAAAGTTTTACATATTTTTTTTTTAATAAATATACAACTGAGGCTTATGTAATGCTACATTATTCGGTTAAAAAATATATTACTAGAATATTACATAATACTCCTATGTACTCCTATCTTTTAAGTACAGAAAAATAATATTTGTGTAATTTTGTTAATTAGATCAGGGGGTAACCTATTTATAAGTCGCAGTATAATGTACATAGTCGTTATTTCGTATAATAGAATGTTCGTCTGTGCAAAACCGTAAATCTCCGAAACTCCGAAACGAGCGTTTTTTTATTCATGAAAAACGTTATTCGCTATATAGCTTTAGTTACCTTCTAGGTGGTGGTGTAGCGCCTCAACTTTTAAATTGTTTTACAAATCACCATGAAAATTGGTACATATTTAAGGAAGGAAAATATTTTCGTTTATCTATTTACATTAGAAAAATATATAAGAAGAAGAAATTAGTATTCCACCCACTTCTGTTAAGCTTTCACCTATATAATATATTCAATATAGATATTTAAACTAATGAACAAATTAGTATTTTCTAAAAAGAAATCATTCCAATTATATATATTCTTCTTGTATTATACATAATAAAGGAAGAGATGAGATTAAAACACCAAAAACAGAATCGAGACCATCACACTTTTTCAAAATCGGTAAAAATCTGTCATAACTCATAAGCTAAAAAAAATTACTAACAGTATTCATATTTTCGATCCAAACAGCATCCACGGGTCCATCGAAAACATACCACCGCCTGTCGTTATCTTCTACCGCGATACCAGCTCTGACTAAACTCGATAGAATACCGTCAGTCCTAAACAAAATAACAATGAATATTGCCATTCGAAAATAAATAAAAATATTTATTTTTATATTTAAACTAGCGACTCACCCTCGCATCGCTCGGGTTCGTCCCTAGGTACGTTGAAACGGTTAGTATGAAATACAATTTTTTGAATTTCTCAGCTTTCCTATACTATAATATGCATGTATTATACATGTAAAGCTTCCCCTTGGATCACTCTATCTATTGGTGAAAACTGCATTAAGTTCCGTTGAGTAGTTTAAAAGATCTAGGCGAACAGACAGTGGAAGCGATTTCATTTTATACTATGTAAAGACTAGTGATGCTCCCGCGTTTTACTTCAAACACAAATCTCGTTATCATCTCGGTCAGCTATTCCGGAGGTAAAACTTACATACAACAGGCATTACCTATTTTATTTATGATTATTTGGCTTTTGCTTTGTATAATAAATAATATGTCATTTTAAGAGGCACAGACAGGCATTTCATTTTTTTATAAGCAACAGTTTCATAAATGATATTTTTGGTCGTTAGATTTTTTTTTGATATAGGGATTGATTTTTAAATGAAGGAAAAAAGCCTTTGTGTTCTGTGAAAATATAGGTATTTTCACATCTGGCAAATATTGTGGTTTGGGAGCTAATCTAACGTAAGCTCTTTTATGAAAGATTTATTGTGCTTGGGCATAACATATTTTCAATTTTACACATGGAATACATTAAAAAAACTACTATAGATAATCTTTACCTGTTATATAACAATTTATAAATCAAATTTTATAGTTCTAATAATAATTGTACAATAGAAAATAAAAATAAAAATATTAAAATTATTTTCATTTGTTCCTCTACAAGTCATATTTGTGTAAAATATTTGCAAGACGTTGTATTGCACTTCATAATCATAATATGACTTTTTGCCAGAATTTTTTTTTTTAATAATTTAAAATAATTTAAGCAGTGGTAACCATAAACATGAGAAACCAAGTGAAGCGCTCTTAAACTCCAGGTCAAATCTCTTAGATTTACATAGTTAAAACTCATTTGCATTACAATTATCATTTACTATTACGACAAAAGAAAATATCTTAATTAATTGCACGCCTGAGAGGACCCTAATCATTGTAAAAACGATTTTAAATGTTAAAATCACCAACCCGCATTTACCTAGCATGGTGGTCTATAACCTAATATCTCTCAAATTGAGGGAGTGATAGAGCACAGCAGTGGAATATAAAAATAAAAAGAATTATGATCGCAACCGTATTCAGCCCTTTTTAACATCCCTTTATTTCTAAGATTTTTGTACTTGTGTATATAGATAAAATATATATGTTCGGCTTTATTAAGTAAAATGTATGTGTTATACAAATTAAATTAACATTTCTTTCGTTCTGAATTCAGCCCTTTTTTAACGTCCCACTGCTGGGCGTGGGCCTCCCTTCAAACGAGGGGGATCAGGTCACAGTCCACCACGCTGACCAAGTGCGGGTGGACTAAACATGTCTTTTGAAAACTTGTTAGGTTCTCTCAGACATGCAGGTTTCCCCACGATGGTTTCCTTCACCATAAATTATATATTGCAACTAGTGTTCTGTATACGAATACTTACCATTCATGAGTTTGCAAGTCAAACTCTCCATACAACTGCCCCATAGTGATGGATTTGGGGTTCACAACAAAAGTGTACACTGTGGTGAAGGGGAACCCGTCCGGCGCTAATTTACCTTTGATTGCTGTTAGCGCGTCTCGCAGAATTTCGTAACACTAAATATTACAAGTAAGAAATTTTATTTTCATAATTAATCATATTTCATATAAGCGGACAGCTTATAAAAAAACTCGATTCCTTACAAACTTACTATTTATGAAAATAAATTACATATTTTTACAACAATTGTAATATTGAAAGAAAAATAGGAAAATCTATTAAACCTGCCAATAATTTACATTTTCTGTATCACAGTCAAATAATTTACAATCTTCTAACGCATCTAAACAGGTTTCTATTAGTGAAAACCGTATAAAATCCGCAGAGTAGTTTCTGAGATTAGCACGAACAAACACCAATTCCACGCGATACCCTTATCACTGTAATTTAAAATATGTAGTGTTAAAAAGTATGTTTTCCTTCATGAGAAATTCGGAATTTTAACTGTGAAGGTTACAGAGAGACAGTGTTGCAATTAGTAGCGGTTTTGTATATAAAGAATATAAAGAAAGTTCATGTAAGTATTGAGGTGTGGAGTGCGGGGAGATTCGGGAGAAACACAACCGCTCTGGATAACGCTCTGATTTATTCTACCTCTAAAGATTAAGACTGATACATTATAAACTAACTACTAACCTACTAACTAACTACCAACTAAATAATAATTTATGTTATGTATGCTAGGCACCATACTTTAGTATTACACACCTTTGTCTTACCGACTCCAGCAGGCCCCACCAACATAAGTCCGTGTCGGACAACTGTAGTCTCGTACAACTGAATGATTTTAAATATAAACGCTGCAAAATATCATTGATTATAACAAAGAAAATAAGTATATTATAACTAGCGACTCATCGCCGCTTCGCTCGGGTTCGTCCCTTCGTAGGTTGATTCCCCATACAAAATTTTATCCGCATTTTTCTTAAATTCGTTCCGAATGCTTTACAGCAATCATGGTCACGAGAGAGACTGAGGTTTTAGATGCCTCAAAGGTCATTAAATATACTTGTTACAGTACAGACATGACTTTTGACAAACCAAAAATAAAAATAAATCCGCGAAAAAATCCGAAAAGATAGTTTTATTTGAAACACTACTACTTAAGAATGTTAATTATTAGGCAAAAGTTATTATTTATGAGCCTTATATAGGATTTAAGCTCAATATGTTAATATTTAGACACCTACTAGGTACTAGACTAAATAAGCAGTTAGCTTGATATAACAGGCGGTACCATAAACCAAATCTAATTGTCAATTTCATGTTTATGAATCTATGAAAATGATATCGACTCGCCGTTTGTGTATAACAAGGTTTTGGGATTCTATGAAGTAAATAGAAGTAATTACTTTTTATATAAAAAAGTACATCAACCCTTAATTATTATTAAAGATTGGTTGGTGTACTTTTTTAGGTGAAAAGTACTAATAACAATAAAAAAAAACAATAATAACCTTTTCATTAAGAAGAAACCATGAAAATTATCAAGAAATCATCTATTTTTGACACGCAAAACAAATATATTGAGTAGAGTACCTACTAAGATACTAAATTGGTAACACTGGTAAAACTGGTAAAATTGGTAAAACTTGGAAACTGGTAAAAATAACTAAGTAGGTAAAGTATAATTATTATACCTTACGCACTTAGTACATATATGATGATGTTCTCCTGACTGATTCCGGCCACGGCGGCCAGTCTCATTGAGACTAGCCAACTGCGCAGGAGATATTATAGTGCACAAGTGTACGCGCAGACACAAGTGCACTCTCTATTCCTGTCACTCTCATACTCCGGTGGGACGACCACTCGACACGACCAGTGAGAGTGTCGGCGCAGGACCGACGGCTTTACGTGCTCTCCGAGGCACGGGGGTGAAATACCGCTATCTTCCCAACTCTGGGCTGTTACTGAGGCTTAATATACAGAAAGACTCAATAACTAATTTTGGCCCGACCCGGGACTCGAACCCAGGACCTTCGGGTGTGCAGCCGTACATGCTAGCCACTACACCACAGAGGCAGTTAAACATTACATATATACATATTTATCAAAATGATGATGTAGATGTCGTCTCGACTAGACTAGCCAACTGCAGGAGATATTATAGAGACGATAATTCGACACTCGCGGTGCGAGATCAATCGCTGGGGTGAAACATCGCCAACTTCGTAACTCAATTTCAACAACTAAGCTCAAACCCAGGACCTCCAGATGTACAACGAACAACTGAGCTAGTTAATTTATCAAATTACTTACTGTACAAATCATCATAGCCCTTTTTGATCAACATATTCCGTATAGACTGTTCCATAATACCGTAGTCCACTATTGGGATTTCTACTCGTGGGAAGAGATCTGATATTATACCTAGAATTAACAAATACATTGTTGTATTACTAAAGATTATATAATTAAATATATAGTTTGGGTAATTCAGATACTTAAAACTACTTGCATGGATAATTTGAATGAGTTAAATATCTTAGATATGTTTATCAAACGTCAAACATGACATAGTCAGTTACATAGTAAGAAGCAGATCAGAGAGAACTAAAATTATTGAAGAAAGCATTATGTATGTTTGAGAGCTAAATCGGGCTACATACATATAGTTTGTATGTTTTTTTATGGTACTCAGTGATAAACGAACAGACACCCCACCTGATGGAAAGCGGTACCTGTCGCCCATGACACCTACGGTTCATGCACTTAGGTTGTATGTTACAAAAACACAGAACCGCAGGTGCGTTGTCACTGTGAGGACTAAGATAATATGCCTCTTGCCTGTAATGCGCTGGCTACCTTATCCTTCAAACCGGAACACAACAATGTAATCATTATTGCTTGAAGGGAGAATTAGATAAGGGGGTGGTACCCATCCAGTTGGACTCCTCAGGCTTGACAGAGTCCTACCACCGGTAAAAAATGTATGTATGTTTGTTGATCTTTCACGCTAAAATGGCTGAACGGATTTAGATGAAATTCAGTACACAGAGAATATGACCTGAGGTAACATCTAGGCTACTATTTGGGACCCTACGTACAGAATCCGAGTAAAGCTAGGTCCAATCCCCAATAAGTAATGCCACAGAAAAAAAAAACAATATATTAACCATTAAATAACACGAGATCATCAGCCAAAAACTTAGGTACATTGACATCACGCAGCGCTCGCAAAACTATTTGCCTCTCATCGCCGTCGGGCATCTGACGAATCAAATTGCCCGCAACCAATATAACAGTTTTAACAGCTCTCATACCAAAGTCGTAGTGCTCCTGATAATTTACATTAAGAAAAATCATACATCAATTAAATTCTACAAAACAAAGACTGAGAACTAAGGAGATAATTTTGTGAAACTTCATTAATATCACAGACATGTCGTCAGCTTAGTGCGTATTTGTTCAAACCACCAATATTTGTTATATTTTACAGTACAGAAGTTTTATGAAAACAAAGCTTCATTTCTGAGATTTTTATACAAAAATAGATAAAAAAAATCGGTATTATTTTCGGCATTATTAAGTAAAATGTGTATTTAATACCAATAGAATTGACATTTAATCGTCAATAATTCTGTATTATAATATCTTTCGGTAAATTGGTCGTTTGTCTGTATATAATATACATTCAAAAGGCACCTAAGAACGCACCCGAGCAAAGCAAGGGCAAGTAGCAAGTATTGCATAATATTGTATACAATAATTTAGTTAATTAACATCTTGTTATATTATTTTAAATTTTAATACTAAATTTCACTTACTTGTGAGGACAGCTGTTCTGAGCTAAGTCTAAATGTGGTTGTAATTTTTCCAGCTAAAATCTTAGCCTCATAGAAACCATACGAGAACAGCGATATTTCGGCAATTAACGCGTAATCCGGCACCATCATGGCTATTGGTCGAAATAGAGCTTTTAAATTATCTGGTAGCTCTGTACGACCTAAACAATGGGAAAATAAATCGATTATGTGTGTTCATAATGGTTAAATCTCATGATATGCATTATACGTAAATATAAATAAGTTAGTACTTAGTAGAAAATCATAATTTACAATTACTATCATCATAAAAACAACAAAGTACAGTGTAGCTTTAGGCAATATAGAATATTTTATTAAGAAAATATGTTAAATGAATGGTTTGTATAAAGAAATCTCACTCCAATTTGTATTTGGAAGCAAATTTTGCATTTAGATTATTTATCTATCAAATTGACAAAACAACCACAACAACCATAAATAATAACCATAACAAAAATGTAAAAACCGCATGTGCAAATTAAACCCATAACACGCGGCCTAGAAAGCCGGGCCAAGAGACAGTTCAACTTTTAACATAAATATAAATTTAAAGTAAAACATAATGAATACCCGCATATCCTGGATTCATTGTAATGAACACCGAACAGGAAGCCTTCAAAGGCAGTTCGCAACCTTCAAACATAAACTTCTCTTGGCGTGCTATTTGAGCCTTTTGAATCGTCACAACCTGTGGGAAATAAAAGAAACATTTCAAAATTATAATATAATTAGCGACTCACCCTCGCTCTGCACGGGTTCATCCCTAGTCTGTCTGTCTGTCTGGGAACGCATCACGAGAAACCACTGGATAGATTTTGATGATATTTGGTATGATGATAGGTGGTTATCCGGGTCAACATATAGAATACTTTTTCTAAGAAAATATACATTTTCTCATTTCTAAGAAAATATACAAAAACTACATTGTAGGAGTATATAAATATGTAAAACCCAAGAATTTGGCTTTTGGTCATTTGAACGCGGGCGGAGCCGCGGGCAATGCTTGTGATAACATAAATTTTGATGGGTGACCAACTAGTGACACAATGTAACAACTTACCGAACTAAGAGGTCACGTAAACCGCTTTAGTTATTATTAATATCAATTTTGAAGGTTCAGAAACATTTGGGTCGGGCATAATTTGCAAATGCCGAACGCATAAAAGTTTATAACTGACCAGATAATTTTACAAATCTAAATTTTAGCCTTTTGTGGGATATTTATTTTTAATGATAATCTATACATATAATAAAATTCTAACTGAGCCGAATCTGTGCATTAAATATTTTTTTGGAAAATCTTATTGAAATAGTCAATATTATCGATACAGAGGCCGAATGTAGTGTTTTTAAAAATTTTGTCTGTCTGCTTGTCTGGAAACACACCAGGAAAAAACCATTGAATGGATTTTGATGAAATTTGTTATGGTGATATTTGGTTATCCGGGTCAAGATATAGGATACTTTTTATTGCGGGATACATATTTTAAATATAAACACCCATGACTGGAGTACAAACATTCGTGCTCATCACACAAATGAATACCCCCAGTGGGACTCGAATCCGCGACCGCTGGCACAGCAAGTAGAGTAGGGTAGTACATACAAACTGAGCCAAACGTAAAGGAAAACATCGCAAGGAAACTTGCATCTAAATCAAACTTCCGGCGCTTTTCAATAACCTATCTGAAGTTGTTCTTACTAAAGATAGAATTCACATATCTATATACATCTACATAAAAATAACGAAAAATTCTTAGTAAGGAAACCCAGCAAAAGAAAAGTTATTGAAATCCATCATTACCTGGTTTTCTAAAGACAGAGTTTTCACTTGTTAAAAAGAATGTGAATTTGTGAATTATTTACTGTAGATATATATGTAGATAAATAAAATTGAACTGTCTGTTTGTTAAGTCAAAATAACAGCTTTTTCATAAATGCATATGAAATTATATACGGTACAGTTTTTGTCTGTCTGTCTGTTTGTTCCGGCTAATCTGCGAAACGGCTGGACTGATTTTGACGGGACTTTCACTGGCAGATAGCTGATGTTATAAGGAGTAACTTAGGCTACTTTTATTTTAGATAAAGAATTAGGGTTCCGCGAAAAAACATTAAAACGACGGACGCGCCCGAGCTAAGCGAGAGTAAGTCTCTAGTTTAAAGTAAATGAAGTCCTTTTAATATCTTAAGATAATGATAAATATCATTAAGAGTAAGATTTGAGGAGATTTCAAAACAAATTACCTGCTGAGCAACAACTGATAGAACTTCGATATCAATTCTATTGAATTCGTCAAAACATGCCCACGCGCCAGATCTGATATAATTAAAATTTGTATGAAATAGTAATTTAATTTAATAATAACTAATAAACGAATAAATGGAATAACAGTCGTGTATAGAGATTTGATATTGTGAAAAACTTTGTGTTTGGAGGACGTTTGAACTGTAACCTATACATATAATAAAACTGTAGAGGTCGAATGTCTGTACATAGAAAAAAAAATGCTAAAAACCGAGTCAGGGGGATGTAAGAAGAGAAATAAAACAAATCCAGATTTTTTCCAATTTTTTGTTTCTCTGTCTGTTTGTCTGTTTGTACGGGCTAATCTCCGAAATTGTTGGACCGATTTAAACAAAATTTTGCATGGTGATACCTTACATCCCCGGTCAACATTTTAAATACTTTTTATCCCGGAAAATAAAGAGTTCCCGTGGGATAGATTTGTTATTGTTTGTCCGCTAGCTAAACCTAAACGTATAGGTTTTAGAATTTTCTCGTCGAAAGACGTAAAAAGGAACGAGGGCCAGCTTTTTGATTATTTTAGTCAACTAGACTGTAATAACCATATTTATGTGTGTTCAATATAAAATTCGTTCAATATAATTGAAGTAAATTAAGATTTGGTAGCTGAGTGGTACTGGGATCACTTACGAGACCATATGAACCGGGTTCGAATCCCAGATCTCGCACATCTGATCATCATCATCATCTCATGTGCGAATCATTTCCATCATGATGATCACCCGTCTTATGGTGAAGAAAAACACGGTGATGTCTGAGAAAACCTAATTAATAAAAAAATACCTTTGACCTTTGAAAGCGTGACCTTGAAATAATTGATAAAAATTCAATTATTTTATTGATTTAAGAAAATAATATTAGACCCTATTTAGACGTACTTTGTATATATTAACATTTTTATTTCATGTTAATGTTTTATTTTAACTTACGCCGCAAGCCCTTTGAAGAATTTGCCCATTGCCATAAAGTCGAGTTGGTCTGAACAGTTGAACACTACACATTGCACGGCCAATGCTTTCGCGAGATCCTAGAATTAATATATCAATTAATATCTATGTTGTATCTAATAGAAATATAATTAAGTTATAAATAAATAATTGTAATATAATAAAATTGAACAAAAGGAAAATGCGATTTACATAAATAGCTCTAAAATAAGAGCTAGCATGAAAATATATAAAAGAGGGAAATAAAAAATCCTTTGTTGATAAAAAAAAATAGAATAATATAGTTTATGATACACATATTGTCTTGTTATAATTGGACCCAGTTATGCAAAAAACAGCCATGTGCGTAAAAGTACCAACAGAGTTATAAGCATTTTTCTGTCGATAGTTGCACTTGGGTTATGTTTTGTTTTTCTGGTTATATTAAAATTGAACAATATTTATATAAGTATTGTTTATTTTTTATATTACTTTCTTTTTAATAATAAAATGCTTATAACTCTGTTGGTACTTTTACGCACATGACTGTTTTTTGCATAACTGGGTCCAATTTCCCTTTTTATTATAAATAAAAAGAAAAAATAATTAGACTTTTGTGTTTAACTACTTTTGATAATAAATAAGCGCTAGTAAGTCTTTCAAAGCAACAGATTAAAACAAAAAAACTAAAACTTACAGTCAAGAAAAAAAAAATGAAAAAATTGCTATAGCAGTAGTTCAAAAAACAGAAAAAAGCTTTGTGTAAATCTAAGAAAGTATTATAATGTACTATTTAAAATACCTTAGTGGTCTCAGTCTTGCCGGTGCCGGCGGGCCCCGCGGGAGCGCCGCCAAATTTCAAATGCATAGCGCACATGAGCGTCAAATAGCAACGATCAGTCAATGGAGTTATTACTAGACGACCACTGACGATTAAAAATAACTGTATTGTAAATAATATTGTGAAAACCGCGATAAAATTAGTAAAAAAAGATATTATGTTTTATATATAATATGTTCCTGCTCGCCATTTTATCTTCTAAATAAATTCTGTTCAAACCCGTCCAGTCATTGTAGCGTGATGGAGTATCGTTACTCCAACATACACAAAAACTTATATTATAATACAAACTTTCGAGCTTATATTAATTAGTGTAGCAGTTCAATTTTCGCATCATGTATTTAATTAAGCTATGTAAAATTGTGTATGTTACAGTCAAAACTCTTATCCAGTCAGAACTACTTTTGACTGGAAAAGAGTTGGACTGTAACATCTACATACGTACATAGCAAGAGACCTCTTTCAGAATTCCTCTATTATAGAAGATAGATTAATTATAAGCATTATTTTTATGATTACTGCTCAACTCCCTCGGGTAGCAGCATGATGCTATCGAATGCAAAAAGAATTTTTCAAATCGGATTAGCAGTTCCTGAGATTAGCGCGTTCAAACAAACAATCTCTCCTTTTTTGTAATATTAGTATATACATATATGTTCTCTCCCGACCGATTCCGGCCACGGCGGCCAATCTCATGGAGACTAGCCAAAAAAAAAGACTCTCTATTCCTGTCACTCTCATACTCCGGCGGGACGACTGCTCGACACGACCGGTGAGAGTTGAGGCGCAGGACCGACGGCTTTACATGCTCTCCGAGGCACGGGGTTGAAACATCGCCAACTTCCCAACTCCGGGCTGTTACTGAGACTTACTATACAGAAAGACTCAATAACTAAACTTGGCCCGACCCGGGACTCGAACCCAGGACCTCCGGGTGTGCAGCCGTACATGCTAGCCACTACACCACCGAGGCAGTATACAATAAATACATATATTATATTTTATACATATATACAATAAATACATATATTCTATTTATTATTATCACTTACCTATTCCCCAAATATTCATTTTGATAAGTGAAAACGGAATTCAAAGCGCGAACATCGCAATAATTCTGACTGAACTGTCGATAAAACATCGAAGTGTCTAAGCGTTCCTCATCTTGATATATCTCCGGCGATTCATCTTCTTCTAACGGTATCATATCTTTTATTATTTGATAGTATCTGTAATAGAGTATGACGAATGAATGTTATAATTTTGTTATCACTAGCAGCTTCACTCGTTTGAAAATTATTAATTACTAGCGATTCACCCTCCGCGTCACTTCGCACGGGTTCGTCCCTATGTTGATTCCCCATACAAAATTTCTATCTCCATTTTTCTTAAATTTTCTACGTTGCTGCGCAATTTTCCTATTTTTTTTAATTTAAGAACCTTCTACGATGTATTAGAAAACATTTAAAAATATGAATGAAATCGCTAAAGCAGTTCTCAAGTTATAGTGTGACCAGGAGATATGTGATAGGGGAAATAAATATTACAAAGCCGGAACAAACAGATAGGTAGACAAAAATTTTAAAAATTGTACTTTTCTTATAACTACCGTATATAATTTCATATGCATTTATTAAAAAGCTTTCATTTCGGCATTACAAACAGACACTTCAATTTTATTTATCTGTATATATTATTATTATCTTGCACCTTTAACGTTCACGAGCAGCGCCATCTATTGACATGTTTAAAACTAAAAGGGTAGTTGTGAAAATAACTAACGTTGATAAAATCCAATCAAATTTGTTAAATTGTTTACGCGTAATTGAGTAACAAACATATAAACATTAGAAACAATAAATTTTGCCTATTACGGGCAACCCCCGTATAGATTTGAGGTTTTCTGTGTCCAAGACGGCAAAGTAGACCACAACAGTTGTATACCGTCCGGCTATCAATCGAATTTCTCGGTCCAATCAAGGTAAACCGCGTTGTTACAAACCAAAACTAAATACCTATTAGTCTACAGACTATAATTAGAATTAAATAATAATTAGCACGTTCTTATCTACGTTATAAAATTGAAAGAAATATATTTTAAATAAAACTATCTTATCGGGTTTTTTCGCGGATTTATTTTCATTTTTGGTTCCCGACGTTTCGAATGTTTTACAGCAATCATGGTCAGGGGTGAGACCTGTGATCCGAAAAGATAGTTTTATTTAAAACTAGCGGCTCACCCTCGCTTCGCTCGGGTTCGTCGCTAGGTACGTTTTGAATAGATATAAATAGATATTAGCCAGCGTTAACCATATAAATTTTATTTTTTTTTGTTAATAATATTGACAAATATTGACATTAATATTTATACGATATTAACGTCACTCAATTGTTTTGCCTTCCCGTAACCTCTCTACCAACACTTAAACTTTATGGTATGGTATTAAAGTTCAAATTGACTTTTAAGTATTATTAAGAATCTTTTGTATGGGAGTATAGAAGTGTTGTTTTTAGACTTTTTCAGGCAATGTTTTAAATATTTCTTTCCGTAAGAACCATCCTCGTAGATCAAGGAATATTCTAAAAAAAGAATTAGCAAAATCGGTTCAGCTGCTCTCGAGATTTGCGCTTACCAACACATTCAGCGATTCATTTTTATATATATTTAAAATGTCAAGTATTCGCGTAAATCTAAGAAAGTATTAAAAGAAATATATTTTAGAGAAACTAACAATTAAAAATATTCGTAAGTTTAAAAACGTTATACTCAGGGATACTTGTAATAATTATAAGATAGGTTATCTTGTTAGGTTGTTAATGTAAAGGTTAAATTGAAACATAAAAGTGAAACAATTGTGCTCCATAATTATAAATTAAGTTTCTGGGCGAACGATTTTCGATTCGATTTTTGTAAAAACGTGTTTTATCAGAAAAAAAAAACGTTTAGAAAACACAGCTATATAAATAAACTGAAAAAGCAATTTGATACGTATCTAAATATAAATTTTATCCAAATCATTACAGCCGTTTCCGAGATATACGAAATAAAATATGTAAAAAAATTCATAATATATATAATTATAATTAACTAACCAGTAACTATTTTAGAACTTTCATCTAACCAGCTCATAAGGTAAAATATTATTCGATAAAAAAGCACTAAGCAAATGAAATTATTCAGCCAAAATTATTAAAAAAGCTATATACCTCAACTGACAGATCCATTGGAAATCACTGATATTCTTCACATTCTCGTCTACAAGAGTTCTTGTCACGTCTCGCGCGTGCACTTCTATAACTATTAGCGCACACAGAACTTCTCTTTGGAAAAACGTCAATTCCCCTTTGACCAATGCCCGTAGACTATCCAACTAGAAAAAAAAAGATGTTTATTGAAGAACTCTATTAGACACAAAATATAGGCAATACATACATACATGTGTCATGATGTTGTATGGAAAAATACTTAAAAATTAAAAATTAAAAATTTTGAAAAAACCTCTGACAGTCAAAAATAATTCAACCAAATTGAATGAAAAATAGCTAAGAACACTCCCGACTAATTCACGTTTCAAAAAAAAAACTAAATCAAAATCGGTTCATCCGTTTGGGAGCTACGGAACACTTATTAAAGACATTTATTCCAAACTTTTACGTTTTTCAAAATGATCCAAAACCAAGAATTTCATAACTATCCAAGTTTATCAAATTACCTATCACATCTATAACAATAGGAAAAGCAAACACACTTCAACATCAGAATAAAATAATAGAATAGCTTGCTTCCCAATACAAAGTTTCACCCAATTTTCACCCCCTTAAGAAATGATTTCCGGAATAAAAAAATCTTATGTCCTTCCCAGGGTCTCAAGCTAACTTCTTACCAAATTTCATCTGAATCGATTCAGTAGACCCAGAGATTCACTCCCTTCAACTTCACAATCTCACAAACTTTACCTCTTTATAATATTAGTATAGATAGTATAGTTATAAATATACCAATCCCCAATATTCAACAATTTACCTGCGACAACATTTCTTCAAAGTACAAGTCCAGCCTGTAGTCAACGATGGCTTGCTCGACGCCCGCCGTCCACGCGGTCTGCGAGCCCGCGAGCACCGCCTGTCCCGGCCAGCGCAGCACCCACTCCGCGCGAGGCATCGTCCATAACTCTTCCATAGCCGCCACTAATGTTAGACGGACTGGGAGAAGACGATTGTTTCCAATGAGAGTATAATTGTCGATTTAAAATAATTATTATAATGGTAATCACCTAGAATTTGAATTCCTTAATCTAAAATACTCTTGACCGATTTTGGTCACGGCTGCCAATCTCACTTAATCTGACTTTCTAACTAGGAGATATTATTGTGCACTGTTACTCTCATATTCTGGTGGGACGAATACTCGACACGATCAGTATGAGTTAAGATGTGAGAACGACGGCTTTGCGTGCTCGAGGCAGAGCACGAGGGTGCAATACCGCTAACTTATCGACTCCGGGAATAGAATTATTATTATAGATATATTATTAGATATATTATTATAGATTATTATTATAGAAATAGAATTTTTGACAAAAAACTCGATAACTGAATTTGGTCTGACCTGCAACTCGAACCTAGGCCATCCTATGTCATTCTACAATCATCACAGAAGAATTTTGAAGATTGTATTGAAATAATAAAAATTCTTTCAAAAATCAAAGTAAAATTTTACAAGCATTTTTAAACCGTACATTTTTAAGTCTTTTTTATTTAAATTATTATAATGTAAGTCTGTGAGAAAGCTATGCTATATAGAAACGTAATATATCATTCTTATATATTTTTATATCTATTCTTCAACAATTGGAGAATTACATTTTTTTAAAGTTCTATTGTTCTTTTAAGAATCAATTCATCTAGCTTGCTTCTCCATACAAACTTTCATCTCCATTCTCATCCCCTTTAGGGATGATTTCCAGGATAAATACTATTTCACTCACACTCTTTTCATATCAAGAGATTTAAAAAAACTTATTTTAGTAAAAAAAAAAAACTTTTCATTTTCTTCTATACAAAACTTGTCCTGACAATAACAAACACAAAAAAAGCATTATCCAATTTGGTGCAGTCGATCGGATGCTATGCGCGCGTTCATACATTTCGATGATCCATTTTTATTTATATAAATGTATGAGCGTTTTCTTACTCACAACTCAATACTATTACTGTATAATATGTTATTTTCTCATCATTTCTTTGTAAAACAATTATTAAACGTTCGAATAACGGTAAAAAATTCTAACTTTACTCATGTCCCATTCTTACTCTTCCATCTTACTCCCATACGAATCCGTAATTCCTTCCATCCATTTAAAAAGCTGTAAACTAAAATGAACTGTATAGAAAGCATCATTAAAGTAACAAATTTATAACATAACTAACTGGAATGCTTCATAGTATCCTCCAACAAAAGCAGCCACTGCTCTACGTTAGAGCTCGGATAGAATTTGTATTTCAACTCAACGATTTCACCTTCACTTGAGTGCATTTGAGTTATTTTCAAGTCCGGCTCAAATGTTACCTAAAATTAAACGTAAAAGAGATTTCAAACAGATTTACTTTACTAAGTTTAAGAGAACTATTTTCAAACGTGTAAATTTGCATATAGGCACTTATGATTTTAGCTACTTTTTGAGCACGCTCCAGTCGTTAGATTAAATTCTTTATTTTATGATTTTTAAGAGCGCACATTGAGATAATTTACTTCGCTAATGTCACGAAGAATGGCATAGTACGACGGACATTGTATTAGTTCGTGGTCAAGAACCTCACGTACGTCTCAGGATCCTTGATATAACATGAAAGTGGTGTGAAACAAACCAAGAAATCTCTTGTAAATTTTAATTAATGTTTACTTAATTAGCTACATTTTGCCATTTTACAATAACAATAAATTAAATTAATAATATACATAAGCTTACCTAAAGAGATAAATTAGTGCCATAAAATTGTAGCACTTTTAACATATTGGGTACTGGAGCGAGATAATACACGTATTTCACTATCTAAGACTTATTAATCAGTCTAAGACCCAAAAAGAAATAAAGTTCTATGAATAAACTTACTATGAGATAAAACTAAATAGTATTTTTTTTAAAACTAAAACATTAAATTAATTTTGAAATCATTTAAAGTTCTTAAGTTACCCTTAAAGACTGTCCTAAAATAAAATAAAAATATTTTTTTTTAATAATAAACGATTGGCGAATATATTGCATACATTTATATATACGCAGGAAAAAAGTAGATCTTATACTCAAATAAAGTATATATTTTTTAAATAAATCAAAAAATTAAATATTAGAGAGCGGCCTCCAAGTCGACGCTAATTACGTAAAGTTTTGCAATTACCTTGTAAAAAAATACAAATTAATTTCAATAAACTATGTCTTTAAGCAATACCAAATGAAGACTTTAATTTGTTACCAATCGCGATACATTTTTGGATTTAGCTCGATCATTATTTATTTAATGGCTAACATTTATCTGGTGATTGTAAAGTCCTATACAACTTAATAATAAATACCGTACCTTAGCTATATTCTCAAAGCATTTCCTGAGATGAGGTTGAACCGCTCTTGGATTCCTGGACTGAGAAAGTATCTCCAAAAGCTCGTCATCACTAAGGAAGAAGAATCTTGGAAACCTCAATCTCTTCAGCTCCATATATTCGTTTAGACCGCGTGACACTACCGCTAGCAAATGTCTTGCTTCCACCAAACTGTCCAAGAGACGACTGTCCGGACATATCACCATTATCTAAGACGAATAATGTTAAACTAGCAATTCATCCTTGCTTTACTCGGGTACGTCCCTAGTTACGTTTTAATATGTATTTTTTTTTTTCAAAAAAAATTTTGTTTTATGAAATACATTATATAATATTCTACCCCCAAGCTAAGAAAAAACATCTCCCCCGGTAAAAAGTAGCCTATGTCACTCTCCAGCCCTCCAACTATCTCCAATCAAAAAATCACGCTAATCCGCCAGTCTGCTTCGAAATGAAAGAAAAACAAACAAACAGACTTTCCCATTTATAATATTAGTATGGATAATATGGATTCTATATTATGGAAATTCCCAGACAAATATCTTAGAATTATGAGCAAATTAATGTTGAAATTTATTCTGATGTCTATAATTTGAGGTAAAAGCTACAAAAGAGAGTAATTCAAGATGAAAATCTCTTAATAATAAATAATATTGTTGATTTTGAAGGGCTAATCAAAATGGAAGGTCACGTCAGATCGCCTTAATATTTGATAATAAAATCTTATTATTCCTATTCCAGTCTTGTTTTGACAAGTAAAACTTTTAAAAGCTCAAAATGATTTCGAATTTTCTAATAAGCTATTTTTTTACATTTTTAATACTAGACATGTTTCACTTCACTTGGATCTGCCCTAGATATGTTTTACGTAATAAACCTAAACAAAAATCCGATTCGAATAATTTAAAGAGGAATTTATACGTATATTTCAACATCAACAACAACCTTGATTATGAGAACCATGATTGCTGTAAAATATTCGAAATGTCGGGAACCAAAAATCTAAATAAATGCGGAAAAAATCCAAAAAGATTTATAGAGTTTTATTTAAAATGTCAAATATTCGAGAGTTAATCTAAAAAGTACCGTGGGAAACCAGGATATTTGTTATGTTTTACGTTTTCATTTTAAGTTCTCGATGTTTCGGCACTCTTACAAGCACCGTAGTAAGTACACTATGTAAATATCGCGTCATCATAATTTTTTTATTTAAACAACTTGCATTTCCATAAGAATAACAGTACCTAATGTTAATAAGTTATAAGAGCAAAAATATATCAAAATAGATATAAGAAATACAGATATAGGTAGAAGCAATATTTAAAATTCATACCTTCGGGCAAGCGGCTGCAGACGACATGATTCTTCTCCAAATTCTCTCCATAGTTCCATATTTCTTAGCTTCTAGAGGAAGTTGTCGAGATATATCTTCAGACGTGAATATTGGTTCTAAATACATCCATTCTCTAAAACACATGTTTTTCATGATTAAATATACATATATATTGGGACATTAACACACATCACCATCTAGTTCCATGGTAAGCTACGAGGCTTGTGTTATGGATACCAGATAGTTGATACACTACACATATATAACTTTAAATAGATACATAATATTATAAATATAAATGCTGCTGGCACAGCAAATACACTACAAACTGAGCCAAACGTGTCGTCATACATTAATACATAAAACATTACTTATATTCATATTGTTTAAATAAAAATTCACTTAATGTCAATATACTGGTACGATATTATATTTGTATAATCTGATATTATTAAATGAGCAATTCTTGTATATTTTAATTATATATATAAATTTATTTCTTGTATCTTGAGGACTGCTTTAACGTTTTGGATAAAACTTTATATTTCCACAAGGCTTAGCTTTTTAAATTTAACTATATAGGTGTCTTTTCTGAACAAAAAAACGCAACGTTTTTCGATAAAACAAGATTTTACAAAAAAAATGGGCTCGTGTAACCTTTATGCGCGGTTGAAGTAAAACTTCTGACGAGTCTGGCGAATAGCGCAATTAAATTAAAATAAATCAATAATTAAATGAAGCATATTAGGCATATTACACTCATATATTTATAGAATATCATATATATACGGAAAGAATATAATATTATATATTTGTCAGATAATAACAGCGGTTACCATGGCAACAGCTGCATTTGGCAGCAGCATTTGGCAATGTATTCTATCTCATTCTCTCGCCGGCTTAATCCTATATACTCGTATTTATGTGTTTGTCTCTTTTTATGTATCGCATTTCCGTTTCATTAAGTTTCAAATCACAGCGATTTTAAACAAGTTTCACATCAAAAAAGCATCCAGTTACTATAATTTTGAGTGACAAATTATGAAATGAATATTGAAATACAAAGCTACAGCTGTCAACAGAAAATTGACATAACCTTAAATTGTGTTACATTTTAAGGAAAAATGAGCATGAATAGAATATAACTTAGTGTCATTCAATTTGGCTCCCTTCAAAAGGGAGATTTCATAGCTAGTAGCCGTAACGTTTATTGATTGGCAGTGTTACTTGATTCTTCGATTACGAATCATCTCTAACAAATAGTATTAAGAAAATGATTCACGAGGAAAACGACAAATAATTTTTTTTTTTGAAAAATGTTTGCTTTCAACAACAATAAATATAAGTCGAATTTAAAATAAAATGACCAAGCCTGGCTCGTCATTTTTCGGAAAAAAGATAAAAAATCTTTTTTTTTAGAAAAGATAAAAAAAAACAAAACCTTATCTAAATACAAAATTTGATCCAAATCGTTAGAGCAAACGTCTCTATTTATATACATATAAGATTTGCTCATTTATTATACGCGTGGCACCGACAACGACAGTTTTACCGTACGTACTCTCCGAGTCATGTCACCGTCCATTTCTCAATTTGAGAATTCCTTGACAGTAAAACCTAATGACTATATTTAGCTCGACCCGGGACTCGAATCCAGGCCCTTCGCATCTACTGTTAAGCGTACATTTTTTTTAAACATCAACTCAAATAACCTTACTATTTTCATTTTCGATTTAAATAATATACAAAAACATGACATTTACTTCTGTGTTTCAATCCATTCGTCGACCACTTTCTGTGTAAGTCTCAACCTATCGTCCCACTCTTGTATGCGCAGTTCAAAAGCAGCTTTAAACGGACTGAAGCCGAGTTGTTGCGTCATGAGAAGATGTTCATCTAACAATTGTAGCGTTTCATCTGCTATTTTCATTATAAATGTACCTGTAATTTTTATGGTATTATTAATCGCTATTAGTCTTACTCTTTCAATTATTTAAAAGTACAAATGAGATTGTGTTGTGCTTATTTTATTTTTTATCACCTAATCTATAGTATACTAGTGACTCACCCTCGCGTCGCTCTGTTCGTCCTTAGATTGAGTCCCCATACAAACTTTCATCTTCACCCTCTTAAGGGATGATTTCCGGAATAAAAAATATCCTATGTCCTTCCCAGGGTCTCAAACATATCTTCTTACCAAATTTCTAAATCGGTTTAGTAGTCTTTGAGTTTATTCGTTACAAACATACAAAAATACAAATTTTTCCTCTTTATAAAATTATTGTAGAAGAAAAGTACCTAATAAAATTGTGAAAATTTTACAATTGACATATTCTTTGAAAAAACTAAACAAATATTATTATTGCTAGTTAGTTGCCAACTATATCCAAAAAACAGGAGTTTATTGGTTGTGCAAAAATTTAACAAAGTTAAAAAATTACGCAAACTTTAGAAACATAATTTAACAAAAAAAAAATAGCTAACCAGTAGCTTTATACGGTGAAACCTCCATAGTCTTAGACGCCCAATCGTTCAACATCTTGTCCAAGGACTGCTCTATGACGTACTCTTTGCTCGCCAACTCGTCTATTTCAGCGATCATTTCCGCGTGCTCGGCCACGCCTTGCTTTAGACACATCGCAAATGTTTGCTTTTCATTCATTGTTACTGCTATGCCTGTTGAGACACAAATATTTAATTAAACTTCAGAAAAAACGAATATATGTATACTTTTGTATATAAAACTTTAAATAATAAAATCTAAAAAAAATGACTTCCAGACACTAAAATGTAAAAAAATAACTAAACGAAGGTTTTCATTAGAATTGATACCTAATCCGATATTTTCGAAGTTGGTGCCAGCCGATAATATTTTAAGATATCTAATAGGTAAATATGTGTTTTACATATCGAAATATATTAGATTTACTTTGCATCGGCTGGCAGCTTTTATTTTATGCATATAAAAATAATTTTAACTGTATAAAAAAAGTACAATTAAAAAAAACTAAAGCAATTTTTACCTGCTCTTTCCATAAACTCATTCCAATGTCGATCTTTCATACCGGGATTCCTTACCGCTTGTATGACTGGTATTAGTGGTCTAAATTCATCCATGTCGTCCTACAATTGTTTTAAATTATTTTATTGCTATCAAAATATGATACTATTTTACATTTTCTAGGGTTTAAATGTTTAGGGAAAAACCAAATTATATAATGCTATTATATTTTTCGAAAATAGTCAAAAATGACACACGTACGTAGGGAATAGAGGTTTTTAATTTGAAACTCTTTATAAAAATGAATTAAGGCATATAGTGGAAATCAAGATGAATTAAAAAATATGGGGAAAGCTAAGCTAAGATATATTCACTAACTGCTTTACTATTGAAAAAAAAACTTTTCGAATACTTTACAGCTATCATGTCTCTCCCGTGACCATGATTGATGTAAAACATTCAAAACATCGAGAAACAAAAATTAAAATAAATCCGCAAAAAAATCCGAAAAGATATTTATATATTTGATATTTAAAATGTCAAATATTCGCGTAAATCTGAGATAGTACATAAGGATAAATAAGAAGATTAAAACAAACTGACCCGTATCGTCAAAGCAACTTGCTGCACTTTAGGCAAATCAGCGAACACTCTGATGCATTTAACAATGGTTTTATAATATTCATTGATAGCGGGTTCTATGGCGTCTGCGTCTACATAGATTAGTGGATTGTCGAACCAAACTTCGCGTGATTTTAGGAAATCTGTCAATTTGATTTAGTAATAATAATTCTTATTAAAGACTTAAATTTTAATTATCTAGGACCTTGAAGACCTGTATGTATTGTATGTTGAGCACACACATTTCATTTTTTTTATTAAAATTACAATAAACTTTTACATTGCCTTATTGCCTTATATGCCATGTTAACATTAAGTATATAAAAAAAAAACAAATTTTCATTAAAATTAAACCATCTTAAGTAAAAATGGCACATCTAAAAGTTGTAAAATTTGAAACGAATTAAGAAACCACTAATAAACAAAATACGTAAATTATTTTATATTTTAACTATTACCTTCATTCAAATCACCAATTATTGCTTTTCACGTAATTTGCATGTAGTTTTATAACAGATAAATAAAAATATAGGATATGCCCCTTTTGCTTTAGACGGAAGAACTAATATCAATAGAAATATTCTCATAAATATTACCAGACGCAGTGACCCACAAATTCCTGTATGGTTCGAATTCCTTCACTAGCCTATTGAGATCGGCAAAAGCCACCACAGGTTGGCCGAATAGCTTCTGCCTTTGATTCAACACACGACCCCATTCCTGTGCATCTTTCATACCTTTCCACGCTTTTTTTATATCATTTGCTATTTCATGCACCTATTGAAATTATCATATTTTTTATCTGTTTATATTAAATTGATTCAAAACTTGTGTAAGATTTTTAAATTTAATAAAAAAAATTGAGCGTTGAATTATTACAATTTTTACTAAGCGTCGTGAATGTACCACAAATTTGGAAATAATTCAGAAAGTCTCGGTCCAGAAGAACTAGTGACAAACTCAGCGGGTCCAATTTTTTTTTTAATAAAATTATAAATTACAATAATTCTCTAAAATTAGAATAGTGTGGAGGCGATCACACCATGCCCAAGGTAAATTTCGTTCTATAAAATCATTTTACCAGATATTATATTTTACGTACGTACCGTAAAACAACAGGTAATATACAAAAGTTCCAAATTTTTTTTAATTTGACAATAACAACTTTTTAAACGTTTTCTGGATTCTTGTTGTAAAAAATTTAAAGTGTCGTTTTTACTATATTGCTTTTAATTATTGATAGATATGTAAGCCGAAATGATTATTATATAAGTAGAAAAATGATTAATTTAACTTTATAGCAATTTTAATAATTTTTATTCATTTTGTTCAACACAAACTCATATATTTAGCATACAATGGTGAGTAAAATTAAAGAACTGTGGCAAATAAAAATATAGATAATTGTATCAATATCCAATTTTCAAACCAAATTCGAATAGAAAAGTATTATCTCACTTATCCAAATTATTTATTAGTTAGAAATTACGTTCAAAAAGCACAAACATACAAATCACAAATAGAGAAAATGGCTTACTTTAGCAAAATCATTTTGCAACGTGAGCGCCATACATTGTGCAGTGAACATATCAATCTTATCGAAAAGTGTTTGTTCATCTTGTTGATGCAACTTCCAAAACTTTTCTTGTTCTTCTTCTAGGAAGTCCGTTGTTGCATCCACCTTTGTATTTACACATACATATATTTTTGACAATGACGTAATAAATATATACGTATAATTTATCTAGATAGCCATACTCCATACTAAATGCACATATAAAATGCGAACATAACTCTATCTGTTAGTCTGTTACCATTTCACGCTTAATCCGCTAAACTGATTTAGACGAAATTTGGTATGAAGATAATTTTATATATCGTCTATGCGTTCCTAAGCCATCCAAGTCGCAAGTAATTATATATATTGTATTTTATTGAATAAATAGTACAAATATTTTTATTTCATTCAGACAGACAAAATTAAAAAAAAATCGTGTTGTTCTTATATGTAGCGTACATAATTTCATATGCATTTAGTAAAGTTTTCACGTCTTAATTACAAAAATACACTTAAAATTTATTTATCTGTATAGATTAAATGGAATAGTATAAAATTTAGAATAATATTGCCTTCGAATATAATAGAATGTACAATGTATACCTTACCTGCTTTGTAATATTCAGTGGCCATCCTATAGCTTCCCACAGCGCCTTGAAATCATCATGTTCAAGTGGAGTAAAGAACACATCGAGAACTTCGTAATCCTGTAAGATTATTTATAATTGAAAATATTACTATATATTACTTCTTATTCCTTTTACTATCCATACTAATATTATAAATGTGAAAGTGTGTTTGTTTGTTTGTTTGTTTGTTTGTTTCCTTGTCTGTCTGTCTTTCTTTCACGTCGAAACGGCTTGGCGGATTGTTGTTTTTTGTGTGAAGATAGTTGGAGGGCTGGAGAGTGACATAGGTTACTTTTTACCGCGGGAGATTATCTCTTTCCCACGGGAAACATATATATATATATATATATATATATATATATATATATATATATATCGCTGTGTTATATGTGCAATGTAATATTTGAGAAAAACTGTTAATGCAATAGAATTATGCAATAGAATACAAAACAATGATTTTTAGAATTTTGTCGGTTTGTCTGTGTGTTTATGCATGCTAATCTCAGAGAAGGCTTAACTAATTTGAATGCGGTTTTCATTATTGTATTGTGGTAAGCTTCACAAGCATTTAGTACCTATTTGTTTTATTTCAATATGTTCATAAATAAAAAAAAAGTTATGTTAATTTAAAGAATCATCTAGAGACGAATCCGAGCGACGCAAAAGTGATTCGCTAGTTGTGTAATATACATAATTTTTATGACTGCTGTATACACAAGCATATGCACAAACATTATATATATTTATTTAATTAAAAATGTTCCTTTAATTATAATAGTTATTTTTAAATTAAAAAGAAACAGACTTTAAAACCACTTAAAATTAATTACTCCAGTCTCAGTCGATTGTTTTTCAATTTTATATTGAACCAATCTTAAAACAAAAACTTATTGATTAAAATAAATAATGGATGTCGATTCGCAATCAATCGAGAATATACCATTTTATTGAGTACCAGCGACTCGACCTAGCTTCGCTCGGGTTCGCTCCTAGGTTGATTCCCCATACAAACTTTAATCTCCATATTCACCCCCTTAAGGGATGATTTTCGGATTAAAAAATATCCTATATCCTTTCCAGAGTCTCAAACTATCTTCTTACCAACTTTCATCTAAATCGGTTCAATAGTGTTTGAGTTTATTCGTTACAAACATACATAAATACAAACCTTTCCTTTTATAATATTAGTGTAGATGTAGACTACCTTCTTTTCGAACTCGGTTAAAAGCAATTTACGCACTTACCGTATGAACTTTCTTCATAATATCCTCCTGAGTTTTCAACGCGAACGGTATAGATTCCATCCATTCACGAATTTCAAACACATGCTCGATAGTGTTGGGTTTTTCCCCTAATTTTCTCATAATATTCTTGTACGCTTGAATCACATCTTCCACCACTTGTCGTACTTCTTCCGCCCACATTGTCAATAAGGCTTTAATTATGTCCGATCTTTTTGTTACCAGCATTTGCTAAATATATATACATATATTTTTAATCAGATTACATACTACTATAAATACGAAAGTTTGTATATGTTTGTGTATGTTTGTTAGTATTTCTCGCTGAAACGCCTGAACGGATTTGGATGAAATTTACCTATCATCATATTACGAGCCTTAGGAACCTAGCAATTTAATACGTACATAAAAAAACTACGCGAGTAAAGTCGAAGGCAAAAGCTAGTTTTTATATTCTGTTAAGAAAAGAACAACATCTGCTGCTAAATTATCAATGTTAGATAATTTTCGAAAATTTTGTTGAAGTGAAAATCTCTTGACGTAAAAATTTCTGGGACTCACTAAATGAATATTTCGTATTGTATGAGTACAGTAAATGCAAGTAAGTAAAGTAGTGTAGTGTAAATTTAATTTAAATAAATTGAGTTTAAGCTTAAGCTTTTCGTAATTCATACATATGTAGCATTAGCTAAGAATCACTAAGTTTCAAACTAAATTAAGATGTACATGTAAGCTCAAACCTGTGACCTGGATTTCATTTCATCTACACATAGATAAAACTATAAGAGAGACAAAATTATGTATTGAATTTTGTTGGACAAAACAAGAATATCTTTGTCTGTCCTTCTGTATGTATATAACACGGATTTATTTAGAATTTCATGGACTTTAATTTTTTGCGCGGAACCCTAATTCTTTTTCTTAAATAAAAGTAGCCTAAGTTACTCCTTCTAACATTAGCCATCTACCAGTGAAATCAACTGCCTCGGTGGTGTAGTGGCTAGCATGTACGGTTGCACACTCGGAGGTCCTGAGTTCGAGTCCCGGGTCGGGCCAAGTTTGGTTATTGAGTCTTTCTGTATAGTAAGTCTCAGTAACAACCCGGAGTTGGGAAATTGGCGGTGTTTCACCCCCGTGCCTAGGAAAGCACGTAAAGCCGTCGGTCCTGCGCTTTAACTCTCACTGGTCGTGTCGAGTGGTCGTCCCACCAGAGTATGAGAGTGACAGGAATAGAGAGTGCACGTTGTGTCTGCGCGTACACACGCTGCACTATAATATCTCCTGCGCAGTTGGCTAGTTTCAATGAGATTGGCCGCTGTAGCTGGAATCGGCTAGGAGAACATCACCAGTGAAAGTCCCGTCAAACTCGGTATAGTCGTTTCTGAGATTAGCCGAAACAAACAAACAGACAGAGAGACAGAGAGATAAATTTTTTAAAGGTACTGTATATTTTGACATACAAACAGACACTACAATTTTATTTATTTGTATAGATAAAAGTTACCTTCAATGTATCAACGTTGATAGCGAACGGCCCAATATTAATGTATTGTGGAAGACGCCAGATCAAGTCTTGTTTCTCATCGTAATGCATTTGAACCTCTTCTCTTATTTCAGAAGCTGAATGCTTCTCTTGGCGGAAATTACTAGATGAGACAAAATTATTTTTCCTCATACCTATTTTTTTATGTTACATTAAGAAAGATCATGAAAAGAGTCATGCTATACTAAAATTAAAATCTTTTCTACTTTATTAATCAACTAACGACTCACCCTCGCTCCGCTCGGGTTCGTCCCTAGTTACGCTTTAACATTTAGTATACATTTCTCAGAGATGAGATATTTTTTTGCAGTAAAAAAATATCCTATATGTTGACCCGGATAACCAGCTATCATCCATAATATCTAATAATACCAAATTTCATCAAAATCTGTCCAGTGGTTTTCTCGCCAGGCGTTCCCAGTCAGACAAAAATTCTAAAAACTAAAGATTCAGCCTCTGTGTCGATAATAACGACTATTTCAAACAGTTTTTCCAAAAAATATTTAATATACAGATTCGACTCAGAATTTTATTATATTTATAAATTATTGTTCCTATTACATAATTTGGGCATACTTCGTTTGTAAATAGACTTACGTGAGCAGTGAGGATAAAACACCGAACTAGATAGATAACATTTGTAAATACGAAGACAAAATATACATATTCAATCAGTTTTTCGATCGACGCGACGTGACAAAACAAAGTATAACAACTCTGGTGAACGGTATTTTTTCGATATATTTTACGTATATGTTCACCAATTTTGTACGAATGTTTATGATATTAAGGAATAGATCAAGAATAGTCATCAAATCAGATAAATTTCAAGAAAAAAAAATAGGCCCAATTTCGGTTACTATTGCCAGGCGAGCAACTGTCCTATAAAAACGGTTATCTAAACAAAAAAATATATAATAGAAAAACATTAACCACTAACTCGACATACTCTTCGATGTTCAACATATAAATATCCTTATAGCAGTCGTACTGGTGCATATAAGCTATTAAGGGTATGATTGCTTTTCTATAAGCTTTCAGCAGTCTCTCTCTGTACTCAACTACGTTTGGTTCCATCAGACCTATAAATTGGTATTTCGAAGCTTAGAAAAATAAATGTTTATTTTTATGATATACTGTGTGAACTGTTTAGGAGATATGTATGTGAAACTAAAGTATGGAAAAACTCTCATAGGAGTCGAGACTAGAAAATTATTGTACCCTAAAACTACAGTTACAATTTTTAAAAGTTCTTCAAGGACCAACATTAAACTAGCATTAGAATCAAACTCGTGATCTTCTACAAAGAAAACAAAACCAATTTTACTTCCAATCTCATAGATCATTGCTCCACTACAGAAGCGAGTCTCTGTATCAAAATTGATCACATCCCAAGAGAATCAATCAATCTTGATTATATGTAAATAGTTTCAAATAGATAACTAATGCGATATACAGACATACATACTTACCAATAGATGTGAGAAATAGTTCCTTATCGAATACGAGACCGGTCATAATTTTTGGATGCACTTGCGGTATAAAGTGACAACGGTAAAGCATTTCTCTGAATAAACGTTGGATGACTATCTGTTTTGGAATATTACGTTTTAGTAATATATTTTTTTAGTACTTAATTTTTTTATCTTTGTATTAATTTTTTTATTGATTGATCTATCTGAGACAAACAGAGAAGTAAACGGAGTTAACTATTTTGTCTTTACCTATTTATGTACAGATTTTTAAAATAATTTTTCAATTAATACAAAAATGGTCTAAATTTTTAATTAAAAAAATAGACGGAAAAAGAGTATAAAAATAATTATCGATTTATAATTTTTCGTCACGTCTCGTCATAAAATGTCTAGGCTACTTTTGAGTTGCTTTATCTCTTTGGATTTAGCCAGAGAGTATACTTCATTCAGTTGTTCAATGTTTATTCTAGAAGTTTTGAGAACAAATTAAATGACAATAACCATCTATCAGCCCAATATAAATACATATACCTACATACATACATTTTGTAGGAAAATTCAACTCTCATCATTCGCAGTACATATCTATCTAAAAGGCTTGCTAACTACAAAAAACATAGTTATACAAATAAAAGCATTATAAATAGAAAAAAAGTGATTAATATAAGAAACAAATCTGAGATACATCACCTCAAATTGTTCAGGCGGAGTGGTATAATAAGGCCCTTCAGCTGACATCATGAGATGAAAATAAAATAGTGTAGGGGTCGGCGATCGGAATGGGCTATTTATAAGATCGGTAGAGTCCCATTCGTAATCATCCTCACAAATATACGTACAGAGGCATGGTGTTTCACATAATACCACGAACATTGCCATAGATTGCTCTATTGAATAGCGTAACGCGTACTGAAAGGAAAAGTAATATATATCTATACATGTAATAAAATTGTAAATAAGACGAATCTGTACATTAAATATTTTTTGGAAAACCTTATTAAAATAGATATTTTGATACAGAGACCGAACCAATAGTTTTTAGAATTTTTGTCTGTCTGTCTGTCTGTCACGAAAAAACCACTAGACAAATTTTGATGAAATTTGGTATGATAATAGCTGGTTATCTGGGTCAACATATAGGATACTTTTTACCGTGGGAAAATATCTCATTTCTAAGAAAAAATACAAAAACTGCTAGCATACATATAAAACATATAAAACAAAGTCGGGTTTGTTACAACATTTATGACTCGAGAACTGTTGGACCGATTTTTATGATATTTGTTTTCTTGATATCTTTACCCGGAATAGCAGAATAACTATTAAAATTAACGAAAAAAAAAACTATTCCATACTAAGCGTCAAAATGTACTAGGGACGAACCTGAGCGAAGCGAGTGTGAGTCGCTTGTTAATCGATGTAATATAATTTTTGACAAGACGACTTTCTACTATCGATGGTGTTTATAGAAAACTAAAAAAAAATGATTTTGTCATATCCTGACCATGTTAAAGCCATTTATTTGCCCTGTAGCTATTCTCTCATCGATAATATCGGATTGCCGTCCCACCGGACTTACTCGCAGTAAAAGGAACAGAGAGTGCCCTTGTGATTGCGCATATATTTACTTGTGCACTATAATATCTTCTCTACAATGCATCGCCTTAGTGCTTGTTTGTTCAAACTACCGATACTTCTTGTACTTTACAGTAGATAGTTTTTTCTTCTATATTAAAAACAAAGCTTTAGGTATTTCTAAGATTTATGTATATATATATATATATATATATATATATATATATATATATATATATATATGGATAAAATACATCTTTTTAACTTTTTAAAGAAAAATGTGTATTTTATACCAAAAGGTATTTAAAGATATTTAAAAGTAAAAAATTCTGTAACAATTCAAAATTTAGTCGTTTAGATAAATAAGCACTGAGACGAACGAATTGGATAGTCTTGAGTTTATTATAAATATGGATCGAACAAAGCCAATTAAAATAAACATTAAAATAAGTTATGTTTTATATATTCCTATTCACTCTGTAACCTTCTCTGGCTTAAATATTAGGTAGAAAAATAAGATGGAGAAACAAACAAACACATTTCTGCATTTATAATATTTGCTAAGAATTTATTTATTAAAACAACTATAGATTTTATCTACTATTACCTGCATTCTAAATCTGACGAGTTGCATAAATCTGCACAGCTTACTTATGCCATAGAATTCCCATTTCTTCTCATATATGTTAAACCACCTAAAAACCGAAAATTAATTAGAAAACAATGTTAACTATACTTAATCATTGCAAACAAACAAAACTTTAATCAAACGATTAAGAGCGAGTATATTTGCAATGCATATATAATGGCAATTGGTGCACTTGGTGATTTTCATATAAATTATAATAATTCATAAACGAGAACTTAATACTTTCTTAGATTTACGCGAATATTTGACGTTTTAAATAAAACTATCTTTTCGTTTTGTTTTCGCGGCGGAAACAAAAATCAAAATAAATCCGCGAAAAAATACCAAATAGTTGTATTTAAAAAGAGAGTTTATTTATTTACGCTATACATCCTTGAATAGAATTATCTAAACCTACTTACTATATAGTGTGTATCATATAGACTACAACAGGCGGCCTAGATCATGTCTAATAGCCTAGAACACTACTGAGCATATGAATATTTTGTATTCATATTGGATTTAAATAACCTTAAAAAAATTAAGATTTTTATACTACCCTTAGATAATAACAGCGAAAACCTATTCAAAACAAAAAATCTGGTCCAAAAAGGTCGGAACATCGATACGTTTCGTAATTATCATAATGTACAAACAAAAATGCAAAATTGCGTCGTTTGTCCGTTTTTACAAACTATAACAGACGAGTTATAAAAAGCTAAAAATAAGGATATATAATAAAAAAATACCCTTTCCCAACATCCCTATAGGACATTCTTATTGCATGCGCTGTAGCGTCCAACCACGTTATATTTAAATATTTGAGCATCTGAAATAAAAAGATTAAAAATTTATTCAAACTGCAAACGTTTTTGTTCAAAAATAGATGAATAATCATGTTGAAAATGATTCGCATTTGAAAAATTCAGAGGTGCGAGACCCGAAGATCGAACTCACTCCACTTGCTTTTCAGAGCAAGCGTTTTACCACTAAGTTAATGCTTAATTTCATAAATGCAAACTAAAAAAAAAAGAAAACCAAAACAACTTCTTCAATTTCTTTGCAATATCATATATCTACTAGATACTATTGCAAATTTGACGACGCGTGTAGCTCAGTTTGTAGCGACCCTACTTGCTGTGCCAGCGGTGGCGGGTTCGAGTCCCGCCGGGGGCATTCATTTGTGTGATGAGCACGAATGTTTGTACTCCAGTCATGGGTGTTTATATTTATAATATGTATGTATTTAAAGTTATATATGTGTATATCAACTATCTGGCATCCATAACACAGGCCTCGTAACTTACCATGGAACTAGATGGTGCTGTGTGTTAATGTCCCAACATATTCATTTATTATTTATTTACTAGATGTCTATACTCCTTTTTATACTGTAGGCACATTTTAAAAACGTGTCCCATTATCCTTTATCAGGATTTAAATGTTCAAATTTTAAATTTAAATATTTGAAAATTTAAATCCTGAAAAAGGGCTGCCAAAAACATAGGTACAAAGTTAAATTAATTACCATAGAAGTACAATGCTGTTGTGCAGCGTCGAATTCCGCAAGACTGACATTCCTTCCGTAGTTGCTTGTAAAAAACAACATGGCCTCCACCTGTAATACGATTACAATTTTAATTTGATATTATTCATAAAGCTCGCATTCCTTAAATTAATTAGTGAATATAAACATTATGTTTATCGATCTACTTTGTTTTAGATTATGTTTTAATTTCGTTCATTTTGTTTTAAGTTAACTCAATTAAATTTTCATTATATTTATATGTAAATTATTAATTAAATCTTGAAATATACATATTACATGAGATTTTCAGAACTACAAAGAATTAATCCGAATAAATTTTAACAAAACTAAATTACTCAAATATTATAAAATAATTTAAACATTTTACTATAAAAAACACTAGACCTTTGCAGGGTTTTAAAAATAATAATATTAGAGTACATATTAACTTACATAAATATTAAAAAAAATAGACAGATATAATTCTATTATATATTATCGTCAGTATTAACTTAAAAAATGGCAACACTTTGGTTATAATATGAATAAGTTTTACATACATAATAATAAACAACAAAACCCCCATAATATTGAACCTTTAATTAATAATGTTATCTAAAATCTTATACATTTTAGATTAAGCAATATTTAAAAATATCTGTATAACCTTTAAACACTCTTCCACAACCAAATGTATGCATGAAACGGATTCGGTTAGTACGTACAAAGAGTTCCACTGATTAAACTTAACTCGCCCTGGAAAATCTATCATTTCGCAAGGATACCGACCTACAGAAGGAAATACGAGATTAAATTTCTTATATAATATACAGTGTATAACTTGACTGATGGATCAAAGCTCGAGATCAAGGACTTCAACTTCCATCGATTTAACCCCTTAGTGATTCGTAGTTATTTGGATTTAAGATGAATATATTGTGAAAACCAGGTTTGAGACTAAACTTCGCAAGTACAGTCAAAGTATCAAGTATATGTATATATGTATGAGATGACTTTCGTAAAGTTGCTAGGTTCTCTCAGATACGCAGTTTTTCTCACGATGTTTTCCTTCACCGTAAGACAAGTTAATAATGTCGAAAAATTATTCACACATCAAAATATTACGATACCCGGGAACTGATCCCGTTTCACTCGGTTTTCCAAGCGAACACCTTACCATTGGACTACCACTGATAGTGGTTTTCAAAAATAATTTATTATCATGGACGAATTAGAGACTGGACCTGACATAAAATACAAATGTATGAAAACTAGTTCAACCAAATGAGACATAACGCACACAAAGATTTTATTACATTATTATAAACACTGATACACAATACAATATTTCTAGTGTTTGAACGTAATCGATAAAATACATATATCGATGAACCAATGAATGACATTTTAGACATTGGTTAGCATAGTCATCATATTTTACGTCTTTTAATTTAAAATATCTGTATTTATTATAATAATTAAAATAAATGAATTAAAGAGACAATAATAATGTGTCAAATAATAATTATTTTTTAATTTGATTTATATAAATACGATGGCATTGATGGCAACATTCTGTTGGCCTATAATAATGTTAATAAACAAATGAATATCGGGTGTATATTCCATTAATATATAATAAATATTATTTTGTAAAGATTAAAAAAATATTAAGCTAATTTAATTAAATAAAGTGATTTTGTTGATTCTGTTATTGAACTATTTTAATTGGCAATTGATTGTCTCGGGTAGTTATAAAAATGTGACACTGTCCTAATATTGCTCAGTTATTAATAAACATTTGTAAAATTAGGAAAAAGAAAAAGTGATTGCAAAATGTGAAAGTAAAATAATTAGTGCAAGTGGTGAAGTGTTTTATTACAAATCGCCAACCCAGAAGTTTAGTGCTAAAACATTATTGTTTAATTTTGTGTAATTTATGTGTTGAAATAAAATGATCTGGCTGCGATTTAGGATTGGGGACTCTGCCCCTAGCGGAGTGGGTGGTATTTCTGGATAAGGGACGTGATAGGAAGTCGAAATGTTAAATAAAAATTGTTCGCGAACATATGAGTAAAAATTTATTGAGACTTAAAGTTACAACATTTCCATACATTATTTTGACATTACTACCATTTAGACACTTGGAGTCAAAACGTCACTTTCAATTGTCAAAATAATCTCCAGATGATTGTCTTTATTTGTACTTTGCGTGAAATTCGAATTTTCTAGTTTTCTAGTCATTTATGGCACTCGCCGGCCGCTACCGCGGCACGCTCGCTTCGCTCGCTCGGCTCGTGCGTTGTGGCAACTGTTCTAACCTAACCTAACCAAGATATGAGGAATAATAAATAAATAATCTTAAATGTTCTAACCTAACCTAACCCAGATATGAGGAATAATAAATAAATAATCTTAAATGTTCTAACCTAACCTAACCCAGATATGAGGAATAATAAATAAATAATCTTAAATGTTCTAACCTAACCTAACCAAGATATGACGAATAATAAATAAATAACCTATGTCTTAAACTAACCACGATGTCGCAAAATAAAAACCAAAAGTAAATAATACATTTAGATTTTAAAAATAGTCTACTCACGTTTATAAATTGTTTACACTAACACTATGAACACTTAAAACTATAAAAATAATATTAAAACAAAAACAAGAAACGAAAGTATATAAAAATTAACAAAAACTAATAACTAATGGAAAATACACAGAGTACAGAGTCACAAATTATGAAACTTCGCGGTATTTTAAGAACACCCGCCAATAATACTGAAAAATATTCACAGATAAAAAAATGATTTTTTTTACTAAATGTACAATTGTAAAACAATATATTTTACATAAATCAGATAAAAAATCATAAATGTATTTATGAAATGAAAATAATATTTTTCTTTTTATTTATTTATTTATTAATATTAATATTTTACCAACAGAAAAAGCAAAAATAATCAAATATAATCTGTTGTCATTTAAGCGGTAATATAAAACAAAGTGTCAGTTTTGCTTTTGTCAAAATGTAAGATCGTTTTGTTTGTGTTGTGAAATTATTAAAATATTAAATACAATAAAGCATTAATTGTTGTGAAAATGTGTAATGTACATAAAAAAGGATGCGTACTATTCGTTAAAGGTATGTTTATCTGTTGTAATCACTTATTTAGGTAAAGAAATGTATGGAAATGTGTTAGATATGTTATAACTTGTAAGTCTCAATAACTTTTTACTCGTACGTTTCCTCCAAATATTTTTAATATATTTTGACTCTCTGTCACCTCCCCTATCTAAAAATACCACCCACTCCGAATGGTGGTAAAGAAATATATGAAAATGTATGGAAATGTTGTAACTTTAAGTCTCAATAACTTTTTACTCATACGTTCGCGAACAATTTTTATTTAACATTTCGACTCCCTATCACGTCCCTTATCCAGAAATACCACCCACTCCGCTAGGGGCAAAGTCCCCAATCCTGAATTTGTGCCAATGATCTTTATTATTATTACAATGGAATAATATTCCAAAGTATATAAATGTGGTATAAAATAAAAAATTAAGTACACATACTAATTATAATTTTTGCATTTATATTTTTATTTGATTTAGAAAATATTTTTATAAATTTATTGTCATCAGATTGTAGGATACTGTGATAAAAGTATTTTATGTTATTGTACTGTACAAATAACACAATTCGTTCAGTTATTTCGTCAAATATCGATATATTTTTCGACATTGTCAAGCACTAGTCGATTTCAAATGGACTCACTCGACAGTTTTGTCATTTGTTCTGAATGGTATAATCCAGCCCGTTTATGATGGTTGTCAGATGTCAACAATACATAGAAATATCGACTATATTTAACATAGTTGGATAATATGACATTTTATTTTACATTTAATTAAATTTTGTGATAAATAACAATAAATGTAATAAAGTAATGTATTTACAAGTGAAAAGAAATAATGCTGCTTCCGCCGTTATATTTTTACACCATTTAACAGAACATTTAGTCATTTTTGGGAGATGTTTTGTTGACAAGTAAGTGCTTGAGACTGACACAAAAAACAAACGACCTAGGCTAAAATTCCCTGGTTACTGACATGACCGTTAAAGGTACGTCCGCTTATATGTCTGGTCCAGTGGTTAATTCGTTCATGTTTATTATATATTATACTTTTATAATATCTATAGTAATATATAAAAATAGTCTGTTTTTTTATTTATTTCAACGTTTTCAACATTTCAATTTCTGCAACTTGCAGATTTGAAAAATTCTTTTAGAATTTTATATTTACTATCACACTACGGTCCTCAGAAGCAGAGCAATTTTATATTATATACCAGTAAAGTACGCTTACTTCAAAATCTTTCTAAACGATTTACGTTATAATTTATATGGAACTTTCATAATCCGTTCACAATTTGCGAAAATATCACGTTACATATAAACAAAAAAAAACAACTAATTCAAATACTTCCCCTCTTTAAAGTCGGTAAATTAATAATTAATTAAAAATAAGTATCACAAAATTCGACAAAAGGTTACAGATTCGATTCCCCATAAAACATAGACGGGAGAGATGCTCTTTGCTCTACGAATGTTCTTTTGAAATTTGAAGCACAATTAGGCACATTGACTTAACTCCAGTCAAAAGTGATGTACAAAGTGGCGACAGTTCATTACATTTCCTTTACAAGAAAATATCTTTGAAGCATATAATATATATGTACATCTAAATTTAGTATTTATGCTTCCTCCTTTGGAAGAGTTTACTTAAAAATCGGTGCAAAATTGTCGATAATATCTCGTAACATACAAACAAACCCATACAAACGATCTGATTGAACACCACCTTTTTAAGTCAGTCGATTAAAATAATATAAATAACGAAAAATAATATCTACCAAACCTTTGTAAAATAAGAAAATATAATACAATATTACCGTAGTCAGGTACAGGCGGCACGTAATACTTGGTCGGTGGATTGATGAAATTATAAAGAGTGGGATATTTCTTTATTGTACTAATTATTTTCATTTTACCTTCTATTTTTCTGTACAAAAACTCCGCCTGGTGTAATTAAAATTTAAAATGTGAGCTCGTTACAATTGTAAATACATCTTGTGGTATACATATAAAACAATATAACTTTTAATTGCTATAATAGTATTCGATATCACATATAGGTACGTGTAAAGTCGTATGTTTGTACATCACGTCATATACAGTGAAATGACTGATTTTTAACATTGTGTCAATTGATTATGGGAGCAGAAAATTGTCGAGTTCAGAAGTTTTCAATACTTTATTTATAATTTTTATTACTATTTACTTCACCTTTACGTATGGGTATCTATTGAACTACCGATGGTCCAGTGACAGGCATGTACGGATAAATATCCAAAGGTTCTGGATTTGAGTCCTGAGTTCAATCAAATATAGCTATCATGTGTTGTTTCAGTCAAAAAATCTCAGTAAAAAGTTAACAAATTGGAATTATAACATCCCCCAGTCAAGGTAAAGCACGTAAAGCCGTCGGTACTATTCCTCACTCTCACCGGTCGTGTCCAATTTTGGAACTTCGAGCATGAAAGGAATAAAGAGTGCGCTTGCGCATACTTGTAGACTTATAATATGTACTAAGTAGTTTTCAGAAGTTCGTCTGACTGAGCTTGGTCGCTGTGGCCGAATTTGGTGGGATATTTCTTATTTAATTTGGTGGGATATTTCTTATTTAAAATTAGTATTTTCCGCAGCTCCGCCCGCGTTCAGATGACCAAAAACCAAATTCTTAGGTTTTACATATTAGGATACTCTTATATTGCAGTTTTTGTATTTTTTCTCAAAAATAAGTGTTTTTCTGTGATGCAGTAGCAGACAGACAGACAGACAGACAAAAATTCTAAAAACTATAGATTCGGCCTCTGTATCGATAATAATGTTTATTTCAATAAGATTTTCCAAAAAATATCTAATTTACAGATTCGGCTTAGTTACAATTTTATTATATGTATGCATAGATAACTTGTATTAAAATAAATACAGTAATCTTTGAGATGTACCTATGCATTAAAAACATTTCAATAACATCACATCGCCTCTTATCATCGAGGTACTTTTCTTTGAAGAATATTTAATGTACTAACAAATTTCTATATCGAGTATAAACAACGACATGTTAAAATATCTTTTGCCATTTCTACATATAACAACTTACCTCTTGCTTTAAAGATTGAAGAAGATTGTTATCTAATTTTTTAGCTTGTTGGTGTATTATCACCATTTTCAGTATGGATGGCATGAAATTTAACGGCATGCGTGGCAGACCGTCCAGAATCAAGCAATCTAGATATAAATAAAATCTAAAAAAAAAAGAAAAATAACACAAGTGAAAGGACTAAAAATAAGTTATGTAACCAGTCAAAATAGATTAGGTATATTGTAAAATCTAACATATAATGATTTACCCTCGCTTCGCTCGGATGCGTCTCTGGGTACGTCACCTTTGTTCACAATTTCAAGGGTTTTATTTTTTTGCACGGAACCCTAATTCTTTTTTCAAAATAAAATTAGACTAAGTTACTCCTTATAACATCAGCTATCTACCAGTGAAAGTCCCGTCAAAATCGGTCTAGCCATTTCGGAGATTAGCCGTAACAAACAAACAGACAAAAATGAAAAAAAAAATCTTTCTTAAAAGTACCATTTATATTTTCATGTATATGCATTCAGTAAAAAACTGTTATTTTAATATTACAAACAGACACTTAACTTTTATTTATCTGTAATAGATTAATGAAATTCTTTTAGAAACAACTTTGCCAATTTTGCTGTGAAATGTTTTTAATGGTTTTTTTTATTCAATAAATAAGGATCCTATATACATAAATTCCAAGAAATTTAATCACGATGGTTAGAATAATTGAATTATTTTTCAAGTTATTTTCAAGTCGATGTAGCTTTTTAGTTATAAAGTAAATAGCGTTTTAGCTTCAATCTAGCTTAGCTTAGGTACGTCTCTAGATGCCTAACAGCAACCTATATTTACACGTGTGTGATTTTAGCTCACAAAATTTTATCCAAATTTGTTTAGTCATTTCAGCGTAAAGGATTAACAAATATACTAAAAAAACACACCAGTGGCGAAGGGTGTTTTAGCACAGATAAGCCATTCCAAAAATATACAATTTTTATATACGTATTAATGCAGAAAGAAATAAAGTCATATATATATCCAAAAGAACATTTTACATTTAAATGTATAGAATTATACGTAATTGAACGTATGGATAATTCTTGTATGGACCCTTCACCACTGAAACACACACACAAACTTTTAGTAGTAGCAGTTGCTTACCTTAAGTTATTCTCCACTTCTTTCCGCAAGTTTACAGCGAACTTAACACGTTCAGCAAATGTATCGGGATCATCTGCTTTAAACATCAATCGAATACGTGGTATACTGAAACCAATTTAATGTTAGTACTAATGAATCAAGACTTTTAAATCAAAAATATTTGTTTATACATATAATAAAATTATGAGTTGAATATGTACATTAAATATTTTTTGGAAAATCTTATTGTAATAGACATTATTATCGATATAAAGTCCGAATCTTTAGATTTTTTAAAATGATATCCTCGTGATATCGTTTAGAAAATATTTAGTACATTATAGCTACTATAATATAGGAAACTAGCATTGCCCGCGGCTCCGCACGCGTTCAGATGACCAAAAACCAAATTCTTAGGTTTTAGATATTAGTATACTCTTACATTGTAGTTTTTGTATTTTTTCTCAAAATTGAGATATTTTCCCGCGGTAAAATCCTATATGTTGACCCGAATAACCAGCTATCACTATACTATATTTCATCAAAATCCCTCCAGTGGTTTTTCTGTGACGCGGTAACAGACAGATAGACAGACAAAAATTCTAAAAACTATAAATTCGGCCTCTGTATCGATAATGATGTTTATTTCAATAAGATTTTCCAAAAAATATTTAATGTACAGATTAGGCTTAGTTACAATTTTATTATATGCATAGACTAGCAGTACCCGCGGCTTTGCCCGCATTGAAAATTTCCGATCGCTACCAAACTTCATAGGATCACCAGCTGAGTTAATCTAAAGTATAAGTATGTTAATATTATATTTTTTTTTAAATAATGATTTTAATTTTGATTATAATTTTACTTCTTATTATTATATATTATTATCAATTTCTTTTGTATGACATTTATCTTTAATAACAATTATTATTTTTAAATTTTTGTACTTTTAATTCATGAATCTGGAAATGCTATGTACACTTATAATTGACATGCCTATAAGGTATGTATATTATTATTACATTGAAAATGTTATATATGATTTTTTGTAAGTGTGCTTTTTAGAAATAAATAAATAAATAATATTATATATTTGAAATGTAGTTCATACTTAAAGCGTCGCTTAGATCCATCTAACGCCATGACTTCCCATTTCTCAGTGTTTTTATCGAAACTAAACGCTGCAACATTTGTCCACTGAAAGTTACATATATATTAATTACATATTATTTATTCAGTCCTTTTTAACGTCCCACTTCAGCGGGTTTCCCTTCAATACGAGGGGGATCAGGCCATAGTCCACCACGCTGCCAAAGCGGGTTGTGTGGGATTTGAACCCACTTCAATCAGTTTTCAAGTGAGCACGCAACCACTTGACTACCACTGTACGTAGGAGTAAAATTAAAATGTGTATTTTGGATCATTTTTTTATATTAATATAGCGATAGGTATAACTATCATTTAGTATACTCGTATAGAGCTTATTTTAAAGTTTGAGTCCCAAGTTTAGGTTATAAGATAAAGAGTTAGAGATTTTCTTAGTACCGGTCCAGTTTTGTTCTATAACTTTTTGAAGGAGTGCCTAATCTTTCTCAGTTTATGTCAGTTTGGAATTTTTACATTTTAGTGCCCGGAAGTCGGTTTTTTTAAGTTTTTATTTTTCTATTTTTAGTGTAGACGTAATAAGCAGGTAATTTGTAAGAAGAAAGTTTTTTGATGACATATTCGATTAAACAATTTATTAAAAAAATTATTATTGTTGTTTTTTTTAAAAACCGCTCAACCGATTTCGAGAAAATGTATATAGAACCATCTGGGAAGTATTACCCTTTGAAACAAAAAAAAATCCAAATCGGTTCAGGCGTCTTCGAGTAATCAGTGAGCATACATAAAAAAAATAAGATTCCTACGAATTGAGAACCTCCTCCTTTTTGGAAGTTGGTTAATTATAATTCGAACATTAATTTGTTGTTCAGATTTATAAAGAAACTTGTAAGCCGATTATAGCGGAAATTATACCCTTAGCAAGGGTAAAGAAACATAATGACAACTCTGAAACTTTTTAAAAGAAGTTTCACAATTTGAAACATCTCTTAAGTAGCTAAATATATGGTATATAAATAAATGGTTTACGCGTTTTCTCTTAAATTACGAGATTCTTTAAAAAATATTTACTATTAATGTTTTTCTGCGGCTGCGTTCGTTTAAATTTAATGCTTAGGGTCCATTTATGTATCATGATGTATGTATGTATATATATGTCAATACGGCTATACTAATATTATAAAGAGGTTAAGTTTGTGAGTTTGTGACGTTGTAGGGGGTCTATTGAATCTCTGGATCTATTGAACCGATTTAGATGAAATTTAATAAGAAGATAGTTTGAGACCCTGAGAAGGACATAGGATACTTTTTATCTCAGAAATCTTCCCTTAAGGGGGTAAAAATGGGGATGATAGTTTGTACGTGGAATCAAGCTAGAGACGAACCCGAGCGAAGCGAGGGTGAGTCGCTAGTAGGCTATAAAACGTGACAATAATATTTTAAATGGGATTTGATTTTTAAAAATTATTTCAGAGATCAATACAATGTAACAAATATAGAGAAGAAAAACAAACAACCACAGAACAGTTACTTTTAGGGATTTTTAAGGCGGTGTACATTTTTTAGTAAATAAAAAAATGATAACTTAAACTTTACCTTTACGTACAGTAGGGGCTTAAATATATTTTTTTAATGCTTACCTCATATAAGTTATTGAGAATTTGTATTAGATCAGTTGACGGCTTTGTAGATTTCCCATCTTGTTTCGGTATGAACGCGAGCCCTGGACAGGGATATTGCTCGCCTTCAATCAAACCAAGATTAAGCCACTCTTCTGGGATCCTGCAATGACCAATAAAACTTAGAAATTTAACAAAATTTAAACAAATATTTATATCGACTTTAGTACAAGTCGAAATGTTACATTTTATTAAATATATCTATACCTATCTATCTATTAACTAGCACTAGATTATGCTTTGGAGGTGGTAGGTTTGATTTTCGGATATTTTATGCCTGTCTGTGGCATCGTAGCTCCCGAATGGATGAATCGATTTTGATCTTGTTTTTTTTTTGTTTGAAAGGTGAATTAGTCGGGCGTGTTTAATGAAAATCGGTTCAAGTGGTCGGGGGTTTTTAAAATTTTCAATTTATCACTTGTATACTATCTTTAAGCACGTCTTGTTAAGACGATGGATGGACATCTTAAGGAAGGAAAGCCTAAATGTGGCCTGCGCAAGACCATAGTGATTGGCACTTTGTGTGAGAGGTCGAGGAGATTGACTATCAACAGTGGACAATGATACACTTGATATTATATTATCAAGTATGGAAGATATTTTTAATATAGTTAACTAAAGAAGATCTTCAAAACGCAGTATCTCGGTATTGGTACGATATCTTCTATTTTGCGTTCTAAAATTAAGTATAAAAAGTATTCGCACCTACACAAATGCGAATGTTTGTTTGTTTGTTCTCCTTTCACGTAGCAACGAACTGTTACCAAAAAATACTTAGTACTAATAATACTAGATCATTATTAATTAATTATCGTTTGACGACCGCTACAAGAAAGGGTTGATTCTGAAGAGCTTCACGCGAGAATCAAACCTACGCTAGGCTATCACTAAACATTAGTAGTACACTTTTCTAGGCAAGTGCGCTTCAACCTAGACCTAATGCTTGTGCTTCCCAGCGCTGATTGTAGTCAAGCGCAAGCCTATCTTTCAATAAAAAAAATAACTAAATCTTAGAATAAAATTACCTGCAATCATATTCAGTATTATCAAATAGTTCTAATTCCATTTTCGGAAATACGCTATAGAGACTGTAGTACTGTTCGTCACTTATAGGATATTCGGTTGTCGGCATTAATAGATATGGTTGAATACCGCGTTCACGAAGCATTTTCTGAAAATATGTAAATATTCATATCAGACTATTATAAATGTATGTACGTATGTTTGTTATTCTTCAACGCTGAAACGGCTGGACGGATTTAGATGAGATTTAGTACACAGATAGTCTTTGTCCTTGGAGTAGTGCATAGATAACCGTTAAGCACTTAAAGAGGCACCCGTGTGAAATGAGGGTAAGGCGGTAAGTATTTAAAAATACGTTAACTGCAATTTTATTGAGATTTCTTTAAATATTTATAGTACCTTTATAGTATAACTAGCGACTTACCCTCGCTTCGCTCGGCTTGGTCCCTAGCTTGCTTACCAATACAAACTTTCATCCTCATTTTCACTCCTTTAAGGGATAATTTCCGGAATAAAAACTGTCTTATGTCCTTTGCAGTGTTTCAAACTATGTTCTTACCAAGTTTCACCTAAATCGGTTCAGTAGATTCAGAGATAACCCCCTACAACCTCAAAAATTTACAAACTTTACTTCTTTATAATATTAGTATAGATTTATTTATTTTAGTGGCGAAAATATCGCGTAACATATTTTTTTTTATACTATTCAGAATTAGTGCTTAACTACGTTCCACCTGATGGTAAGTGGTAACGCAGTCGTAGATGGTAAGTCGCACTAATTCAGTAGCCACCTATTCACTCTTGCCTTGAAGACACAAGACATATACACAAAAAGAATCAATTGAACTGAGTGCCTCCACCCATTTGAAGTCGGTCGGATATACTCACAAGTATAGGATGGAGAATGAATCTTTAGATTGATATTTTATGTCTGAGGTTAAAGAAGTCTATGAATTCCATGAATGTAGGGGAAGATTTGCTGTGTTATAGATTAACTAGCATTGCCCGCAACTACGCCCGTGTTCAGGTGACCAAAAACCAAATTCTTAGGTTTTACATATTAATATACACTTACATTGCAGTTTTTGTATTTTTTCTCAGAAATGAGATATTTTCCCGCGGTAAAAAGTATTCTATATGTTGACCCAGATAATGAGTTATCAGCATACAAAATTTTATCAAAATCTATCTAGTGGTTTTCCCGTGATGCGGTAACAAACAGATAGACAGACAGACAAAAATTCTAAAAACTGTAGACTCGGTCTCCGTATCGATAATAATGTTTATTTCAATAAGATTTTCCAAAAAATATCTAATGTACAGATTCGGCTTAGTTACAATTTTATTATATATATAGATAAACCATATATAGTTTAGTTAAATCTTTGTAAAATTCAGACATTTTCATGTGCCAATTCCATTTCCACCGTGATTACCTGTTGTCTTCCGGTTAAAAACATCATGAGTAAACCTGCATCTCTGAGAACCTAGCAAGTTTTCGAAAGAAATGTGAAGTTCACCAACCCGCACTTGGTGTGGTGAACTATGGCCTGATCACCTTCATATTGAAGGGAGGCCCATACCCAGCAGTGGAATCATAAAAAAGGCTGTATACAATATTACTTCATACCTTTATATTAGAGGCTAAGAATTTTCTTCTTAATCTTTCTATCTTTACCAGTCGCGGTAGCTCCTTCGGTAACACGACACTTAAGAATTGTAGTTTTGGCACAAAAGTTTCAAATGGGAATTGCTGTAAGTTCGATTAGATATATTAATAATAATCATATATATGTTAGAGAATAGAAATAACTCGTGTTGCCATGTTTGATATTTTATATACGATTCTGAGGGTAGTTGAATGACGGTACTTAGCAATAGCGTTTGACAGGAAATAATTCATAATGTCAGGAGTGCGAGTGAACTCACTTTACTGTGAACACTCGACTGTGCCGCACGAGCACACTGACCATGGCGGACGAGAATCGCGATAACGTAATATTAAATTCATTGACATCCGTTACATATATGTATATGTCTTATCGTTTTTTGTTAATCTTTCACGCTGAAAAGACCGAACGGATTTAGAAGAGATTTATTACAAAGATTGATCATGACCTAGTAGCACAAATGCGACGTCAGGTATAAGGTAATGCTAGAAAAGCGAAAGTATGTTTTTGTTTGTTTGTTCTATTTTTACTCATAATCGGCTTTTCTTATCAAAAAAAAAACTAAAAAAAATAAATGGCGTTGTTACATCCTTGTGCCTCGAAGAGCAAGTCTATTTGTCCTGTGCTAGATCTCTCACTAATCTTGTCGAGTTTCGTCCTACAGGACTTTGAGAGTGAAAGAAATAGAGAGTGCATATGTCTCTCGATGCGTACACTTGGGCTTTTTAATATCTCTTGTGCAGATAACACTTTCCGCTGTGACCGAAATCGGTTACGATGATATTATTTAAAAAAAATGTGTTCTTAGATACTAACAATACTATCGTCTTCACTATAAGTCGTCCATCGACCAGGTGGTAGTAAAATTTTAGGTTTTTGAGGCTTCGGCAAAGATATTACCATTGGAGCCAGCTTATCTGTTTTAGCCTATAAATATAAAGCATGAATGTAAGTTTTTTTCAAATTTGAGCAAAAACAGGTTAATAAACATCTCAAATATATATTTCAAACAAGAAAAATTCAGCAAAACTGAATTAATTCCCTCCAGGTAAATTTCTAAGAAATTAATTAAAATTCTAAGAAATCTATTGTTAACTGACACCTCGGGGTGTCCGCGGTCATGGAGGGATTAATAAATAAATATGTTGGGACATTAACACAAAGAAAAAGTGGAGGAAATGATATTTTTTTATATATATGAATTTTTAAAAATCTCATTTTGAGGTTATGTTTTGTTGAGTGTTCACTTCGATTTTGCGTGAAATTTAGAGTTTATGGCACTCGCCGGCCGCTGCCGCGGCACGGTCGCTTCGCTCGCTCGGCTCGTGCGTTGTTTTAACTGTTCTAAACTAACCAAGATTTGACGACAATTACCTATGTTCGAACCTAACTTAACCACCAACTTCTTACCTAAATTGTCAAAATGAATGACTGAATGTAAAAGGAAAATTTTATAAAACAGAATGACTTATGACACAAAGATTCACAAAATGACACGTCAACTTATTATTAGCAAAATTAAAACGCATAATTAAAACTCTCTAAAATAGCAACGCTTCTGACAAAATTACGTCAAAACAATAAAATAGTGCAGAATTGAGGTTATCAAACTTTGTTATTTTTTATTTTCGAAAGTATTCGTTTCCTCCACTTGGAACTTTGTGAGATTACTCAAGATAATAAGTACATTGCACAAAAAAAATCAAGAGTTTACTCGTGAACCGGTATACTAAATCTGAGCCTTTATTTTTAAGTAATTTGCTATTGAAAATGCTAAATTTATAAAATTTATTAAGTCTTAGGGCACAAATTTAGAATTGGGGACTTGGCCCCTAGCGGAGTGAGTGGTATTTCTGGATAAGGGACGTGATAGGGAGTCGAAATGTTAAATAAAAATTCTTCAATATCAGTCTTAGTACGAGTGTGCTTGAAATTCACAATTTACGTAACAAAATGCGGATCTTGCTTACAGAACTGCGAGATCAATAAAAATCGAGCGAACTCGCCCAAAATAGTAAGTTAATAATAACAATGACAATTGTACCTGTAACAATAATTTCATACGTTTCTTTGCAAAAGCTTGCTTCGGAGCGAGGTCTTTCATCATATTGGATACAAGTTCTGAATAGTAACCCCTTTTAGGGATAGCGTCCCTTTCTACATTGTCGTAAACTACGTCATGTCGTTTTATTTTCTTCCTTCTACTGTGCATATTAATATTTGAATATAATATTATTAATACTAAAAATTATAACAATATGCCTTTGAGTTTTTTTTTTGTTTTTGACAGATTTGACATCTTTTTTTTATACGGAGCTTTATGTTTTTATAATGTGCCAGTATGTTTTAAAAAAAATATTTCTTTTAATTTTTGTATGTATTCCTAAAATAGTTTTTTGAATATTTTTATAATAAAAACTTAAAATAACCGACTTCCAGGCACTAAAATGTAAAAAATAACTAAACGGGGGTTTTCATTTAGAATAGATACCTAATCAGATATTTTCAAAGTCGGTGCCAGCCGATGCAAAGCAGATCTAATATATTTCGATACGTATATTACATCACTAATTGATGTATAATATTTTAACTATAATTAGAGTTCATACCTAATCATATTTACCTATATTATTTACATTTAGATATTCATATTTTAAAATATTGTCGGCTGGCAAATAGGGTATAGGTTTGAGACAAATCTAACTTATATATAGCCATGCAAATAGTCCATTTCTAATCATATACTACAGTAATTATTAGCAGCTGGTTGACCTGCATTTAGAGGGAAACGTAGATTAGAATCTTAGCGAATACCGCACCAGAATATTGTGGGAAATTTAGCCTGCAATGTACGGTCAGACAAAAAAAAATGATCTTAAGTAAATCGATGTTTTTTTACTTTATACTATATGTTGACCCGGATAACTAGGTATCATCATACCAAATTTCATCAAAATCTCTCTAGTGAATTTTTCATGATGTGGTCACAGACAGACAGACAAAAACTTCAAAAACTATATATTCGGCCTCTGCAGCGATAAAAATATCTATTTTAGTGAGATTTTCCAAAAAATATTTAATGTAAAGATTAGGCTTAGTTACAATTTTATTATATATACTAGTAGTACCCGCGGCTTCGCCCGAGCCCAAACTTCCGATCGCTAATAAAATTCACAGGATCACCCGCTGGGCTAATTTGAAGATTACCTGAAAATTTCATCAAAATCGCTCCAGCTGTTTTGGAGTCAGTAGGAAACATACATACACACATCGATTTTTATTTCATTTATTCCACAATTTAAATTTATTTATTGCTCGGAAAATGGAGCCTTTTATGAAAATTTAGTGACACACCGACTGCAACGCCACGTACCAGGTCCAATTGTGTTTTCAAACCATCCAGGAGCCCATCTAAATATACACACAAAATTTCATCCAAATCGGTCGCGTTTTTTAGGAAGAGTGGGTTAACAAACACACGTACAGAAGAATTATATATATTAAGATATACGAGAACATAGATGGTATGAATGAAAAATATTCTTGTTGCTGACGCTACATTTATGAATATAGATTTGAACTCGATGTAGCCAGTAATTGCATGCGGTCTTGTTTCCGTACCGATGTAAATGGAATGTTTCGCCTTTGAATGATAATTGATTGAAGTTTTATACAGTATATAATCTATGAGTGTAAATTCATAAGTTAAATGCCGTTATAGCAATTTTTGAGTTTTTATCTGTTTTTCTTTTATTATTTTTTTCCAATGCTTTAGAGTAAACAATAAACATAGTCATGGGAGAAACTAAGAAAATATAATATTGCCCTTCTGATTTTTGGCTAAGCCTATCAGTTTCACAGAGATTAGTTAGCGGTGCTCTCTATTTCTTTAATCTTATAGTTCGATAGAATGAATTTGATTCAACTGCGACTAGAAATGATTTAGAACAGAATTTACTACATGTACCGTAATAAAACCTTACAAACTCATCACTTATTGAGAATTTCTAACGATGAATTAATTTAATATATTGATATGTCATTTTACAATTCACGTTTTCATAGAAAGCCGGAGAGTAGTGAGGTGTTTATGCTTTAGTTTAGATTAAATTGGACGAAATAAATATTGCGAACCTATCACATTGCGTCACAATGGTTCGTCGTATTTTAACTAACATAACACTTAAAACACCCTTAAAAATATATTGCCATCGTTAGAAATAAACGTAGTGCAAGCTAAAAAGATCCTTTAAAACACAAAGGTAACATACATCTAAATTCCACGGTTCACAAAAGAGAAATAAATTGTAGCATTTTATCATTGCGGCGGAGCGTTTGTTCGGAACTCACAATTTCGTTAACGACTTCACCAACAAGAGTGCAATGAAAACTTTACACAAATTACGGGCCTCGACAGTAAATTTGAAAATTCAGAGCTTTAACTCTACCGAAGTACTTAATTTGTGGGTAGCTTGGTTTATACTATAAGTATGTAAGTTATTATATGCTTTCATTTATTCCAATATTTTGACATTTATTTAAAACTTACGTAAAGCCCATGAGTTTATTTAAGTTGATATATTACTAATATCTATACAATGAAAATGAAATTCTGAGTGGATTCTGTACATTAAATATTTTTTGGAAAATCTTATTGATATAGTCATTATTATCAATACAGAGGCCGAATCTATAGTTTTTAGAATTTTTATCTATCTGCCTGTCTAGAAACGCATCTCGAGAAAACCACTGGACAGATTTTGATGAAATTTGGTATGTTGATATCTGGTTATTCGGGTCAACATATAGGATACTTTTTTCTGCGGGAAAATATTTTGTCTCTGAGACATCTATACTAAACGTTATAACGTAACTAGGGATGAACCCGAGCAAAGCAGGGTGAGGCACTAGTATTTCAAAATAACGGTTTCCAAAAAGGCATATTCTTAATAAAAATAAATAATGCGTTCCTAAATCAAACGGTAATATCCAATTTTGACAGTTGTTTGGTATTTCGGTTGTCATGCTCAATTTCCTGAACACGTATATTTATTAAAATAATAAAAAAAAATTGCATTCGTAGAAAGAAAACTATTTTATCTTTAAAATCTCAACGTTTTAAAAGGAACTACTTGTCCACTGTATTGTTCATATTACACATGTACTTTTTAATGTGTGCATTGCATCGATATGTTTTTATTAATTTATTGAATGTAATATGAATTTTGCTATATTTAACATATTTGTGTCTAATTTCTATTAATTGTAGGATGGTGCTTGTGTGTACGCGTGCGTGTGTGCATGTGCGCGCGTGTGCGCATGAGCGCCTGTGCTTGTGTATGTGTGCGTGTGTGTTGTGTTTTATTCTAGTATTGTGTCATCTATAATATTACTACATACCTAATGTATATGTATAATGTACTACTGAAAATAAATGTAGGCACATAAAAATGATACTTGTTAGTTAGTAAAGTAGTACTTTTAAAATAAATTTTAAGTATTGTACCACAACGTTGCTCTTACGTGTGCAGTGAACTCAGTTGAGTGGACACCTTTTATCCTGAAAGTGAAGAATGCCAAAGTGTTAAATCTGTACCAAGGTAGAAGTTAAAGCGGAAATGTTTTTTTTTTAGCAAGTGAGACGGCGAGGAGTGCAAATTTTAATTATTTCTGTTATAATTTAACAACTGTTTTAATTTGTAATTACTATCAATTTCAATTGTTGAAAAAAAATATATTGTTGTACTAGTTTTAAAGATTTGTAATAAAAATCTAATATTATAAATCTATGTGTCATAGACGAAGTAACTTGTGCTGAACTGCCATGTTTGAAAGTCATTAAAAATTGAATTAAATAGAATATATAATATACTGATCAGATATCAGAAGACTATTTTAAGTAATTATAAAAAACCAAGGCGTAAATTTAAGAAAATGTTATAAAAAACCCAACTATCTATTTTTTTTTATTTTCGTCAAAGTTCACTCGTTTTTATAATAAACGATCTTGTATCTTTTAACTTGGACGCAAATTGTCACGGCGCAATGCCTTACTTGACTCCTCGGTGAGTCAAAAGGAGTTCATTGCTACGTTTGACACATTCTAACCGGATTGAATGAAAATGTTACAAGATTCATCTCAATTAGTAAGATTTAAGCCGGTTTTATAAGAGTTTTTATTTAACAAAATATGAATTAATTATATTTAAATAAATATAAATAATTATTTTTGGACATTAACACACAGCACCATCTAGTTCCATGGTAAGTTACGAGGCTTGTGTTATGGATACCAGGTAGTTGATACACTACACATATAATAATTTTAAATACATACATATTATAAATAAAAAAAACCCATGGCTGGAGTACAAACATTCGTGTTCATTACACAAATGAATCCAGAGGGATTCGAACCCGCGACCGCTGGCACAAAAAGTAGGGTTCTTCTAAAAAATTGTCATCGCAATGCCAAAATGGACTTGGTTTTGCATATATCTTTTATTTCTATTTCTTACAATAACAATTATTGATAATTCCGTGTGATCTACCAGTCGCTTAATTTTCGTTTATCTAACTGAAGTTAGTTTCTTACCCGTCTCCCAGATGACGATAATGGCAACGATGGCTCCTACGATTAACTATTATAATATTATACTCAATAGCGCTCTACGTGACCGGAAGTCGGCCGTAGCAATCTTATAAATAATTTCTCCTGCGACTATTGTCTTAATTGCGATTTCAATATTTGAGCTATGAAGGCTACGTCTAATAGTCAAAATTGCTTGTAAATGTCTATTTGAATAAAGTATATACATATACTTTATACTATACATATATGTACTACTGTATCACTAACTGCCTCGGTGGTGTAGTGGCTAGCATGTACGGCTGCACACCTGGAGGTCCTGGGTTCGAGTCCCGGGTCGGGCCAAGTTTATTTATTGAGTCTTTCTGTATAGTAAGTCTCAGTAACAGCCCGGAGTTGGGAAGTTGGCGGTGTTTCACCCCCGTGCCTAGGAGAGCACGTAAAGCCGTCGGTCCTGCGCCTTAACACCGGTCGTGTGGAGTGGTCGTCCCACCGGAGTATGAGAGTGATAGGAATAGAGAGTGCACCTGTGTCTGCGCGTATACTTGAGCACTATAATATCTCCTGCGCAGTTGGCTAATCTCAATGAGTTGGCCGCCGTAGCCGGAATCGGCTAGGAGAAC